GGAAACAAAGATGAAGAAGGGAGGGGGCGGGAGCCTGGAGACAAAGAAGAAGAAAAGGAAATGAGGGGTAACAATGTTTCTCTTTTAATTTAATTTCCGTATTAGGAAACATGAAGAAAGATATGGAAGGACCCAAAAAAGAAAGTGAGAAGAAAGAATTGGGACAATGGGAGTAATATTTTAATGACTACTCCTAATTACTCAAAGTTGAGGGCAGTGGGGACAATTTTGCTTTTTTTTTATTTTTAAGGGCAAATTAACTACAACTCATCTAGCATAGTGAATTTAATGAATATTTCCTTTTTAGCAACAAAGGAGGGCAGAAAAACAAGGCACCAATTTCTACTTTTCTCTACTGATTAGTGTAATTAGATAATATTGCAAAAACACAAGTCTTAGTTCTATCTTCAATCATTTGCAACTTTGTATTAACTGATTTGAAGTGTGAGTAGATGGTCTTGATGATTTAAATACGAGAGAGAATCAAAGGCGCCATGTTCTCCTTTTAATAAGAATTAGTTTTGGATGTATGTATGTATGTATGTATGTATGTATGTATGTATGTATGTATGTATGTATGTATGTATGTATGTATGCATGCATGCATGCATGCATGCATGCATGCATGCATGCATGGATGGATGGATGGATGGATGGATGGATGGATGTATGTATGTATGGATGGATGGATGTATGGATGGATGTATGCATGGATGTATGCATGTATGCATGCATGTATGCATGCATGTATGTATGTATGTATGTATGTATGTATGGATGGATGGATGGATTGAGGAGTTTAAAATGTCTCGGATAGTTTTTCATTCTGGCCAATCAAGGGGCTTTGCGGGCTGTTAAGAAAGCTTCTTGGTACATTTAGCACCATCCATTTTTCCATTCAATTTCTCATCCTATAGTTATTCTCCTTGTGAAGTACACCAATTACTTTGCATTTGATAAAAGTCCGGTGGGCCAATCATAGCGTGGGGGACACACACCGGTTCATGTGCACTTGCGCGGTAGGCCCAACACACAAGCCCATGGGGTTCCATTTTAAAACCAATTGGTGATAGGAGAGACAATGTAACTCATATATTGGACATCTTTCTGTTTCTTTTTCGGTGTGGGATGGAACTGCCAAGAGCATTATAACTCGCCTTGATGTCATTTGTTCCAAATGGGCAACACTTAAAGTTTGAGGCACGACTATTAATCATGTGACCACTCTGCAAAAGAATCACATCTACTAAATTCGTAAGCCGTAACACAATACCTTAGCAGCCAACCGCTTCAATTTCTTTAGTCCAACAAGTAATTTCCTACATGAGGACAAGGGAATTTTAACTCTAAGTTGGCACCTGATAGTGAACACAATGGTGTTCTCTTGGACGGCAATACGAAGAGCCTTCATACAGGATATCTCTCTTCTTGTAGTGAAAAAAGTTTCAAAAAACAGCCATATACATTCTTCTCCTCACTTCAGAATCTCATGAGAGCTAACAACCGATCCATACTACTTTATAGCAGAAAGGACATAAGTACATTTGCCACAATGAACTCAATGTTCTCTTGAGGACAAGTCATGTTTCCAAGAGGGGAGTAATGATAGGTTCCAGGCTGGTTGGCAAGTCATAGTATAGAATTTAAGTACTTAGCACTATTTAATTATTTGTTGAGTCTTTTTATTTATCATTTCATAATTATTTATTCCCACTTAGTGAGAAGTTAGGGGTCAGATCCCTACATAGTTAGTGGGAGGTTTGGAGTAAGTTATTACCACTTAGTGGGAGGTTATGAGTAAAGTTTTACTAGTAGAAGTTATAGTCTCTTTGTATAAATAGACATCTAGTCATGTGTAATCATTATCAAGGATTACATAGTAATTTAATATGGAGATTCTCCTTGGCTTTATTAGTCATATGAGTTTAAGATTCTTACTCGTCTTTTTGATAAAGATTTTCGTTCATCTTTATTATTTATGAAGTTAGATCCTGATTTCATAATTTGATAAAGACTATCCTTCATTTATTTTCCTCGCCACTTTTGAGTTCTGTCATAAATTTACAATTTCATTACAAAATCTATACTAATGAGAGGCATTACTGGAAATTGGTACTCCATATATATAGACGCACACACACTTAAGAACTTGCTGTTACTTGTTATCGTTGATCACATTTGAACATACTGAAAATTGCATATGGAGGACAAGAGGTCTTCTAGTTTGAATACAAAGGGGTGTTTGGTATACACCTGTTTGAGTATCAGGTATGGGTTTAGGGAACCCTAAACTCATACATGTTTGGTTAAAATTTGTTTTTCTAAAACCCATTATTGAAATCCCACCAAACATTTTCTCATACCTCACAATCCCTCTTTTTGGCAACCCATTCAAGGCACCAACACTTGCTGTCTCCTTTTCAAAATAAAGAAAGTATCACAGCAGACTGGTCTCTCCATTTTTTAATGCTCTTTTAAAGTTCAATTTCTTTTTTCTTTACCTATAGTTATGCTGATAGTGTGTATTATGAGATTTGGTGATGGTGGTGGGTGTGGGCAGGGTGGTGGGGCCTGGGGTTTTTGAAGATGTTTCCATGTTTTAGCCTGGTGGGGTATGGAGTTCTCACCGCCAATGAGCTACTAGATAAAACCTTCAACTGTAACACCCCGGCCCCCACCCTGGCCGTAAGCGTTCGCTCATAGAATTGTAGACTGGCCCACAAACCAACACAAGTCTTTCCCGCACACTTTATCCTCACTCGAGGTCAAGCACACTTAACTTTGGAGTTTCTAGGTGATGAGCTCTCAAAAAGAAGATGCATCTTGTTGGTATGAGTAGTACTATCAATCCTTTTTGAGCTCTTCCTCTTCCCATCTTAATACAAGGTATTACATCGACCCTCCTTTTGCTATGTCAGGCCTTCAGCTCCATTTGTCTCTCCTCCCTGTTCTGATTGGGTTGTCTCACCATCAAGCTAATTACCATGATGTTATTCTTGAATATAAACTAAACACCAGAGTACATGATTTAATCTATAATCCCTAACTGCATACCTTCTCAACCTTATTCCTTAATCCAATCCGGAACCTGAATTTTAAAATGTTTTCTTATTGTACTTGATACAAATGTTATTTGCATTTTGCTTATTGACCACTTTTAATGTTTGTAAAGGTTTAGTAAAAAGTTGCAATGTTTCTATTTGAGAAATTATGCGTCGGTTATTCATTTCTTCATTTTCTTCTAGTCATTACAACTCAAAGCTTCTAAAGAGAGTAAACAGGAAGTACTACTTCTCAATTGGCTTTTCCAAGATGGAATTCTTTTCCAAGCTCTTGCGAACAACTTAGCAGGAATTATATCTAGGCGAGATGATTGTTACATTTCCCTAGGCTGGTGTATTCTCACTCGGAGTCTCTTAGAATTTGACTGTACTGCAGAGAAGCTCATAACACATGGTAAGCTCTCAATATCACTTATTAGGTGAAGGACTTGTGTTCTATTATTGTGTCTCACTCAAAACAAATTCACTTTTACCCTTGATATCTACTTCGTCTCTCACTAGCTACTATGCTATTACCATTTGTTGAGGACTTCATGTCCTTTTTGGTTGCCATATGCTAATGCTTCTAATGACATGACAATCTTGAGATATTGCTTCCTTATTGTGGAAAGCTTCTTTATGAAATACACATTTCATTCAACTCATTATTTGTCAGGCCTTACTCATTCAATATGATTTCTTGCAACAATAATATTCATAACTTTGAGAATTTCCATGTTTCCAACTTCAAGAATAATAGAAAATTTTACAGTGGGATTCCTCATTCTTACAAATGATGATTCCTCATTCTTACAAATGCTACCGTTATTATTTAGAGTGCATTGAACTTTGTGTTTTTACTTTGTACTTATTGTAATGCTCCTTTTTTGTTTTCCAGTTAAGTGTCCATCCCTATGTCATCTTTATTGTTTAATTGCTTTTAGCAAAAAGGATATGAATGTTAATGATGACATAACTTTTGCAAGGTGAAGTCATCTCCCATTTCATTCTTATATATTTATGTGTGCGTGGGTGGATTAGTTCGTTTGTTTGCTATTTAATGTAATCATGAGATTCAATAGTATAACATAAAAACTTTAGAAGCAACATTTTTGTCACTACAGATTGTTATTGCTATTGTTTTTATTGTTATTATTATTCCTATTGTTGTTATTATTATTGTGATTATTATCGTTAGTATTGTTATTGTTATTATTATTATTATTATTACGGAGGGGTTCTTTTGACACTCTCAATTAGTGTAATAGTATGCCACTCTCCTTTATAGTCATTAGATCTAAACTTGAAGTCCAGATTAAAAGGGATGATATCTCCTCTAGCATTAAGTCGTTAACCCTCTCCGTCTCTGTCTCTTATGATGGTCTCCAGCCTTCCTCCCTCTCTGCGGCTTAGAGGATTGTCGGCTAGGAATCCTCAATTGAACCATTCTCCGGCTCAATGCACTCTGCCAACCAGATTAAGGTGCGTTTCATCATTTTCAACAAAATCAAATGTTCCGACTTCCACACAACACAGCCGCCTTAGTTTCAAAAAATTTCAAATCTGATTTAAAGTTTTTTTTAATAATATGTGCATTTTTTAATTTTTACACATCTAGTTCCATTTTTATGCATCTCATTTCTAATTTTTTTTCCTACCTTGATTTCGTTTCACTACCATTTTTTTCTGATTTGATTTCTTTTACGGAGGGGTTCATTTTTTTAAGACTATTTGTTTTTCTCTTTTGATTAAATTTGTAGTCTGGATTTCTTTTCTTTGATTTCTTATCACTCTTTTCTTTGATTTCGTATCACTAAAGTTAATTTTTTTCCTGATTTGATGGATGACACTTCCAAACATGGTTGAATGTATGATTATACTATGGTCTTTGTACCATCGGGTACAACTAAGTGAGTCCCGAGGTGGCTTTGGAAGCACATTCAGTTACTTCTTTGCGCTATTGTCATTCTAGTTTAATGGAATGGAATTCTACTCATGCAAAATTTTGCATTGTTCACATGATGGTCAATATATATGGAGTATGATTTCCTTGAATGGAAAGGTGAAGGTTTAGACAGTACAATCGTCAAATAAAGTCTTATCTGCTCATTGGTCCAACCTTGTACTATCTTTCGCTTTCTTATTCTGCAATTATTTTGAAGTTAAAAACAACATTAATAAATAGTTACAAAAAAACATAAGGTAAAGGCAGAAAAGTACACGTCTTGTTGGCTACTTGTAACAACTTCAAGACTATATTTGAATCATTTATATCTTTCTTTCGACCTTTTGTCTTTGGGAGGATTTTTTTACGACAAAAAGCTCAACAGCTTTGCCATCATGATCGTGTTTTTTTCTAATGAAAAAATCTGCAATCCTCTTGATTCCTTCTTTGGTCATTGCAGTACATTACCCAACGATATGTAGCATCATTATCGTTCACAGCTGGCAAGAACTCTGCTTGGAGAGTTCAACTCCAATTCAAAATCTGCAATCCTCTTGATTTCTTCGTTGTCCATTGCAGTACTTTATTCAAAAGTACAATTTGTAGATAAAAAGTTCGCTCCATTGCAAACAAAGACAAACACACTTGTGATAATCCACAACAATTGAGAGTTGACATTAAAAGCGTGCAGTCACAGTATATCCCTAATCCTATCAAGTGAATTTAAAGTAGTAGAAATAAATTTGAAAAAACTTCAACTCAGAATAAAAATAGAATAATTGATCAAGTAGTAGAAACATATCTGGAAACTAAATCTGAAATGCACCTCAGCACCTTAATCATGAGTAGGATGAAAGCTATGGTTACTAAGTCTGAAAAATAAATCTGAGGATGGTGTACACCACAAGCTATGGTTGGGCGGAAGATAAAAACCAAAGATAAAATCCATGAATGTAGGTTGGGCGGAGGAAAATATCAAATTAAAAGTCTAAGTAAAAATTCAAGAAGATAAAACCTGGAATTGCAGGGACTCGGCGGAAGGTTCTTTCCCAGAAGGTGAGAGGAGCCGCTGAAAGTTTCCTACCCTACAAAGCTCTAAGCCACATAGAGGGAAGAAGGCTATAGACCGTTGTAAGATACAGAGAGGGTTAACGACTTAATGCTAGAGGATACTGAGGTTGCTAATTTGAGATATCATCTCTTTTAATCTGGACCACAAGTTTAGATGTAATGGTTATGAAGGAGAGTGGCATACTATTACACTAATTGAGAGTGTCAATAGAATCTTTCCATTGTTATTACTATTATTACTTTTATTATATCTGTCATAGAGTATACTTATAGTTCGACTTTTTCTTATCAAACAGGAGGAATTAAAACCATAAATTAAATATTAACGGCATTTCATTTTAGTCCACTTATATAAAAAATAGAAAGTATTTTTGCTTGATAAATCTAATGAAATCTTTTTTATATTAAAAATTACTCCCTGTGTCCCTAAAACACTTTCATTTCACTATTCATATAAATTTAATTGAAAATAACTTCTGTTAAGCATTGTAACCTACAACAGGAAAGTCTTTATGGGATGGATGGAGTTATATGCAATGCAATTTTTATTTGTGTTAAATAATATTTATTTAATTGACTAGTCATACTCGACATACTCTGAGAGAGCAAATATTATTTTGAGATTTTGGCTTGTAAGAGCAATGCCTGTAAGCTTTTTATTTGCTGTTTGAATATTCGTTGAGAGGATTTTAGTTAACAAGGTCTTTTTTATCAATACAGGAATAAGGGAGAAGTATGACGGGCTTCTTAAAACTTTTTGCTCTTGTATCCCACGTCTCATAGCTATTGTATGCAATGGGAGGTAGAAGTGTTTCTTCTTATACAAATGGAATTTGAATTATATATCCCACCCCACATTTTGAATATGATTCCACTTTGGTTAAAGAGAAGAAAATTGACCAATTCTACTTTAAGGCTCTAATATTTTGGGTTGGAGTTTCTGCAAGGAGTTAAATGCACCTTGTAAAGTTTATATTTAATGACTAAGCTCGCGGTGCCTCCAATAGGCCTTAAAGGGTCTATGGCCATATTCATTTTGGCTTTTAACTTCAGTTACCAGACTCCAACTCAAGATTTTCGCTGAAACTAAAGCATTATCTAGTCTTTAGGCCAGACCCTAGTCTCTAGACATCAGACTCCATACTCTGTACCTCTATTTTCCAGCTACAAGACTTAAGACTCTAGTCCCTAGACTTCTGACTCTACTCTCCACTTAAAATTAAGGCAAAAAGAACAAGTCCTATATCTACTTAGGTTGATCGTAAGCCTCGTTAAGTGAAACTGAGTAAAACTTATTAACTCTCTAGTCTCAACAATGACAACCTTGTTGGATTTCCATTTAGTGAATAAGTCGGTTCAATGCGTATTTAAATGGTCTGAAATTGTCCATATTTACATAGGCTGATTGTAATTCTCTTCTAAAGTGAAATTGAGTAAAATTCCCTTGAATTCTCAACAGTGATAACCAAGTTCAGGAACATCATGACAAAGAATTGGACTAAGATTAATGTCAAAAAGTTTGTAGCACTTTGCAGGATGGATTTGAGTTGCCAACGAGGCTTGCAGTTGCTGCTGCTGATGTTATTCTATCTCTTTTAGCATCAATGACAAAAAAGGATACTCTTTCGGGCTCTCTGGACTGCAAGCTAAAGTCTTTTTCTCCCAATAAAAGCAATAACTCGACAATGCTTCTACCGCATGCTGTGAGTGAGAAGAAATTAAACAAGACCTTCAAGAGTTCTCAATCCACAGACATGGAAGTGATGTTCTTACTTTGGGATCATCTGGATGAACTCATAATTCTTGCGGAGAAACTTTTAATTGTATGCTCTTAATTCTCATCAACACATTCTATCTACAATATATTTTTGAATTCTGTTCGTCAAGAAAGGTTCTTCTATTCTGGTCGGCTCCCATTTCTTTTGCTATTTGACTGTTATGAAAAGTTTCAATTCCCCACCATCCATTCAGGAAAAAATAAAGGACAAAAATACTGCAGAAAGGTCCATTTAATAGTTATTTTAATGTGCAGTGGAGCAGGAAAGGTAGGCCTCTGCATGCAAAAGGTCTAGAACAGGTCTGCAGATGGTTGAAGGCGACAAAGAGAAACTATGAATGTGCCACACATGATGAAGGTTTGGTACCATTCTGAGTAGCCCAATCATGGGTATTATTTTCATCACTTATTTCTCCACCGTCTTCTTGTAACGTTGATGGCAGATTCAAGAATGCAGAAGACAGGAGCTCTACTGCTATCTTCTTGTTGGAAATATTATGGTTTGCTGTTGCATTTAGAAGATTACAAAATATCTGGGCAATATAGAGAACTGTTGGAGCAGTACTTGTCTGGGATCCAGGTTTATCAATTATGGAGTATACACTTGTTATTCTTAGAAATCACAACACATGCAACTATGCAAGCTCATACCTCAAATTCTCTCTTTTTTTATTATTTAAAAACAGTATAAGCTGTTGTACTTCACAATGTGTTTGTGGATAACTAATACTCTTTGTCCAGTATTTCTTTTTGGGTCCTTCTCATTGTATTTGTCCACTTTCCGTTTAATGAAAAGAGGTGGTGACAATGGCTTTTCTACCTTCACCTTATACTCTTATCTCCTCCACCCCAAAAGTAAAAGTAGAGGCATAATGGTCACTTCCCTTTTTCCTTTTCCTTGGTTTATGTGCCAAACATAATTTGTAAGGCGTCGCCTAGGCGATAAGGTGCTGTCACTGGGACGCCTTGTGTGCTCGCCTCGCCTAGAAAACCTTAAGGCGATCAGGCGCTTGCCTAGGCGTCGCCGTTCCTCGCCTCACCTCGCCTTGATGCCTTGGGCCCCTTTAAAACTTTGAAAAAACCCATTTTATAGTGCAGCCCATTTTCTTTCAGTGTAGCCTAATAGACTTTAACTTAGCTTCCTCACTCTCTCTTTCTCTCGGTCTTCTCTGTCTCGATCAAGCTTCCTTAAACTGTATAAGGCCTATATATATGTATGTGTGTGTCTATATATATACACGCACACACACACACACAAACATTATATAGGTATATATGTCGCCTAACATTGGCGCCTCGCCTTGCCTTGCCACCTTACACACTATGGTGCCAAAAAGACATGGAGAGATTTACCGGGACAAAGGGAGTAATTTATAACACAGTTCTTTGATGAAATTAAGTTAATTAACTGGTTTATTATTGTCAAAAGACTGAGAAGCTTGGTCTTAATTCTGTGCGACACTGTGACTATGCTTCTGCTACTTCTCACTTTCATGTGGAAAAAACTTATGCCAGTAAATACTTCCAGTTTTTTGCAGATACCCAATCTGAAAAGCCTTCTGAAAATAAAGATAGTGGAACTGATACCCTGAAGTTTTTTATCAATTGCCTTTGCCTTCTATTGGGGCGATTAGTTGGTACAGAATTTGAAACTGCAATCTCAGAATATGGTTCACAGATATGTCAAGCTCTCACACCACAGGTAATGATGGGATGCTTAAAAAACAGGATGCTTGAGTTTCTAAGATAATACCAGCCTTATCAGTGCACATTTGAAACACTTTATTACACGTTTGAATGAATGCACAATTTAATGGAAATTGGATCAAACTAGGAAATTGATGTTTTCTGATCAATTTACTAAGATGCTTTGTTAGTTTATTTGACCCACAAATACCACCTTTCTTAGGTTTTTACACATTGTGATAGATTGGGATGCTATTGATTAAACTTGAATTTTCTCCTAACTCAAGTTCATTCTCTCTCTGTGTCCCTCTTCCCTTCATCTTATATTCTCTTCATCTTCTTTTCCTTTTTTTTGTTGGCCATCAGTCTCAATGACTAACAGTCTTTTGGCCTCCTATATTACCAGGAAAAACTTTGAATGAGTTTTTTGGGATAGTTTATTTTTTGAGTATGTTAGATAAATAGTGAGGCTTGCGTGTTACTGTTGGCTATTCAATTTCTAATTCCTAAGACATGCTGGTTTCAGCCATTCATTTCTCATCGACTGTACTTAATGTAGCATAAAACATTCCATGAAGTTAAGGGTCGATTTAGATTATGCTTAGGCCAGTGTATTTCCTTAGTATCTTTAACTTTTATCTAATTTAAACAGTCTTTCGGTATCCTGTTTAGCTTCACAGTGTTGAGCGTGAAGTAATTGAGGGAGCTACTTGCATCCTTCGAGTTGTCACCTTTAAAAGAAAAAGAAGCCTGACTAAATTTGTTGAAATTAAAGAGATCTATGCGAGTCTACCCATGTTGTTACACCTTTTGGATGAGCGAGATGGTGTAGAAAAAATGTGGTTAAGCAGGGCTCAAGAATTAATGTGTATTTGAATAATAGGATCTAGCCTTATTTGTGCACACTTGAAACCTTGATTGTGCATATGAATGAATGCACCATCTAATGGAAAATGGATCAAACTAGATAACTGACGTGTCCTTATCAATTCACTAAGTTGTCTCTTTAGTTTATTTGACGGTTGATACATATTGTGATAAATTGGGGTGCTATCGATTAAGATTGAATTTTCTCCTAATCCAAGTTTATTCTCTCCCTCTGTCCCTCTTCTCTCCATCTTCCCATGTTCTCTCTATCTGCTTTCTCTTTTCTTGTTGGCAATCAGTCTTAATGATTGTCTTTTGGCCTCCTATAAAGCTTGCCAGGCAAAAGTAAGTTTGAATGATTTTTGTTTGGATAGTTTACCATTGACTATGCTAGATAGATAGGGATATTTGCGTATTATTTGAAATAGTCTCTCTACTTTCCAGTACGGACAAGGTCTGCGTACACTCACCTTCCCCAGAACCTACTTTCGTGGGATCCAACTGGGTTGCTATTGTTGTAAGCTATTCAATTCTAATACCTAAGACAGGCTGGTTTCAGCCATTCATTTCTCATTGACTGTATTTAATGTAGCATTGTAGCATAAAACATTCCATGAAGTTAAGGGTAGATTAAGATTACATGCTAAGGCTAGTGTAATTCTTTGGTATCTGTAATCTGTATATAATTTTGAAAAGTATTTTGATATCCTCTGAAGCTTCATAGTGCTGATGGTGAAGTTATTGAGGGAGCTACTTGTGTCCTTCGAGTTGTCATCTTTAAGACAAACAGAAGATTGACCAAATTTGCTGAAATTAAAGAGATGGATGCTAGTCTACCTATGCTGTTACACCTTTTGGATGAGCAAGATGGTGCAGCAAAAGTTGTGGTTAAGCTCATTGCAGAGTATTGCTCCATGTATGTTGGTTGGTTAAAAGACGAGAAGCGCACCGAGATTCATTGAATAAAAAAATAATCTTGGGCACCATCATAACCTCCTTTTTTTTGCAGATGCTTAGACATTAGATGTTTCCAAAATGTTTTGAAGCGCCTTGTTACTGGAACTCTTTCACAGAAAAGAAATGCTCTCCATTTTATTTCAGACATTATCCATATATCAATGGAATCAGATTGTGCACTCCCTCAATCAATGAGGTACATGACTATTAACTTTAATATTGAATATGGATTTTGGTGAATTGTCATTGCTAAATCTTTTACCCAGTTCGGGTGCGTTTTGTGGCATTATATTTGTGCATTTTTCTAAAGACTGCCAGTATACCGTCATTGGGGTGATCTGCAGGCAAGATATAGCGAACAACTTGTTGGCTTTTCTGCAAGAAGAAGATGTCGTTATTTGCAATCAAGCATCCAGGTTGATCCCTTTTGTTGGTGAGTGGAGAATAAAAAAAGTGCTTAAAACTAACTTGGAAGTTGTTTCTGTTGGCTGTTGCTTTATAGCATATTCATGGCAATATTAGTTTCACATGACTTTAGCAACTGCCTTAGCTTCTGATTTTCTTTAATTTTGTTATTTCATTTGAATACTACTTAAAACAGAGCATTGTTATTAACACATACTTCTGCATTAGGTCATGAATTGGTTCTCCATCTTGTATCATTCTAATCGAATAGGTTTACAGTGAACAGAACACATGATACTCTGTATGATCATAATGGGGCAGAGTATAGTTCAAATGCAACATTTGCAAAATATTACCAACTATTGATTAGAAAGCAGTTTGTTTGAACTCTCCTAGCACCTGTGTGTCTTATGTCTCAGACACGTCTGTAACACCATGTTACTTCCATTGTATTTTTGTAGATCCTTCTTTAGTTCTGCCTGGATTGGTGAATCTTATCTATTCGCCAAATGAAGGAGTACAATCATCTTCTGGAACTGCATTCGCGTCATTACTGAAAAACTACAAAGATAAGCCTGAGATTGTATGCATCCTAATAGATTGTCTCAGGTAGGTCAATTAGTTAATGACACTAACAGTGATCTTATAGTATTCTTCTTTTAAAAAATCTTCCAAGATTTATTTGATTGACTTGGCTTTCTTCAACTTGTTTTTTCACCTATTCTCTTATCTTTGCAGCAATACTCAAGCTGTTACCAATGGTACGCATTACTCTTCTCAAGAGAAGCATTTGACACGGCATTGTAGTCCAATATTATATGAAGTATATCATTTGCCTTTATCTCAATCAATGCTTGATAAGAACATTCATGAGCTAATAGAACATAGATGGCAACGGTATTTATTTGCAATGTCAAAGAATCACATGTATTTTATGTATTAATTTGTAAAGCATATATAGTTAGGACCTGCAAATGTTTTTTTAGACTAAGCTTGTGATGATCCATGAGAGATTGTGGATCGATACGTAATTACTTAAATTGGGACTTGGGCCAAACTTCCCTTCTTGAGCTAGCTTTGGTGATGGAGTAAGGGTCTGTGTCTGTCATGGGTTCTCTCAACCTCATTGAGGCAGGAAAGGACTATGTATTGCTTGATTAGGTCCGAAGCTGTCCCAAGGGAAAAAGTGCTACTTGGCATGGAGAAGAGTCTGAAGTGGGCTCTTTTGCAGACGCCTAGCTTATCGAGGGATCGATAATCATACGATGGCACATTGGGTGTACAAGAAACATTGGATTGGTACTTAATTTAGGTTGGATCTCCACTCTTGGGATAACTTTTGTTGTGGAGTAAGGGCCATGGCTTGAGTGCTTATTCTTGCACTCTTGATTTATTCTTGACCACTCCAAATCATGTTTTCTTTTCATGATTTGTATAATGCAGCAGACCTTTTTTGTATATTGTCAATCCCATTCATATTCTACAATTACAATGTAACACAAAAGTCTGCTTCAAATGAAAATGGCCATGTTAGATATAATCGGGTTTGTTCACATATAATTGAATGGGTAATTGCCTAATCGGTCAATGTTTAGGTTGGTTAGTATGGAGTAGGTTAAGTGTTTTTACATATTTAATTAATTCAAAATAAACAGTTGGATAGTTTGTAATATTAATTGGTGTGTTGGTTTGTAATAGGTGTGTGGGTCTGTAATGGTTGGTTGTCTTGGTGTGTAAAAGTTGTGTTGGGACTGTTGGTTTGTTCTCTATTTTTATTTAGAGAGCACAATGAATCCTGTAACTGTACACAAGTAACACAACATTAAAAAATATTTTTCTACTTTGCTTTGATCCAATCTTGTCTAACAATTGGTCTCAGAGCGGTCTAGTTTGTGATAAGGGTGTGTGTGATCGGGAGAAGAAGGGATATGCCAGATCATAAAACAAAGCGTTAGAGACTTCCTCGACAACAGATCAAGAATATTCGACCAGATTCTTCCTCACCTAGGACAAGAATAGCAAGTGGCTGGTTTTTTCTTTTTGCAGAAGTATTCCAACCAAACAGTGTGGAAAAAAATGAATCAGTGGGGTAGCATTCGTTAGCGGCTTGGAAGACAAAAGCAGAGGGCTTGTTTTCTGGTTGATGGTTGATTGCAAGTGGCATACAACCCAGGAAGGAATCGGAGTCTAAGAATTTTTTGAATATTGTCGAAGGAATTTAAGTCATGCAATGTAAGACAACCCAAACATACAGATTACAGATTCTGACTACAATGGAGAATAGTTCACTATCTTTTCGGGTTCCAATTTGAACTGCTACAAACTACACTATTTAGGTTGTGAAGATCAAATCGGTTTTCAACATTGATGGGATTTGGGAGGTGATCAAACCACGAACAGAAATCAATCCAAAGAACAATATGGTAATAACATATTTGTTTCAAGCTTTGCCAGAAGAGATCGTGTTACAAGTTGCTTGGTTTACCGAAGCTAAAGAAATTTGGGATGCTCTAAAGAGTCGCCTCGTTGGTGTTGACATGGTAAAAGAGGAGTGAAACGCATGGTTACACACTCAAATCAGATTTTGAGTCTCTAAAGATTAAGAACAATGAGTGACTTGATGATTTTGCTGGTAAAATGAGTCAACTTGCAACATAATCAAGCAACCATGGTTCTGCATTTGGGTACAAAAGATTGGTTCAAAAACTGTTGGGTTTTGTGCCAGAAAGTTCATACACATCGTCGTTGCAATTGAATAGTTTGCTGACATTAACATTATGTCCTTTCAAGAAGCGTTTGGAAGATTGAAAGCATTCCAGGAGCGCATAAAAAAGCAAACTGAGAAATGAGATACACATGGTGAACTACTATTTACTAAAGGTGATGTAAAAGAGAAGGTTAAGGAGCACAGATGTGAGCATTGTGTTTGCGGGAGCTCAAACCGAGAAGACTTTGGACGTGGCCGAGGTAGAGGTCGGGAGTCCGGGAAAGGTCAAGATGGTGGTCGGTTTCAACGGGATAAAAGTCACATTAGGTGTTTCAAGTGCAACCAGCTAGGGCATTTTGTGAACGAATGTCCAAAATAGGATCAAAAGGAACACATTGCAAATTTGATTCAAGATGAATAGATGATGATGAACCAATGTTGATGTGAAGAACGGTGTGAACAAACAACAACTAGGGGTGTGATTGTTAAATTTAATCATATTTGTGTGATAACTGAATGGGTAATTGGTTAATGTTTAGGTCGGTTAGTATGGAGTCGGTTAGTGTGTTTGCACATATTTAATTAATTAAAAATCAACAGTTAAGTAGTTTCTAATATTAATAATATGTGTGTTGGGTTGTAATGGGTGTGTTGTTCTGTAATAGACTAATAGTTGTCTTGGTTTGTAAAAGTTGTGTTGGTTTGTTCTCTTTTTATATTTAGAGAACACAGACAATAAACTTCTATTTTGCTTAGATCCGATCTTGTTTAACAGGCCACCAGTGTTATCCATGACACTATGACATTGGCCAATTTGAGCATCCCACATTTTTACGCCCGAACCCGAAGTGATTCCTCTCCTCTAAACCCCTCGTAAAACCCCCCCAAGCCACCCTGCCTCCTCCCACCCCACCTCCCTCAATTAAACCCGCAAAATTGGTTGACATTTTGTTCAAAACTTGGACCAAAATGTCGATGATTTTTTTTGGGGGGGGGGAGGGGGAATTGAGAGTGTTGAGGTTAGGGACGGGGTGAGTTTTACGGGTGGGGGGTTAGGTTTTGAAAGAATTTTGGTGTCGAACGGAGCACCGTAGTCTGATCAAATTGGCCAGGTATACAGGTGTGTAGTGTCATCTGAACCTTGCCGATAACCTATGGAGTGTTCGATTAAGAGTCGGAGGGGGGGAGGGGGTTAGGGGGGTACGAACCACCGTAGAGTCTCAATTTGGCCAGTGCCATAGGATGACACTGGTGGCTAGTGTCATTTGAATCCAGCCGATATCACAAATATGAAACCAATTATTTAAATGATTTACAAAGGTGTGAGATGTAAGCTGTCCCTTGGGTGTGTCTGCAACAATGTTACATGAAATGGACTAGCAATAACATCACACAAACAGTGATGCCCAGTCTTCCCAATTCAGCTTTTGTCAAATTGTGTATAAACATGTATGCTTTGTTGGATACTACTAATGTGTGTTTTCTGTTGTGTTCTTTGAACTGGGGGGGGGGGGTCTTTTGTAAATAGCCTCTCTAACTTTTAGGTGGAGTTAGAGCTTGTTCTCTTCAACTTATTCTTATTGGGATCAGGTCAGAATAGAATGGATCATACCAGATCAGACCTTATTGAAAACGGATCAGATCCAATTAGTTCAGACGAAGAGAACAAGCTCTTAGACCTTCCCCATACCCAATTCGCGGGATTTTAATGGGCTGATGTTGTATATAAACATGTCTGCAAATAATACTCTTCTTGTCCCAATGTCATAGTGCCATCTGTGTATTTTTTGCGAAGGGCTAATGTATAATGGAAGTCCCACAATGAGTTTTCAATACTCTTCCTGGTTGAGTTATAATTCATTGAGTAAATTCACATTTAGGCTCATCTAACATTCCATTTTAGTTCTCTTTTTTGAGAGATTTATACAATTCATTACTTGCCATAATCTGGTTTTTATTCGGTGGTTCTCTTTGAATATTCTTATCAGGATCACACTTAGATTTTGAAAAGGTGCTACAATTGCTTCAACAGTGGTCAAAAACTGTAAGTTTTGTTTTAGTCTATTTAGTCTGTTCCGTGTGGTTTGAAATCTGAAATCCAAGCGACTATTCATCCATGGTCTTTCATTTTCACGTCTTTTCAAAAGTTATATGTCATTCCTATCCCAGTTGTCCCCTCTGCTTCTAAATGCCCTTTCTTTTGTCTAAATGATGTTTACTAGTCAGAAAATAAATTTTAATTTTCTGGAAAACCTCTTTCATCTAAATTTAGAATATCAAAGATGCGTTGTAAAGTGCTCTTGCTGCATGCATTTTACTGGATTCTTTCTTCATGCTACTTTTAAAGCATCTCTGACTTTACCAATTTGGTTTTCTTTATATATGTATCGGTGTTACCCATTAACACCATCATGGGATGAAAATGTTAATTTATATAACTAAAAAAGTATTTATGCATCGTTCCATCAGCAGGAAGCTGCAATGTAAGAATGACATTAGTTCATTGCTGTTTAGTCTCTTACATCTCAGTTCAGTGCAATTTCCTTAAGTTTCTTTAGTCCAAAATAACTGCAGGTTGAACATTGGGATTTATTGATTGGCTCCCTGGTCAATAAGCTCTTCATGGATCCTTCAAATGCAGTTACTGTCAGGTTTCTAAGCTCCATAAGTGAACACTTGGCAGAAAATGCAGAACTAGTCTTTCAGCAACTTCTATCTTACACGAGAAAGAAAGAGGAGTGAGTGGTTTCATATATTCCCTTTTTTTGGTCATGCAATAGAAGCAGTTAATTTTCTATAAATACCCTGGATGTTTTGAACACCACAGTTACACACAATGACACAATTCTCTCATATGTTTTAAAATGATCTGTGGTCAATTGCAAAACAATTGTTCATCTCGTCACTGGAATCCCAAGAGAGTATAACTAGGAGGGCAAAAGTTATACAAAAGTGTTCTTATTATAGATATGTATTATAATTAAAACATAAAGCCTTAATATGATTAGTAACGAAAAATGTATCTATGCGTCCAGTTAAAGTTCCTTTGACTACAAACACATGGCTATTTTCCTATTGTTTTGAACAAACTAAAGGCGTCAGACTGAAGGACGCCGAAAGCCGCCAATGCCGAATGCCACCGACACGTGTCTTGCCTTATATTAACTTATCAAGATTTGTGTTTCACAAATATCTATCTCTCTCAATGATAGTGTGTCTACAAGCAACTTATCATTGTCTCCTCGTTTTCAGCATCTTCAATGATAGTTTGTGTGCAAGCAATGGTACTGCAAAATGCGAACTCTCGATTTTCAACCGTCTTTGCCCTTTGCTTGTAATTAGGCTTCTTCCCTTGAGTGTTTTTAACAATCTTGGTTCTTCTCTCATGTATGGTGAACTACCAAAGAAATTGGCTACTGGCGGTAATTTTGCAGGCTTTGAATAATTCAGTTCAATTATTGCCTAATTTGGTTATCTGATTGTGTTCGCCAAAAAAACTTCTTGCTAGCAGATATCAAAGGTTTCAGATTGCTTACTGATGAGTGCATTACAACACTGCTAATCCAAAGGTTTTTGAATTTTTTTTCCTTTGAAATAGCTTTCAAATCAGAATGTCCTATGTTGAAATTTTATTTCGCACAGGGCATTGAACAAGATTGAATTTGAAGATGTCCGGAAACTTTCAGCTGAGCTTTGTGGGAGAATTCATCCCAAGGTATGCACTGATGTGACCTTTACAAATGCTTCTTGTGTAGTTAAGGGAAGTCAGCAATCAATCGTGGTTATCCTCATAGTGCATTTATGTTTTTAATTTCATATTGTTCCTATCATAGTTCTTTTGAAAAAAAGTTTCGAGATAATTTCTGAGATTCTAAATTTAAAATTCCATGTATCAATTGTCAAAGCTTTTAGCGGGCATTAATCTTGTGCTAACCATTTCTTGGAATGGATGGGAAGTTTAAAGTAGCTGATGTAAGCATGCCTGAGGTCACCTCATGATGTCCCCTGATAGCATAGGATAAAGTTTTCTTCCCATTTATACCTCTGTACTCTTCACCATTTTAGATGAATTTAGACTGATATACCCTATTCTTTCACATAGATAATAGCAATTTATTTTCAGGAGTGAAAAGTCTTTTCAGTGTAAAAAATTCAACAGTGTACTTTTTCAACAAGATGATAGTGGTCTGTGAAATCGGAACCCACCACCACACCAATCTCCTCGTTGCAACTCACCAACAGAATCCCCACTGTCATTGGTGTACCACCGCTGCCACACACACAACCTTACCCGATGGAGACAATTTTTGGTTTCTCAGATTGATGAAAATCTGATCATCCATTGATGACAGAGCCACCACCATTCGGCTCTGGGCTCAGCATGAGAGGACAAGTTTGACACGGCCGTCTCTGATTCAATCCGCCACCGCCACTTGTGCCGACTTTAACCACTGTTACAGAGCATATTTGTTCTCTGTTCAACTACTCTAACGGCATCTGGTTCCTCTTCCTTTAAAACCCAACCTGCATCACCCAAGTGTGATTTTTGTCATAAAATTGGTCAGATAAAGGATAGGTGTTGGGGTCTACATGAGAGCTTTTAACCTCATCAAAATTTCCTCCCAATATTCAGCTGTGACTTCACCTGCCAAATTCTAGGAAGAGTAGAAGCTCAATGCATCTATTATTTCACAATGTATGTGTACGACATACGTTTCAAAACCTTCTGGGATGTGGATCTTGGATTCAGATGCCTCTGATCATGTTTCTGGTAATTCCTAGCTTTGGTCAAGTATGTTCACACCCCAATTTATTCTCTTGCCAATGGTCTCCAAGCACCAGCAACAAGTGTTTTCCATGCTCTCCCACAGTCATCCTTACCTTTAGTTAATGTTTTATATGTACCTAATAGTCAGTTTAATTTTGTGACTATTAGCAAACTTACTCGTGCTCTTAACTCTATTATACCCTTCTTTGCTGAATCCGTGAGGATAGAACTTAGAAGACTGTAATACAAAGAAGTCGATATTACTTTCATTGACCCAATCCAGTTGCTTGTTTGTCTTCCAAGCAACAATTAGCCTTCCTAACAGCCTAGGCCATCCAAGTCTTTCCAAACTTTATCATATGGTCACAGGTTTGTAACTCCTTCAAGATTGTGAGTCATGTGACTCATGTCACCTTGGTAAGCAACCTTACAGTCATACCAAAAATGATTAATAACAGAGCAGAATCTCAATTTGATCTTGTTTCTACTATGCAGTATATACTATACTTTTGTCAGTGACACTTATTCTTCCAAAGTGGCGTCAGGCTATGTTGGTTGAGATGGAGGTTCTTTGTTCCAGTGGCACATGGGAATTGGTTCTTTGGTTCTTCCTTTTCACTATGTTCAACTTTTTAAAACAAACTTTCAGTGGGTAATCCACTGACACCAAACAATAAATTTCCTCACTATGTTCAACTGTTTGTGTTAAAAAGTTTATCAGTCGTAAAGGATGCCTAGTGAAAATAGGTTACCCTTACATTTATCGACATGGTTCTACGACAACAACAAAACCCAATAAAATCCTACAAAAGTAGGGTTTGGGAGGGGTGAGTATATGCAGACCTCCCAAAAGTAGGGTTTGGGAGGGGCGAGTATAAAATCCTACAAAAGTATAGATAATGTTGCTAAGAGACCCCTAGCTCAATTACAGAAGAAGATGCACACAGAATCAACATGCTTTCAACAAGAAAATTAGGCTAGCAGATCACATTAGCACAAGTGAAGCACATATGAAGTATGAGTAAGAAGAAATGAGAGAGAAGATGTCCAAATATTGACTCAATGAACAAGAACCACAGTCCACTGACACAAGCTACGGAAAATGCATAAAGACATGCCAGCTAGAAAAATGACCTAAGGCTCACAAGCTATCCAATCACTTTGGTTCTAGATCTCGAGGCATTCTTATTTGGTCATATCTATGGTCTTTATTCTATGACACTTTTTTCACATGTGGAAAACGTTGCATGTGTCGCGTTGATTTTATGCATGGATGCCATGAATGAGTTGTTGGGCAGCACTGTGAAGCAATTGTTTGTAGCGGAGGCATGGACAAGGCTTAGCTCGGAGAGGTGTCAAGTTACAGTCAAATGACAGTGAGCACATTGGCCTAAAGGATTAGATAACTACTCATATCATCAGTGGTGCATCTTTTTTTTCGAGAGCCCATTTTGGAAGTAACTTCAATTTTAAGCTTGCTTAGTTTAGAGCAATTTTAAAATGGGTGACCTAGGATAACTTATACTGGAAAGACATTGATTGGTGGTTTGTGAGGCTAGCTATCCATCCTTACCCAGCTCAAAGAATATATACTCCGTATTTATCAATTTTAAGACTATAGGATTTGGAAAGCTAAGATAGGGGATTAAAATTGCTCAATCTTGCAATGCCCTTGCTCTCTCCCAAAGGAAATATGCTTTGAACATTCTTGAAGAAACAGGTATGTTGGGTTGGAGGCTAGCTGATATGAAACAGGTGTGTTGGGTTGGAGGCTAGCTGATGTAAAGCATACATGAGGTCATCCCTATTTTGTGATATGATCACCCGGAAAAAGTATAGGCGTAAAGCCCACATCCCAGGCCTAGCCGGAGAGGGAAGCACATTGTGACTTGAGGACGCCCATTCTTGGCATACATTTACTTTAGTTTATTCGCTTTACAATTTGGTGTTTGTTTTCTACTAAGATTCTTTCATTCTTCGTAGTTCTTGAAAATTTAAAGGTAGTTTTGGATTCCAATAAGAGCTTGTTCGCTTCAACTTATTCTTATTATATTTAAATAAGACCACAGATTAGATGAGAATAGAAACAGTTTTAGATATAACTATAATCAGACCAGGACCTTCCTAAAATCAAATCATATCCAATCAGATCAAAGAGATCAAGCTCTTGAAATCCTTCTTCAAAACACATCTGCCTATGCGTGTGTTTTCCACATGCCTTGTCGAACTCTGTTGGACAAACTGCAACGGCGGGGAATTTTCCCTTCATCATAGGGAATAAAACTCTTCCCAGCGAGCTTTCGAAAATGAACAACATACTGTAAGTCTGACACAGTTTTTGCCAAGAGCATAACTTATTGGATTCGTCGTTGACCATCATGGTTGATTTACAAATGATGCAAGAAATTATAAAGCCCTTACGATCCTCTGTGCAATGGATTGATGCCCTAGCCCCCATCGTCAAATTCAATATTGCAACTCACTCGCAACCGAAGAACTACTCATCGACTGACAACATGGATACCCCTTGCCTTAATTTCTGCAGTACCTGCAGTAGAATGGGTCTGACAGCCCCTTGAGCCAAGCCCCTCAATCAGAAACCTACTTTGCTAACCAATGTACCTAGCCTCCAGTTATCCATCTGTGGCTGCGCTGCACTTGTCTCACCCTGTTAAATTATGGATTCACCAGCTACGGTGCAAACTTTCAGTATTAACTTGGGAGACGTGTTGTACCACTGTACAAGTGGTACAGTTGCCTCTGTTTTGGCCCACCTTCCAGCATTTACCTGATTGGGAAAATTTACCAACTCGAAACAACATGGCTACAAGCTCGATGAACATGAGCAAAAGTTCCAACAGCACTTGGCGCGGATAGCCTCCGTACCCCCTCCCTTTCAAGTTTCTATGTACAGTGTTGGTCTTAATGAGCACGTCGAACTAGATGCTGATCTTTCCCTCGCCATGTGTTTGGCATGCAAACCTGATCCCAAGGCTCATAAATTGCAAGTCCTTTGCCGTAAACAATGAATCCCAGCCTCCTCACCTCCAACTTGCACGATCCACTGCCCCCTGGGTGCTCCACCAAGCCTGTTTATTATGTGCTTCTCCATGCAGGAGATTGCGGAATGTAGTACCTGGAGGGGTTATGATTCAACTATAGCGAGCATTTCCATGCGTGCGGTAAGCGAATACAATTGTTCTCTCACAGTAAACAACAACGGGGAGGCTGAAGTGGTGTTAGGTGATTATTTTGCTGCATGCCATGGCCACCCTAAAGACTAACCCCCCTATGAGGGTATGCTCATGAAGGGCATCCAATTATCACCAGATTGATTTTGTAAGCACTCATAATTTTATTAGCAACACAACACACGCCTTGGGACTTCCACATGAACCTTTAGTAGGGCTAGTGGTAGCAGTGGTACACGACACATGCATAGCAGCAGGTTTTCCAACAACACCGTGATTCGCAAAAGTACTGATTGGTCGACAACTAACTCTTGGGAATCAAGTTGCTTGAGACTTTGGGCCGGATCACACTCGACCTTGAACAGCTAACCATGTCCTTCGTGTTGAGTGGCACCCACACCTGTTGGAAGGGAGATCTAGACAAGGATCACGCTTCTCACCTTCAGACAAGAGCTGTACTCCAATAAGGAAGCTATACAAGCGCTACTAGCAGAACATAGTGTTATTTTTAAAGTTCCTACCACACTACTTCTCCGAATTTTTTAAACACAGCATCCACTCTTGTTATACTATGGCCATGCTGCCACTCTCAATTGCAAAACGATGAGATTAAACGATACTGCTCGACGGTGCCACACTTTCTGTAGTACTTCCATGCCACTACCCTCAATTGCAAAAGGATGATATTGAAGGATGCTGCTCAAAGATGCTATATTGTGGGCTCATCCGACCCATCAAATCAGCCTTCTCTTCCCCAGTTCTTCTTGTTTGCAAATCAGATAGTAGTAATACATTGCGATTTTGTGCTGATTACTGGGAACTCAACTCCAAAGCCGTGAAGGATGAATGTCCCATGCCTATGATCGATGATTTATTGGATAAACTCTATGGGGGACATACTTCATGAAGCTTAACCTCCACTTGGGCTACCATCAGGTGTAAATGGCGCTGCTCACATCGAGAAGTCATCGTTCCACGCCAACCATGCTGTTTGAATGCTTGGTCCTGCAGTTTGGCTTGTCTAGTGCCCCATTTACCTTCCAAGCGTTGATGACTACCGTCTTCAGTCCCTTCTTAAGGCATTCTATCTTGATGTATATTGATATGTATACTGACTTTATCCGTTGAGATTAATGTAGATTGATATATATATATATATATATATATATATATATATATATATATATATATATATTATTTCACTGTTTGAAAGATGAACAAATCTTTTTCTGAATGATTCTGCAGGTTCTTGTTCCAATTATTTCCTTTGAATTGGAAAATGCTACTGGTAGCCCAGATCTACTAAAGATTAAAACCTGTCTGTTTGTAATGTGTACATCACTAAGGGTTAGATCTCTTTAACGTAATTTAAAGTTTGTTTCCATCCTTGAAAGTTGGGACTTTACTTGAATATTATGATTACTCACATGTATTTCATTTAATAGATCCGAGGCAAGGAATTGTATATGCTTCTAGATGTGCCTAGAATAAGGATTGCAATAGAAGCTATTTTATTATGGCCTTCCATGGATGCAGACAATGGTAAGTGATTCAGGTTTTCTTCAATGACCGGAAAGTGGGAAAAATGTGTGCAAAATGTATACCTGAAAGCAGATATCATTTTATAAAATAATTTCATGCCAGTTATTCTCTGGTACTGAACACAGAAAAATGTTTTCCTGAAAAGCAGAAATTTAGAATCATTTTAGAATTTTATGGAAGTTATTATCTGGTGCTAAACAGCAGAAATTCAGAAAAGATGTTCCAGCAGTGGAAAATTTGAAAAATATTTTATTTAAAAGCATTTCCCTTGAAACAGAGCCTTGGCTAGTATCTGTTGGCTTTGGCAGTAATGCAGTATTTCTATTATCTTACAATTGGGTATTTGGAATATTTTCTCAACAGTTTCAAAGGCGCAACATGGGTGCATTGACTGTCTAGCATTGATGGTGTGTACAGAGCTACAAGCAACAAAAGCATCCGGGAAATCAATTTCATGTACGGCTTGTCACTTGTGATACCCCAGCAACACTTTTCCTGGATGTCCTTTAGGTTTGTATCACCTTTTTCTTTTTTTCTGTCGCTAATTGAAGAACTGTGACACAATTGTAGGGGACGCACTTGACAGCTCAGTTTTCTATTACGTAATTCAGCAATTGACTTGTGAGGATCTAGACAAACTTCCTCTTGAGATGGGTACAGGGGGGAAAACCACAGCTCATATCTCATTTCGTCTGTGCATGGCAAATGTGCTCATCAGTGTTTGCCAGAAGATACCAGAGCCTAGCAAAAAGGATGTTGCTTCTATAATTCTTCCCAGCATTCTTCAATCAATCAAGGTCTGCTGTACCTTTCTTAATCATAAAAAACTTTTGGCAGATCATAGATTTGTGTTCTATGGCATTATTAGATTGTCAATTAATCTAAATTATTCTTTCAATCAGATAATCGCCGATTCAGGCATTAGGTCTGCATGCATCCAGGTTATGTTTTCGGCTGTCTACCATCTAAAGTCTGCGGTTCTTCCTTACTCCTCTGTTATTCTTGAAGCGACCATCAGATCACTAAGAGAAGAGTCTGACAAGGTATATAAAGATATGCGCTATGGTATATTATCAATTTATCATTACCTATCTGAATTTGGATCTTCTGCCATGAGCTGCCTGGTGGATATCAACCATGCCATGGTCATGGGATCCTATTGGGTCCCATATTGTTCCCGTGGCACTTGAGCGCCAGGCATGGAAACCAGAATCATACTTATCTCAAGTTTAACCCTAGCATTATTTGGTGTTAATTGACACGGGTTTTCATGTCACCTAACCAAGATAATTCTTTTGAAGTTATGATGATATTCATCGCTCAGTCTCTCTTTCTTCGAAGTTTGTATAAGTGTGCTCCATGATAATTACAAATATATCTTCTTGGATTCAAGAACTCTAACTTTTCTTTATCAGGAGAGAATGGCAGGCGCCAAGTTACTTGCATCATTAATGGCGAGTGAAGAGGCAGTAGTACAGAGCATTTCAGTGGGATTGTTGGAAGCCAGAGACTTGCTCCATGTTCTTGCTCTATCTGATCCTTCATCGGATGTACAAAGTATGTGCCAGAAGTTGCTTGCATGCATGTCTTCTCCCTGAATTATCACACTCTCGTCCTTTATCATATGATGATTGGATAAGCAGACAACATACACTTATTATGGGTTATGCAAAAATAAATGAACGACTTGGGTAAAGATAGTGTGAACCTCATTTTCCAACTACTCCAATGCGGGCTTACCTCTGTTTGTTGGAACTGTTCCCATGTTGGTCAAAGATGCTGCGGACGCTACCCTTTCAACTGCACAAGTGCATATCCCAGGTTCGAATGTCACCGTGAAAAAGTTGTGTAATGTTTTGTTAAAATATGGAAATGGATTCCTTTAAGCCAGGGATCGCAAACCCTATTTGTATCATATTGGGCCTCCAATGCAAGAAATACTTAAATTAGGCACCTTGCTCATAGGTGAAGGACATCCCTTTGCAGGTCAGGATAGCATCCCTAATAGTTTAACCGTGAAAGAAGTTTTAGGGGGAGATTAGACATGAAAAATTAAGTCTTTGATTAGATATTATGTTAAAAATACAGTATTAATTTTCACTTTTAAGTTACAAAATCTAATTACAATAATCTTATTTTGAAAAAAAACTCCCTCCATCTCAGGAAGAATTCTACATGACGCAAAACAAAGCAAAATTTTATGTTTTTAAATTTTTTTATTTAAAGATTGGTATAGAAATAAACACATGTGCTCATATTTTAAAAAAAGAAAAATTATCTAAAATAATCTCACCTTTTAAATAAATGAAAGGTGGCATTATTTTAGACAAATTTAATTTTTTCTGTTTCTTATTTTAAATTTAAAATTAATATTATTAAAAATATAACAATACACTCTTTTAGAGATTTGTCTAAAAATTTACAAATTTTGTTTTCTATTTTGGGAAAATATAATATTAAATTACTTCCTTCGTCTCATTTTATAACGCCTATTTCGATTTACGATGTTTGACTGAAGTTATTTTCAAATTATTTTATATGACAAATGGTATAGAGTTAAAAAATAAAAATTACATATCAAAATACTACATCAAAAGATCTACAAAACTAGTAGTGACAACAATATTTTATTTTATCAAATTGCTAATGAAAATAGAGAAAGAAAATGAATGAAGTTTGACCCTGTAAATAGTGAACATGCATTATAATTTGGGACGGAGGAAGTATAAAACATAGTTCAAAGAAGAAAGAAATTGCAATTAAAAAATTGTAGTGAGTTATAAAATTTATTAGTGCCATTTAGGAGAAAAAAATATTGTGTCATTCTCACAACTTTTGAATTATTCCCTCTGTCTCCTAAGATGTTCTCATTTTGACTTTTGATGGTTTTTAAGGAGAGTTGAAAAAAAGTGAAAGTTTACCATAATACTCTTAATGAAAAATGGGTGGAGTGTATTAAATGAGGTGGGTGAGGTGTAATAAATAAAGTAAGTGGGGGTAGTTGTGGTATTTTAATTGTTAAAAAACGAAATGAGAAGATCTATTGTGGACAAAGAAAAAGGGCTATTGAGAAGATCTATGGGGGGCAGAGGGAGTACTATTTTGGGAAAAATTTTGTAATGAATTATCAAAAACAATTACAAATTAGGTAGTTCCATTTTACAAAAAGTAATATAGGCAATAGAAGATTATCAATAGATATTTTGGAGTGTTTTTCATGAAAAAATTACAACATAACAGAAAATGTAGTGAGTTACGGAGTATAAAAATAAAAGTTTCATTTCAGAAAAAAAATTGTTCTATATTCACAATTATTGTAATGTCTTTTCACAAAAAATATTTATGTATAATTATCTAAAAATATTCACAAGTTTTGTAGTGCCATGTTTTAAATAGTAATAATAATAATGAGATAGTATCAAAAAACAATTCGAAGTGCCACTCAAGAAATAATCGCAACTTATGAAAAAATATAGTGAGTTATGAAGTAAATAAACTATCTCTATTGTGTAGAATAATTAATTTTTTAAAATTATTACCAGATTATCGACTTAGTGAAAAAACAATTAGTTTCACTTTAAAACACTTAAATTTGGTATTAGTTTTCCAAAAAAATTAAAAATACATTTAAATTTAAAGTTACAAATAAAAAAAAGAATTTACCTAAACTAACCCCACCATTTATTTATTTGCAAAAAATAGGCATTTTTCAAAAATTTTGTTAAGTGACCATTAGTTTTTTAACGACGACCTACAACTCGCACGCATGCGAAAAGTTGGAATTATTTCCGGTGACAGTGAAAAAAGGAATTATTTTTGAAAGAGCACGAAAAAGTGTGATCGTTTGAGATAATTTTTCCTTTGAAAATACGTCAAAAGTTTTACAAAACAAAAATTTACATGAATAATAGTTTATTTTGTCAAATAATCAATGAAAACATACAAATAAAAAAATTTCCATAATTTATAAATTATGAAGTGTGATATTCTATTTCGAAGGGGAAACTATATGATGAATTGTATGAATAAATTAGATTTTATCCTAATTTTATCCAATTATAATGAATTTTATTGGTTTGGGAGTTAATTTGATTAGTTTCAAACCACTTCACTCAATTAACTTCACCTAATTTCACTCAATTTTTATCTAATTGTATTCAATTAGAGCATACCACTATTTGAATTTATCTTTTATCTTTGCATTTATAAACATAAAGATATTAGTAGACGTGATAAAAATTTGATATATCAAAACTAAATTTTAAAATCAATTTACTTATATTAAATTTATATTATAATTAAATATATTATTTTTCATAATTTGTAGTCCAAATATGTCTAAAAATTCCAAAAAAAAAAAATTATGACAAATTCTTTCGTGAACCTAAGGGTCATATTCATTTTATGCACTTTGGTGCATTTGTAATATAAAAAAAGTGTGCTTTGTACCAAAAAACATCCACATGCAAGCTTATGAAACATGTGAGAATGTTCATATTTTAAATATGGACCTTGAGACCATATAAGCATCATTCAAAGATTATTTTGGAGAGAGATTATATAATTAGAAAAATATAAAATAATGTGAGGTGTTGAATTAATGATAGATTCATAAATGTGATAACATGAAAACAAACATGAATAATTAAATTTTGATTAGAAAATAATATATATCCAAAATATATTCAATCGAAATATATCCAAATCGAAATATATCCGTAATCGAAATATATCCAAACTGAACTAGATCTGCAACTAAAATATACCCGATCCAAATTGTATCCGAATCGAAATCTATCCGAATTAATTTATATCCAAACCATATCTGAACCGACTCGAAACCGAACCGAAACAGAAAAATGTATAGAACCGTATCAAATCCAAACCGAAATTAAACTAATCCGAGCCAAACTAGACCGATTATAATATATATTCCAAAGATATTAAAATAAAAAAATCAATCTGCAACCGATCTGATTGATCCTATTTACCTCTGCTTGAGAAGTTGAGAGTGAATGAGAATAGGAGTACATATTTTGTGTACCCAAACATTTTTTTTTTTCAAAACACGTCTCGTATAAAAGCGGGTGGCGTAGACTTGTACACCACCCCCACCGCTCTTTCTACGGGCGGAGTAATTTTTTTCTATCGGACCCCTTTATCCATTGTATACGGAAACCAGTCCCAAATCCTAACAGGGGGCAGCGCCACCATATCTCCCCCCGGATCATTTGAAGCTGCGCCATCATTCACCACCACATACTCAATGCCGGACCAAACTGTCATTCGCAGCAGGCTATTTCAGGGTAAAATCCACTCGGCTTTGTTTGTTTTAATAGTTCTTTTCTCAGTTTTTTTGTCAGCTTTAGTTATGTTGCCCTTCGTAACTTTTTATTACAGTACCTTAACTCTGTAGTTAACCTATAATATTATTATTTGTTTTTTCAGGGTAACCTTATTTGTTTTTTTTTTCAGTTTGGGTTTAAGGTGTTTTTTTTTTGGACCAGTAGGTGTTCTGTTTAAGCTTAAATCAGATTTTTTGGACCAAGTGAAAAGCCAAAACCTAGAGTCTTATTCAGCACTTTGGCAGAGCCATCCTTTTATCTTGGAATACTACTGTTTCTCCAAAAAAAAGAAAGATATGATAAAATAAGAGAAGCAAGAATGAAATTAAAAGTGGAGAGGGGCGTTAGTGGAAAAAGATTATTCAGAGTTACTCTATACACACTATATGGGTCCCACATATACTGCATGGTCCTCTACTTCACACTTACACTCTTAGAATGGAGAGCGCATCATTCAATAAAGGAGCTCCTACAATGCTATGGAGAGAAATTGATATATAAATGGAGGTAATGGACATGAGAATAAATGGAGTTGGATAAAATTAATAGAAACGAGAGGGAGGAAGCACGCACTAAGCTATATGAAGATTATCTGAATATATCACAGATGAATGATAGACAAGTTTTAAGCATATACTCGTATTACAAATAAGTACGAAGTATAAAATTAAACGAACCTTTGATCATATGTATATGTAAGGTTTGGAGAGTGAGATTGTTAACGCCTGAGTTGTCAAAATCTTAAGACTTAAAAGTAGTAGCAATAGCCCAAAACTATTACTCTATGACTTACTAGTAGTTCCTTACTTCACTCTAGTTCTAGTTTAAACAAAAATCAGTGTCCCAGCTGTTTGGACCAGATTGAACTGGCCAAACCTGAGGTAGCGATTTGCCTATCTCATCTTTGTTACCCCCCTCCCCTTTCATCTGGCATAGACTTTCACATCTTGTTGGAGTTTGTAATGGGAATAACTTCTTGACTTCTAGCCTTCTAGGGGTAGAGACGTAGAGTTATGTTCTATGTACATCTTGAGGTCCCGAGACTTTCAAGGTGATATACTTGATATATTTGGTTTGGTTTACATGTCAGATATTTTGATTAAAGATTATGGTTTTGTCATTTGGAATGTTAAGTAACACTGTTATTTTGATTTGTGAGATTATTGTTGGATGGTTGGATTCCTGGTTTGCCCAAATGCATCTCCTTTAGAGCACTTGTGGTCCCTTTTTTTTTTCATTCATAAATGTTTTAACAACTTCAACCCCAAACCCATTATAAAACCAGCTCCGTTGGGGTCTGGTTATGATTGGGCCACTAAATTTTGCTAGACCGTTTTGATCAATGGTTGGGTTATGAAAAAACACTAGTTTTGTGTCATATTTTTTCTTGTTTTAGTTTCTTTGTGTTGCTTTTTTTTGTTGTAACAAAACAATGAACAGTTTGATATGTTTTTCATGGTTTATGTTAAATAAACTCCATGTTCTATTTGTGTGATCTTATTGGTTCTAATCTGAATTTTTTTAAGGTATGATCTGATTGTAGTCTAATTTAAAGTTGTTGGTGACATTCTAATAAGAATAAGTATTAAAATTTTTTAGTAGAAAAAAATAAGTTGAAGAGAACGAGGCCTTGGTACATATATGACCTAGTTTGGGAAATGGCTTATCTGCCATTTTTGGCAGGTTTGAGTGGTTGACTAGCTAAAATTTATGTTACCAAAAATTGAACTTCATTGGTCTCGGTTTACAGAAGTGTGAATTCTCAATATTCTACTTCTACACTAGATCGCACAACCATATTTTGTTTCAGATCTGCCAAGACACAATATTTCCACCAAACAAAACACAATCCCCAGGAGTCCATGTTCTATCCCACAGACATCTAGCCCAATCTGCATCATTGCTTCAGTAATTAATATAACCAACAAGTTTTGTATGTCCTTGATCTTTTAGATCAATCTTGTACCTAGAGATCTTTTTGCATAGTTTAGGAATTTAATAGTAACTTCCCTCCATCTTGGGTGAGTTAATGCTGGAACAAAAGCAGAAGATAAACTATTGAACTAGCAATGACTGGCGAAAGTCATTTTTGTGATGGAAAATTATGCATGGGATAAGGATATGATAAGACCTGATACTTATTTGGTTGGAAATGGGATTGAACACGAAAGAAAAGAACATTCACCTTAATGTGGACCAATTGACAGTTACGACGATTATAAGTGATCAGGACTGGTGAAGCATTTTTTCATTCTTCTATAGAGCCGTGATTGGGACTAGTGAGGCATTTCTTCATTCTCTAATAGAGCCTGGTATCTAGAGTTTGGATGCAGTATAATTTTTAACTAAAATCTTGATACTAGAGTCTTGTAACTAGACTTTGGGGTTTGGATAACAAATACTCCCTTCGTCCCAGTGTATTTGTCCAGTGTATTTGTCTAGTTTGACTTTTTCGAGTCAAACTGGACAAACTTTGAACTTCAATTAAATAAAAATTGTAATGTATTTTAACATAAAAATGACTATTGAATTTATCGTATTTAGAACTTTCAAAATTGTATTTCATTATGCTAATATGCAATATAAATTAAGAGTAATTGGAGTTCAAAGTTTATCCAGTTTGACTCGAAAAAGTCAAACTGGACAAATACACTGGGACGGAGGTAGTATAAATTTGAAAAGAGGTTGCCCTAATTGTTCTCTCTCTCTCTCTCTCTCCAGACTTAGTAGTAGGTAAAGGCTTATATAAGAGTGGGACAATCAGAGGTGCAAGCTTAGAGAAGATAGAGATAGGAAGTGGACTGTTGCCTAAGTGGGTTCTCCAATCAGATTCATTAGTATCGGTGGAGGAAAAGAAAGGTGTATGTTAAAAAAAATGGTAATATAAAACGAAGTATAGAAGCGGAGTGTTTCTAGACAATAACACTTGAAACCTTTCTAAAAATGAGAGTATCCAATGAAGACAATTTATTACCTTAGCATCATGTTTATGTCACCTTAGTGTAGGAGAATAGTGGACGAAGCATGTGCACCCAAAAACACGTAACAGAATTTTATGTTCATGTGGATGTAAAAGGTTAACACGCACCCCCACAAAAAAGACAAATGTCATATGATTAATGAGATTTCAAGAATAAATTATAGCACCCCCGAAACCTTCTACCCACCTTATGATGAATTCGTGATGTGCGAGCAATGTCAACAACGTGCTGGTTCTTTCCTTCAACAACTACATTTTGTTGAGGGGTAGAAATGGTGTTTATTGTTATTAGGGAAAATCCCCAACAATAAGCTCCAAACTCCAAGCCTTCTTAAGTTGATTCCTTTCCTTTCTAAGTTATTCAGTCCACTTGTGTTCGTAAAAGACTTACTTCTAGAAATATGAATCCTTCGCCTAATATTACTAATGTAAACCCAAATGACTTGTTGAATAAAAGAGAAATTAGTCTAGCAGATGATGGAGGATAAGTTGTGATGTGTGGTCGTAAGTTGTGATGTGTGGTCGTATCAAGATGAATAAGATTTGGAATAAGGTTATTCGGGGAAGGAGAATGGTACCCTGTGGAGGATAAGCTGTGAGAAGCTTACAAACATGAATTTCCTACATGAAAAGAAGATTCATAAATGTGCTTATATATGGATTATCCACAAAATAGTATAATTCAATTTCGGTAAGTTGATAAACGAAAGAGCAACGAAACTTCTATGGGAGGAGATAGGTAACAAAAGGGCCATAAAAGTATTCTTTTGCATTATCTTTGCTCAATGTCTTTGTAGACACTCTAGGATCAAACACAGAGGTTGAATTTTGACTAAGAAGCAAGAGATGTAAGAGAAGTTTCTTGGACATATTGTCATTCGTGCAACTTTTAGTTTGTGATAACTGATAGTCTTACTCTGCCTTCGAGTGGTATGTGTACTGGAATCTCCACTACCTTTGTAATCCTCAAAATGAGCAACATTAACCACGATTGGTTTTCCATAAAAACTCCAATACTCTTCCTAGAATCCTAGGTATGTGCTAGTTCCATTACAAAAATCACAACATCAAAACATCCTCAACTTTGCCCTCCTTGACATCTTCCTATATTGGTATGTTGATAAGCATTGGACTGGGAGGCAAGAGCCAAGTGTTCAAACAAGGAACATGACGTGTTTCCCATGGAGACTGAAGAAATTACCATCTCCATTTATTAACCACTATTTGTTAATATTGCTCATTTTAAAGGTTTACAAGGGTAGTAAAGATCCAAAGATTCCACTAAACATACCTTCTCAAAGCGTGAGTATGAAGAACTGTTACAACTAAAGCTGCTTGAGCGATATGCTCAGGCACTTTTTGTACATAAGTTGCTTCTTAATCAAATTTTGTGCATGTTTGATTCTTCTGCCATTGATCACATATAATATGGTAACCTTCTCTTGTCTTTCAAACCATCTCGCCAAAAGTGTCTCGCGCATATGCGTGATGGTGAGAGGTATAGAGGCAATGGTGCATGGTTGCCCATGGGGGTTCCACATGTGGCTGAAATTGATGTCAGGGTTGGAAGTAGAAACGAAATAGACCCTTAAACTACTAATCTACCACTTGAATGTTTGAAAAGGCATATTGCATACATGAGGCATTTTCCCGTCAAGGCGTATAGTGGTGTAAGCCTCATTTTGGAAGTTTGAAAACATATATAAAACATATTAAAATTATTAACATAGATAAACATTGAAAGAAGTATGTTGTCATATGGCCCGAGGACGATAAAATTAGATTGACGAATGTAAAAAAAATCATAAGTTTGCATTTCCTCCATCACCCTCTTCCTCAAAATCGATGAAAAGGAATCATCTCTTATTGGTAATGGCAATTAACGTAGCAGGATTATGTTTGTGAATGGTAATTTGTGCAACATCATGTCCAAAGAATCCTCGTTTCAACTGAAAGTCACCCATTTGTAAGTGAATGGTTTCATGGATTTTTTTATCAAGAAATAGTTTTGCCACACATTTCAATAAACCTTTTTTCACCTTGGAGTGTGTGGACATGTTCGAGTCATATTGATATTGTAGCTTGAGGTAGTACACAGTCTACACACATATAATCATGATGCAATTGAAATTCCCACTTAACATCAATTAGATCCGAGATCTCACAATAAGCGCGAAACTCTCCGCCTAAATTTGTAGCAATTTCTTCTTTTGCTCGATCTATACAATCATAAACAAATCCAATACCTGGTACCTTTCCCGTGTTCGGTATCATCAATACCTTAAATAATGACTTCGTTATTTTGATTGCATACATCATGCATGGCCAAAAATACTTATCACGTCATGTAGCATAATTTGTTTTGTAGTTTTGGCTGTGCTTTTTTGGACATATGGTGTGATTTCCTTTCTTTTGAAATGCACATTTCTTCCAACAAACTATTTAAAAATTGGCGTATGTTCGAGTATGAGGGCATGCGAATCTCTCATGCTCTGATCGGCTACACACGAGGGAGGAAGACCAAAACTTCAATTATTATCGGGGAGTTCAAGAAATTGAAGTTAAGGAGGCCCTAATATGGATGAAGAATAGCAGTGCAATGGGTCCAGACAACACCCCATTGAAGTTTGGAAAGGTTTAGGAGGAAAAGGTATTTGATGGCTAACTAAGCTTTTTAACGAGATTCTAAGATCTAATAAGTTGCTTAACGAATTGAGGAAGAGCTTTTTTGTCCCTATTTACAAGAATAATTGGGATATTTAGAGTTCTGGAAACTACAGAGGGATCAAACTCATGAGTCAGATGATAAAGTTGTTGGAAAGAGTGGTTGAACGGAGGTTGAGACAAGAGACTTCGGTGTTAGAGAACCAATTTGGTTGTATGAGGAAGATCAACAACAGAGGCTTTATACTTGGTGAGGAGAATGATGGAGAGGTACTGAAGTGAGAAGAAATATTTTTTACACATGGCTTTTATTGATTTGGAAAATGCATATGACAGAGTACCGACAAATAATATAGTGAGAAGAAAGATTTCTTACACATAGCTTTTATTGATTTGCAAGAAAATTAATATGATGATGCCCATGAAGGAAATTAAGGTGATTAAGAGACGGTATCACCAAATATCAATACCACAAATATTCCAAAAAAAAAGACAATTAAACATATGGGCAGATTTTTCCTTATAGAGCTTTAAGCTGACCTCAAGTGAGCGTAGAGCTAGTAGGGGCTGTGTGGTCTTTGGGCATAGTCTTATGGATTAGGACCCCTGCTGTTTGGTGGTGTATGGTGTCATTGGATAGGTCCAAAAAAATTGGCATTCTGGACTTGAATATGATCAATGGTGTGGTCTTTGATGATAGAGAGAGTCTTGTGGGTGTGATCCTCAGAGGTAAGACCAAGGGTAGTGTCAGTGAGTGTCAGTTCTTGAGAGGTTAGGGGCTTAGTCTCATCATTGGAGGAGTGTTGGTTTTCTGGATGGCTGTCCAGAGATGGGTCAGATTGGGCAGGACCCTTAGGCCTTAACATGAGCATTTGAGGGGTTTCCCCTTGCTCCTTCCCAAAATTGTTGCTGTTGAGAGCAACCTCATCTTGAGTGCAGGGAGGAGGGGTTGAGTGTGGCTCACCCCCTAGAGGGGAAGCCATCACACTGAGCAGTATTGGAGGGATATTTTTTTTTGGGGGGGGGGGGGGGTGGGCATACATTGAGGAACATGTAGTATGAGGGGTGAGTAGATGTAACCATATTATCTTCTGTGGGAGTTGATTTAGAGATATCACTGGAAACTGAGGAAATCAAAGCCGAAGGAATTGAGTTTTGACCGTCAGATGGCTGTTTAGATCTTTTCCCCATTTCTTTAGATTTGGCTGTGTCAACGAGTACTTTTTTTCTTTCCCGTGTTTAGATCTCTAATCACCTGCAAAACAGACAAAGAAGTTTTTTGTTTGGAGGTAGGGGTAGGAGGATACTTCATATTAGGATGCTGAGGATTTTTTCATGGAGATGCAGGCTTTAGATACGTGGCCAGATCTTCCACAAGATGTACAGTACATTAAATGTTGGCCCTCTATTTCAAAAATCTGCCAAAAACCCGCATAGTTTTTATCCATCAAGCAGATCTTACTTGGGGAGTTGGGGGAGGGTCAAGCACATTTATTCCAACCTGGGCACAAGCTACAGAGGAACATTTCTTGCAGATAGTAGCTTGATCGCATCTCAAAGGTTGACCGAAATTATTGGAACGTTCAAAAAGAAAGTTTCCATCAAAAAGGTTAAATGGGAGGTCTAGGAAGGAGATCCACACACCAACATTTGGGACTCTCTCGCAGAATGGTATCCAGGATACCACGTTGAAATCGGAAATCCACCAATTATCCATGGGTTCCTTCCACCGGCATGAATGTATTCATTACTGTTTGTAAAAACCTGAATAATCACCGAATTAGAAATCAGATCATTCGAAACATGATAAAAGTTTAGAGATTCAAAGAACAGAAAGAAGCAACGAACAACCTCAATTGTGGCCAACCAAGGCTTGCCTGAGGAAGGATGTTAGAGCTTCTGTCCTAGCATTTGATATAGTGAATGGATAGATGCGCGTTATATTTACCAGCGATAAGTTTAAGACTCAAAGGCTGACACAAAGGGGTGTTCTGAGAGGAAGAGCTCTTAAACCACGTGCGCGTAGCTCAGGAGTGGTGAAAGGGGGATTAGAGTGGGTGGATCCCGCCACTTCAAGGCCGGCGGCGCCTCTCCCATTAGGGGAAACGCTAGAGTGCGAGAGAGCTTTAAAGAGAAGCGAAGGTAGTTATAGAGAAGTAACCAAAGCTTGAGCTTGTGAAATCTAAGCTCACTTTCCTACAGTATTATAAGTTGTTTCCCTTTGTTAATGTTTGCTAAAAATCACTAATTCAAATTTTGATTTGTGATATAAATCAAATGAACTCCATTTTGATTCGGTACAGTTTTTAGTCTAAAAGGATTGATTTAGTCGACATTTCATTTAAGTATTGCAGCAGCTCTTTCTGGCTAGATACAATGATGCAATCCATATTTACATGAACCTTCTTTTCTCTTGTATTTGTTTTAAACCTGCTGCAGAATTGATCACTAAATCACTTGGCTGTGAAGTTGTTCCATCTGCATCAGCCTTACCATGGATTTGGGTTGTGGAAGCACTTGCAAGCTCCAATCAAGTTGATGCATCTCTTCTAATTGGTATTAACTTCTTTTACCTCTAGTCATTTCAAGTTCAAAACTCACTATTTTACATTATATAGTGAAGAATACAGTATGTTTCCCATATTATGTTAGTGCAGGATAATAGGACAATCTTTAAAAGCTGTTAAACAAAATATTTATTCTATACGAAGGGCAGCACATTAAGTTTAATTTGAATCCTACCTTTTTATTTTGTGTTTTGGGAAAGTGGATTTTCTCATACAAGGTCATCATAACAAAAGGTATTGTACAAAATGGAATGCAAGTTTTGTGTTTTGTAATTCTATATGGTTAGTGGCTTTAACTTTTGTGGATTATGCATTACAGATTTGATTAAGAGGATTCCTGAAATTTCTGATGATCTTGGGAAAAGTGCAAAAGAAATGCTCTCGTTTGGAATTTTACAGAATATGTTCATTAAAAAAATTTGGAAAACAGATGATACACTCTCAGGAGCAGGCTCTAAAATCCAGTTGGATCCATCAGAGCGCTGTGAAGATGTACTTCGTAAAATATTGCATGAGGTGCCAACTTTTTTGTTTAGCCATGCTCAAGCTTTTATAAGTAACTTTAATGAATGAATAGTAGTACTCCATCCCTTAATAAACTCTACACTTTCCATTTTGGGCGTCTTTGAATAAAGTTTACACTCTTCCACTTCTTTTCAAGGAATATATGGCTCACAACATTTCTTCTCTCTAAAGATATTATAACAAGGCACTTCTCACTTTTCATCACTTGTCTTGAACTCCGCAAAATCAATTTGTGTAAGGGGCGGAGCGTATTTGAAAGGCTTAGTTGATCTCTTGACTATTCTAAGTATACTAAAGAACAATCGCTAATCTTGCTTGCTTGTGCAATGTGCTTACAACCAGGTATCTGCATCAAATGTGAAAATGGGCGGAACACATATGCTGAAATGGGATATTCAATCATTTGTTGCCCATAAAAGATCTACATTGCCACAATGTGATCTGTTACAAGTAATGAAAGCATCCTCAGTTCTCAATCATGTGTTGTACATTTGCACTAAGAAAAATTATATATGCATTATTGGTTCACTTTTGAATTGCCGTGTTTTATAATAAGCAGCTGAAGGATATGATTATTAATAGCAGTGATCCTCATCTTTCAATCTTGAAAGAAAGAAGTGGTTTGTTAACTCCAAATCAATCTGGAAATGCCTCTAATGGTACTATTGGACATATGTGTGGAGAGCAAAACTTCAAACCTCTAGTTGAAAATGGAAACTCGGTAGCTTGTACCCAGGATAATGAGAATAACAAGAGAGAAATATTGCATGATAGGGACCTCATACCTGCCAAGAAGAGAAAATGTGCTTCTGTTGACAATCAGGGAAGAAAAAGCTCTGAGGAGAGAATTCTATTAGATGACAATTGTGATGTTCCTTGTGCTAGTGGGGTCACAAAGAAGTGCAAACGGAGCACTGGTTCTGATAAAGATTGTGAACATACTACAGATTGTATTGAAGATGAAGGGTGCAATTTGGAAAATGTATCCCAGGCTGGGGGCTTAGAAGGAAGTGGATCAGATGCAGCCTTGAAAGATACTACCAATGCTGAACTAAGAAATTCAAATCATGCAAAACTGTCTTTGGTCCAAGAGATTTCACACGCTAATGAGACTGAAAGAAAATCTCATCATAATTTGTTGAACGGTGGGCCCACGAATGAAGCTAGAGTTGGGGTTGATGGTTTTCATGAGCTAGAGTTGTGTAGTGACAGTGATGAGTATCATGAAGAGAGAATTGATATTGCATCAAAGAAAACTATGTTTTTGAGCTCTCAATGCACACATAGTCAGGATTCTTTACTGACCACTGACTTGAGCGAGATAAATCTTTGCATGAAGTGTAATAGAGGTGGTGAATTGTTGGTTTGTAGTTCTGAAGCTTGCCCATTAGTTGTCCACGACGGCTGCTTGGGTTCTCCGCCCAGTTTTGAAAAGGATGGAAAGTTTTACTGCCCGTTTTGTGCATATTGTCGAGCAATTTCAGAGTACATGGAACTAAAGAAGAAGGCTTCACTTGCACGGAAAGATCTTGCATCCTTCATTGGTGTGCGAATTGAACCACCAAGAAACTTCCCAACAAGGCCTATTGGATCAAAGACAAGTCAATCAATGCAAGATGAAGAATTGTGTGGAAAGGGTGAAGCAAAAAGCAGCAGAATTTCTTTAAATGAGGCTAATTCCCCACAATGTAGGGCTAATACAGAAGAGAAGCAACAACAGCAGACAGTATCATCGGCTGGGGATGGCCCCCCTTCAGAGTATAAAATGATTTCATCTACCAATGCAAGCCCAGTTACTTTGGAAAAAGACTCTTCTTCAAATGGGGATGATGACCAACATCATAATGAGACACTTGCTATTACAGTATACAACATGCATGGCTTGCCACATGGAGATCCAAGGAGTAGCAACCAGAATGAGCCTTCTTGTGAAGTTGAAGTAGAGAAGGAAAACATGCCACAAAGGGTGATCAGTTTGCATCATCAACCTGAACTCACCTCAGNCCCCCCCAAATAAGTATTTGTTTTTTTTACATATGAGAAAAAGATTAGTTTGTCATTTATTTTTACGCTAGCTGGTGCTATTTTGTGTGTATAGCTACTTTCCATATGCCGGGATAGCTGTCATCGAGTTTCAGCTATTCATAATCAATTACTTCGTCCCACTAGTTTGGGACATGAGAGTGACACGGAAATTATGAAAAGTAAGACTGTGTAATTGATATTGATGTTAAAAAGTAAGGTAAAGTAAGAATGAATGTAAACCATACAACTATGACCAAATATGGTATGAGACAAAAGTAGGACCGACAAAAAAATAAAAAAGGACAAAAATAGTTGGATGGAGGAAGTAGCATTTATAACTATGTTTTTTGTGCATATGCTTTGCTTTGTAATGATAAGGTTTAAAATAGCACTGTTTAATTAAGTTCCAACGGTTACTTAGAACCAATCGTAAGTTTCTTTTCTTTTGTATTAGCTCCTGTTCCGCCACCAGTGGGTGGAGAAGGAAGAAGGTTCCTTGGACAAAAGACGAGGAGGAAGCACTGAAGGTTTATATTTCATTCTTTCTCTTCATCAATATATTCCATGGTCTTAGAGGCCAGGCTGGGCCTCTGCCAGATTTTATTCCAATGGATTCCCCTGTTACAAATGCAACACTTGGTTTTAAGCAGGGAGTTGATTGCTTTAATTATTTGCTGCAGGAGGGCGTGGAGAAATGTAAAAGCATCGGAAGCAGAAATATACCATGGAGGGAGATTTTGGAATATGGAGGTGATCGTTTCGGTAAAGGCCGCACTGCCATGGACCTCAAAGATAAATGGAGGAACATTTGCAAAGGAAGCCCCCATGCCACCTAAAGATGATTTCTTTCCCAATCTGACTTTGTGTGATCTGGACCCTAAAATTACAGATGCACCAATGAGTATAAAATAAGCCCTGAAATTTCATTTTCTTCTGAACCATCTTTTGGTAGGATTTGTCTACAAAACAATGTATTTATAACTTTGAAACATTTTAGTACAAAAGACTCGAAGATCTTGTCATCTCTCAAAAAACTTTGTTGTTCGCATTATACGCTTTCCCCAGCTCCCTTTCCCTCTTGGAAACTTGTCGTCGTCTCCAAGGATCATTGTGTAGCTTGTAGTGCAGCACCTTGAGAAACCAAAAAAAAACACCTTGAGAAACAAAAAAAAAACACATCTGCCATCAACGTTAATGAACAAGTAAAGATTTTAGCTGAGAAAGTGCTTAGTGTGCATTTGGTATGCCCAATTGACTGGTTTCGGCTGAAGTGACCATGTTTATCCTTCTTTTTTGTATTGAATATGAATACTTCCTCTCGGATTTTGGATTTGGTTGTCTACTTTGGTGTTCTCATTTGTCCAAAATTAGGTGTCCATTTTCTATATTAAATAAGAAAATTGTGATGAATTGTCTAAAATACTCTAGAGATATGAAATGAACAATTTGATATAAATAACAAACTCATTTGAAAGACTTGTTTGACATTTTAAACTCTTATTTAAACATGATTTTTTTCAAGAAAGTGGTTATCTAAATTCGAATAGAGAAAGTATTTTACTGCATACACTCTTGGATAATCTCTCGCTAAATACTGCATATCACCAAAATAAATAACCCAACTCCCTTAAGATGCATATATGTAGAGTTTTGAAAGCCTCAAACGGCAAAGGTGGTTTACTAGAAACTAAGATTTCGAGGTGCAAAATACTTCAACCAAACACCCCAAAAGTAGCCATCAACCTTTTCTGAAAGTTAGCTTAAGGGTATTTGGTTGGGGAAGGGGAGGGAAAATGAGTACCTCCCCTTGTTTGGTCTAAGATTTTGAAAGTTGACCTAAATGTCCCGTTCAATTCCCTTCCCTTATTTTCATTCCCGCTAAATCGGGGGGTTTCGGAGTTCATTCGATGCTTCTTCTTCTTCTTCTTCTTGAGTTCAGTGGGCGACGTCGAAGGCATTTCATCCCACGCTTACATACCCTTTAAAAGCACAAATCTTGAAAAGAATCAGTCCTCCATTGCTCTCCAGAAGCACAAATTTTTGAACTGATTTGGAGTTCAATCCCCGCTTTCTTCCACTACGCTCCAGACTTCTATGCATTTTTCAGTACACTCCTTTTCTTCCCCTCCAACATAACCTAACAAGGTAATATTAAACGCTTCCATCCCTTACCCATTCCTCCTATCCCCCCCCCCCAATGATACCTGTATGACGGTAGCAAAGACATCATCTTCGGTGAGTTGTGAAAACTGGTCAGCCCAGTCCTCAACATGCCCATGCAAAGCTTTTTGCCTCTCTGCTTCAAGTAAAACAGAATCCCGATACATGAACCTCTGCCAGATTTTCTTTACAGTTGCCAATTTGAATTCTATTTCTGTCTCATTTATGCTCTGCCCAAAGTTTATCAATTGTCAGCTTCCACAAACAAAATGTTCACCATAGTCCTAAGCAAAAATAATGAAGAGAAAAGTTACCCGAAGAATGCTTATCATGCTTGGAATTTCATCCTCACGTATCCTAACAGCAAAGCTGTCATACTCAAGGACATTCTCATATGGTAGGTATATACCATCCTGCACCCAACCAAACGAAAATTTATAAATTCTAGAGTTTGGCATGGGTATGAAAAAACAAAATACTCTGTATTAATTATACCTGAATGACCACGGGAATGCACCCTTGAAAAATGCTGTCTTCCATCCGTCCACTCCACCCATCCCCGGGCATAACTCCGCAAAAGACAGAAGTAGCCAAATCTTCATGGTAGTTCTCAGCACGCAATGGGGTCACAACAACATCTTGCGCATGCTGCTTGCCAAGCTCACCATTCTTGTTTCGAGTTGATCCAAATTCTTCGGCCACCTTCTGCCTTATGCCCATACTATACCTGAACAACATCAACAACTGAACCATAAATTTCACCACAATGGGGGTGTTTTAGAATGCTTATGAAAATGCAATAACAAACAGAAACATGAGGATCGGTATTTGCATTTAGCATATGGGATTCAAGTGCTTAAACTAAGCAAAGCAAGTAGATACTTGCTTCTGTTAATAGGGTTTAAGCTGCTTAAAAACAAGCAATAAACAAAAACTCAAGTTTGTTTGCTAAACAGTAAAATTGTAAAAGCAACTTAAAATAAGCAAAAAGAAAAATTATAATTGGCATTGCAAAAGCTGCATCAATGAAGTTCTCATGGAATCCAACAAAGAGAATGTTCTACGTTTAAATATTCATCTGTTATTAAATAAGTGCAAGTGAAACATTGGTAGCTCAAAAAATGCAACATTGGTATTTTTCATGTTTGCCAATGCACACAGTATATAATTAATATCTTCAATAGTGTTTTGGTTAAAATATAAATAGTTGATATTTAGATCCCACCTGACTTCTTTTTATGTATATATTACAAAAGATAATCATATGTGAGTGTATGAATAATATAAAATCCTCATCTGTTGCATTTATTTAAGAAAAAATATATGGACAAATTCATATACTTTTGGTGATAGAATACTTCCTCCGTTCATAAACAATTGCAATGGAAGTGCGTTTGACACTATTCATTCACTAACATCTAATTTTTTTTTAATTTATACCTAAAGCAAAATATAGGGTCTTGTTATATTCGTTTTGATATAAACATTTGTAATATCAACTTCCTATGATTTTACCAAAAATATAATTTAAGATATTAATGAATTGCTTTATGCATTGGCAATCGTGACAGTTTTGATGTTGCATTTGTTTAAGAACGGAAGATGTATAATGTGAGTTCCTATTATATAGCACACAAGATATGCTTTAAACCCAAATCTTGAAGCAATTTAGCTTACTTACGTAGCTTCAGGCCTCCCATTTTCATAAGCAGGTCCAAGGTTTCCATTAAAATAAAAAAGTGTCTTTCGTGCCTCCCGCGGCCTGTCAGCCAAAATTTGTTTTGAAAATCTGTTCAAGAAAATCCCAACTTGTGACATCTGAACAACTATTTACCTAGCCCAAAATTTAGCTCCCAGAGAACCTCCATCAGGACGCTTCCAGGCTGGAAGTACAAGATCTTTATTTGGGTCAAAGCATGGGTGGTCTCCTCTTTGGTCTAATGGTATTGGATCCCAAGAATCAAGCCGATATGCTGTTGTTGAATGCTTATGTTTTGAGTTTGTGTTGCCCCAATGGACTAACATCGTGCTATTCCATATTTCCTTTGGGGCATAGCAAGCACCTTCATCCCAAGAAAAGAACTGTGTTGCGAAACAATGTGACCGATTAGCATGCAAGCCAAAAACAATTTTTGCTCAGTTTACCAGTACCATTTATTCTTAGAGTATGACAACAAATTTTTACATGCACCCTTCGTGCACCTTCCCTGATATGATCATTCTTACATTAGCAAAATAATGTTGGACAGAGCCTTTACGTAATTTGCTTTCATTTTCATATTATTATTAGTATGTGAAAAAGTCCACATTCAATCATATGCTTGAGGTCAATGATAGAAACACCCAAAAGTCATCAGTGGGTCATGGAGGTGGAGAGGGGGTATGGGATTGCGGACCTGGTCCTAACTTTGTACTGTACGACCCTCAAAATGAAATAAAACTGAGGGGCAGTGTCAAAAGAACAGTGTATTATTATTATTATTATTATTATTATTATTATTATTATTATTATTATTATTATTATTATCATCATCATCATCATCATGGCATACATCTAGATTTCTTAGTGTTTATATCGTACAACAATAACCCAGTATGGTCCTACATTATTCTTTACTACATGTATAGTAAGCATAAATAAAATGACTATAAATAGAGCTAAACAATTTTTTGAGTTTTTGTGTATCTTTTATTTTTCTCCACATTCTCTTTCCTTCACATTTTCCATGTTCCAAATGAATTCCTAGGGTTTGTTGCTATGCCTGCCCTCTTAAAATCTAATACATACCCATATGTGATCTTTCCCCAATGAGCGACTCCAGTAAGGGTATGCTGATCTGATGTGATCATAAGCCTTCTTATATAACTCCAGAGTAAAAGAGCTTCTCAAGCCCTTGCTTTCCTGAAAAAGAAAATGCATTTAGAAAACACAGTATAAAGTCATTTCCAATTATCCATGCTATTGGATCTCAAAACTATCTGGCATACTATAGTGAAGATTAATGGATGCATAAAAGCTATAAAAAATATGTATATAACTTTGGGGATTTTGGTTAAATTTCAAGTATGAAGTTGGAATAAAGAATGAGGTTGAAGAGATAACCGAGATACTCCCTCCGTCCCTGAGTGTTTGTCCACTTTCATTTTTGCACACCATCCAATGCACTTCTTTAATCCATTTTATCTTGTAATTTGTAAATTAAAAAAATATAAAACATATATATTAATAATCTATATGTTAAGACGAATCAAAGAAGATCACACATGACTATTTTTAGGCTTACACATTGAAAGAATTTGATGAGTCAAAGTGCTTAGATGAACAGTTCCAAAAGTCAAAAGTGGACAAACACTCAGGGACGGACCAAGTATGTGGTAATTATGGTTAGGTTTAGGCATGATAGATAAAATAGGGTGTTTGATTTGGAGTGAACTTTGGTTTTTACTGTGGTGGTGATGTGGCTCTGCTGGTGTTGGACTACCCGTGACGGTGGTAGTGTGTTGGGCAGCAACAGTTCAGTCACAAAAGGAGGCAAGCATTAATACGGAATAGGTTGCCAAACCGGTTAGCTTTGGGGATATGGGGGAATAAGTTTGGTGGGATTTTCTGCAATGGATTTTATAGAAAATGTTTGTAACCAAACAATAACACAATTTCACAAATTAAAATGGCTCATCCCACTGTCCTTCATTTACTTTTCTTATATTTTTCTGATGTACTTCTTTCCTTGTTCTTGTTTATACTTAATTCAAAAATCCAAATTGTTTCACTTCAGATTACAGCATGAATAACAATACTTTTAGAAACTTATGAATCCCAGTGACTTAATTGTTGGTCGATATATCATGAGTTAAGTGAGGAAAAGTTTATGTCATCCATTAAGGTATGTTTGGAAAATGGAAAATAATAAGGAAGGGGAAAACACTAAGGAAAGTAGTTTTTTTTAAGTTTGATTTTACCTTGGAAAATACAATGGAAAATCAAATTTGATTAGAACGTTAATTATTCATTATTAATATTAGGGTTTTTTTTGCAAATTAGAATAATATATCTTAATCTTTATGTAATGGATGTATTTAAACAAAATGAGTGTTAATACCTATCTAAAATTGATTTATTGAGTTTTTCTCCCGTGTTTCTTTATTCTTGAATTTTCCAACTATTTTCCTCTATATATTTTTTTCGTAGCAATTTCTGAGTTCTAGACAGGAACCTTGATCTTACCTCCATGGACAAATGAGGGGCATCATCAGCACGAGTTATAATGCAGGAATCAAGAACTGGAACAAAGAAAAAATCTGCTTCATCTCCATTCATTGTCCGGTGAGGGCTGGCCAATATACTTTCATAAAGTGCCATCTACGGAAGATTAAGCAAAATAAACTATGGAAGAAGCATACATTTACTTTTTGAAAAGACATCCATTCCTAGCAATGGAATATACCTGCGCACCATATAGCATATCTGTCCATATTGTAGCATTATTTGGATCATATATTCTGTTCACACATTCCAGTTTATAATGGCGTCCCTATGATGGCAAAGTAGTGATAAATTAAAGAACAGAATCCTTTATGTACATCCAGACACACACACACACACACATATATTGACATATATACATATATATAATGCGTGCATGTGTCGCAAGCTTGTGGGGGGGGGGATTCTAACCTCCAAGAGAAGACTGTTATAGTCAGGGGGCAAATCATAAACATATATTAGCGGCCTCTTTTTCTCCACCATAGCTTCAACACTAACACTGTTCACATTATCTGGAATGCTAACCTTGGCAGGTCGAAGCCACTTTGGCCAGTCTTTAATGGATGACAAAGCAGAAGGAACACTGCAGTCTGCTCCAAACCATCCACTATGACACTATAGATAAGCAGATAACTCATCAATTGTAAATAAATAGTAAAAACCTGTGACGTGCAAGGAGTTTTAGGAAGATTCTGGATGAATCTTTTGGGTAAAGGGCCAAATTTTGGTCTCACAACTACTAGGTATTTTCTATTTTAGGACTTGACTTTCATTTTTTTCAAGTGTTGGTGTATGACAATGGAATCCTTAATTACTTTTTATCATTTCTACCACTTACCTGGTCAATTTCCACACAACTTCTGGTTGATTTTACCGGGCAAGTGAAAGGTAAAAACCAAAATGATAAAGAAAAAATTCATAGTGCACTAGTGGTGCACAAAAAAAAGTGAAATGGTCGCCAAATATGGTAATAACATAATAGGCATGGGACTAAAGGTGAATTTTTTTGAAGTTCCTTACTCATTGGATCCAATAAAAAAAAGCTTTTATTATGGATTATTTTTTAGGAAAAATTAAAAATGAAGTACAATTTACTCACCTGACAAAATCCACCTCGGCATAGCCCCCGGCCAGAGCATTGATTGATACAGGTGCTTAGGACAGGCACCTCACAGAATGTGCCCCAAAGTCCATCATACTTACAATCACATTCCTGTTTGAAGTGCACCCTAGAAGCATATGCTTCAGCAGGGTCAACATTGCACCACCCTGGTTTGCTAGCATTGGTGGTGAAGACATCTGGATCAGCTTTGGTCCAGTCAGGCAGAGCGGGATCACCCACTTTAGATGGGGGACTGAAATAAATCATAAAAGAGAAAGATATGCATGATAAAAGTCAGGCTGACTGCAAACTTATGAGAGATATATGTGTACACTTACCTGATCTTAAAGCCACATGCCTCAGCTACAGGACGATTTGGGTATTTTGTGCCTTCCCCACAAAAACACATTGCTCTAGTCATGTCACAATGCGCTGGACATATTGAAACAACCCATCGTCCATAAGGTTGCTCATTTGACTTGGGGTAGTTGCACTTCAACTCAACCCTCTCTGAACATCCTTCACCTAGTAATAAACTTATAAAAGTAAGATATGATAATTTATACCAATGGAAGTCCATTTTGTGCAAAAATTGTCTCAGCATATTTTGTCTCATATTGCAAGATGTAAACACTCCCTCAATGATTAGGATGGCATTCGTCAGATGAGAAGGGATGACAGACTATTTGGTTAAGATGGATGCCAACTACTTGTAGTTTCTATTTGCTACACCGGAGTACTTCACATCCAAGATATAATGGAAAGAAGGTTGATACTAACCACTAAAACCATGAAAGCAGCGGCATTGACCAAGCTCATGGTTGCAAACTCCTTGACCGCTGCAAGAATCCTTGCAGCTTTTGCCACCAATTCGCTGTTGACAGCATGTTACTGATTAACCCCAATAAAACTTTGAAACTGAAAAATAATTTTTTTTAAAATGTGTAAAGTTATTATCCTCCGTAATATGTTAGCAATCACCTCAACTATTTTCACTGATGCATTAATTGCATCACAGCCAGATAACCATCGGCCAATTCTGGCCTTCCATGGAGCACCACGGTAGACCACAGCATTATGTGAATCTTGAGGAAATAGGGCGTTCAAATCCAGCATAGGAGGTGGGCTTTCTTTGGCAGTGTCATTGACTAGCGGCAAATACATTTTATCTTCAATTGTCTCGTTACCTCGGTAGAACCTATCACCAACTTCACTACTTGACCCGTTAAACGACAGTGCACTAAAATAGTCCAGTGAAGGAAACACCGGGTAGAGGAATAAGTGAACGAACGAAATCAAGATCCCAATTGAAGCGCAAGCAGCCAATAGGGGCCATGACCCCCTCCATTTTTGGAAAGAGGGCATTCTCCCCCAAATCAAGATTCTAATTTGAATGAACCAATACAGCCCCTTTTCACCTCTAGGTGCTCATGTCACTAGGAGCAAATCGGCTTCTGTGTCAAGTGTCAACATTCCAAATTTCACAAGTCCTGTTAAAGTTCACGACACTAGTCAACCAGCTTGAGAAAATTAAAGTGATTTCGTTTCTCTATTTGAGCTAGCAACTTTATAATAGACCTGCTAAGATGTCCCCTCTTCATATGATAAACTTGAGGCAAGTACATAATGAGTAAAAGCAGCTCACTAGATTTTGATCTAGAGATGCTGAAAAAGGATAAAACAAGAAGTAAAGTTTATGAAAAATCATACAAGAAGACGGTTAAACAGCATTTCTTGAAACCCCCACAATGCATGCCCTTTCTAAACGAAAAGTCATTAGGGTAACAAATTGACTGCTTCAGATTTTTCAGAGAACGAAAAAAGCAATCAATAGATACTAAATGGCAGTAAAGTTAAAGAAAAGTTGGCCGATAAACCTGAATCCGATCTGCAAGGACAACACAAAGGAATGCTCCCAAACTAATAGATGTTCGTTCACTAATTAAAAGTTCAAGCTTGATAACTTTGAAATGAATAAAATAGACCTGTAATGACCTACCCGGAGAAGAAAACTGGTATCTGCCAGCTAATTCAAAGACAACTAACGTGAACTGGACCCACATATACATACGCATAAATATTATCTCGGACAGATCAAGTGTCACCTTTCATATACAAGCCGCCAAGACACTGGAGAATGGATATGAACTGAGACAGAACCCGTGAAAGATAACCTGCGGTCAGAGCATATACAGTGAATAAAGTGGGTTTGCTAAACACACATTTTAAAAAAAATAAAGCGTATTAGCTGAACACAATATGACTGCAACTCTGCCAAAAGCAACACTGCCAAAAGGAAAAGGTGTCTGTGTTTGGTTTGCGTGTGAATTTAAGTATCCTAAATTCAAACCTATGTTCGCCGAACACGGTTTAGCTCAAAATCCAAAATATAAAGAATGAGTTCTTTGAACTTGAATCTTGTATCTCCCCACCTCCTCCCCTCTTTTCGTGTTTATTTGAAAAAAATCATTAATTCATTGTTGTTTTTTTATGCAGATTGACGACATGCAACGTCAACTTGCCGGTCTGATGAACGATGCTATGCTCACCCTCCAAAACACTCATTGAAAAGTATCAGTATTTGGGCGAAACCGGGCCTTGCAAACAAAAAAGTATCAGTATGTCAAAATGATTCTCGTATTTTAGAAAAGTTTAAGGCAAATTTTAAGAAGCTGTGGGTTTTATGGGGTACATCGGGAGCACCCCATTAAAATAAACCATAGTTTGATTACGGCCCTCGTTGAAAGGTGGAGGCCCAAAGTGCATGCATTTCACTTCCCGTTTGGTGAACTTGGTATCACTTTACAGGATGTTGAATGCTTAATGGGTTTAAGATCAGAATAGACGGAGAACCTGTAGTTTTTTAGGAAATGGTTAATCCAAATACCTATCGTGAACTTTTTCGCGAAGTTATTGAATTCCATATCATGGACCACCATCTTGGACAAGCCAGATTTAACTTAGCCGCACTAGAGAATAAAATTGAAAATGTAGTTGAGCGATAGGTTTTGCTCGGTAACACAGACAGGGAGGCGGAGAGATATACCGCTAGTGTGGTATTACAATATCTGGGTGGTACTTTGTTCCCGAATGCCTCTGGTCAGTTTGTCCCTATAGAGTTTCTACCTCTACTACGTACTCCCGAGATGACTGCACAATTTAGTTGGGGTTCGGCAGTTCTGACAAACTTGTATCGCAGCTTGTGTAAAGTTGCACTTAAAACATCCGAGAGGCCTATATTACTTTGGGCTTGGTCACGCCTCATTTTAGTGAGGCCCGAAGTTCGCGTGCTCCACAACGATCGACATGGCCCACTTCGAAATGACGAACCGCATGGTGCTCAGTACGATAAATATTTGTTTTATTTAAATGTTATTTTCATTATCTCAAATATTAAAATATATTTTTCCTTTCTCATATAGGTGGCGCATTCGAAGGTTGTTCAATGGCACATCACGATTTTCACTTCGTAACTACCGAGACCAGTTTGACGGCTTCGACATGTATGTATTTTAAGTAATTAATATTTATATTTTAAATTAAAAAAACTAATACTCTCTGTCTTTGCTATAGGTTATTTAGACTCCCTATAATTTAGAGGCATTACCAGATTATTGTCAGGTCGCCAGTTGTGGTTTTACGAAGGCCTCATCATATTTGACTTGACAATAGAGCCACACATGCCAAGGAGATTTGCCCGGCAATTCGGCATGATGCAACAGATTCCAAATCTTTCATTCCCTTATGTTGAAGCACTACACCGAGCAGATGGCCGCAATACTTTGCGAGATGCTTTTATTCTGATGTACAATGAGTGGCGTAATAATTGGTTTAACCATTTAGTGGAAAATGAAATGGAGCCACTTCCACCACACTATGTAGGAGAGGGTTGTGTAGAGAACTACACAAATTGGTTTTATTATTATGGTCGTCGACACATACGAAATCCAACACACCACCTAGTGATTGGTGTGGATGGCTCGGCGGGTGCATTAGCAATATCAGTAAGACACATGACTTTTTTATCACTTAAAATACTATTGTACATACTAATATGTTTTCATTTTATCTTTAATTAGGCAAGCGCATTGCGACGCGTGAGGGATACTATGTTACACGCGCCAGCATTTGAGATAGAACAAGTTGCAGCGGAAGCCCTAGTGAATATTGAGCGTCACCACCAATGTTTTGAAAACCGGACCGGACGTCGACTCGGACGAGGTAGTGGGTCAAGGGTTGACCGGTCGAACCGGTCTAATCGGGGGTCAACGACTCGGTCAACTATATTTATAATAATAATATTTTATAATATATTAAATATTTTTAGTTAATAAAATATTTTAATTTATCTTATTATTTCTCCATCTATTTTTTAATATCCTTGTACATATGATATTTCACACCTTCTATTTTTATTTTATTATTTTTATTATTATCAAAAGTTAATATTGAATCTTTAACAAATACTTAAATAATAAGGTGATACTCATATTCTCAAAAATTAAAGACTATATATTTTATTCTTATATACATATGACATTTTAAAGTTAATATTTAGTTGGTTAAAATGATTGAAAAGTAAAAAATATAGCATATTAAATTATATTAATAAATATTACTTGATTTTTAAAGACAACAATTTTTTAATTATAAAATATATAGAGTATATTAATTTTCAAATAAAAATTAAATAATTCTCAATTTTTAAAACTATTTTAAAAGTTCATAAATACAAATTCACATTTAGCACAAAAAAAGTACCCCTAGTACATACTCCCTCCGTCCCACAAAAAAGTTCCCATTTTGACCATAAATTGGTCAAATAGTTACCCGCTTTGACTATAAATTAAATATAATCTAAACAAAGAAATGCTAATAAAATTTGAGATATCAAAACTAGATCCTAAGATTAATCCAATTATATTAAATTTATTTTATAATTCAATATAACTTTCTCACAATTTGTAGTCAAAGTGTGTAAATGTTTGACTAAATACTATTCAAAATGGGAATTTTTTTGTGGGACGGAGGGAGTATTTATTTTTGTATGAACCTTTCGTAAAACAATAAAACCATAGGTTACCTAGATTGTGAACAAAGTTCGAGTAGCTCACTTGGAAACAACTTGTTCTGGAAAAGGGGAGAGAGCCGAAACCCGGGAACCGGACGGGTCGACCCGGGTCACCCGATTCACCGGTTCCGGCGGGTTTGGGCGGGTCAAAAGGAGAACGGGTTTCTTCATTGAACCGGACCGGATATGTTGCCGGTTCGCGGGTTGACCGGTTGGACCGGCCGGTCCGGTCCGGTCTTCAAAACACTGGTCACCACAGGATTGCAGAGTACGTCCCGCCAATTATACCAGACCCCCCCAACATACAAGAACATGGGGGCGAGCAGTCTAGAAGCAGTTACATGCACGTACATGCAGAGAGCTCGCGCCATGCAGAGGAGATGAACACTTTCGTCGGTGTCGGTACGCAACATGACCTTTTTGGGTCACAATTTGGCGATCCAAGTGAAATGCTGGATCAAATGAATTTCAATTCTACTTCGGGGTATTAGTATGTTGGGACTTCTTCGCGCTATCACACACAAGGAAGCGACTCCGAGTAGGAAAAGTTTACAAGTTTTTAATATGTAATGTATTTCCGTTGTTTCAATTAAGTACTAAGTATGTTTACTTAATCAAAGTGCAATGTGAGTTTTAAATTTGAAATATCAAATTTGAAAATTAATAAGAAACAAATTCTCTTTGAAACTTCAAAATATATTTTTTTACCATTTGTGGTAAATTTAAATTAAAATTTTAAGAATGATAATTTGGAATTTTAAAAAAAATTAATGTTTTACCGAAATTCAAAGATTTAAAACAAAAAAAGCAAAAAAAAATATGCATATTCAAAATTTGCAATGTATAAACAAAACAAAGAACAGTGTGTTCAGCGAACACAACATGCGCTGACATGCTGTGACATACTGTGTTCAGCGAACACGAATTGCGTCAGATTCAAAATTTAAATTTCAAATGATCTCTCATTTTTCTGCAAATTGAGTGCATGCGGCCTATGCTGTTCATTATTATAAATTCAAACTAAAAAATTTCTAATTCACTATCAAAAAATGACAACATCTGAGACACATATTTTGAATATTTTTTGGGGTGGGGATATATTTCACAATGGAGTAGATATTTCCTACACAATAAATTTTAAAAAAACGATGATAGTCGATGATCGTTTCCCATAGGAACACATCAAAAATCAAATTCAATTACATTTGATTGAAGATGGTTTTGGCATCATCACAAAAGTTGGAGGAAAAATCTTGTACAACACAGGAGTGGGTAGTTCATGCACTTTGATGGGCATTGAGGACGAAACGATGTGGAGTGTCTTCGTTTTGAAAGCAAAAAATTTTGGGTTGTTGGAAATATACATTTCCACATACCAATCCGGAGAAGGTGGCAATTCTTCCCGTCCAATCGGAGGTGGTATCAGTACTTCACGTCCATCCAGAGATGTCATTCGTAGAAGTCGTGTATCAATTGCACTACGCGATGATGCTATAGACAACCCTGAAAGTGATAGCGATTCAGAAGATAGCAAATCCGATGGGGATGGGACGGAAAGAAGGTGGATTGAACAAACGCATAATGATGTCGTGAGTGGTCGCAAGCATTACAAACCCGATATTGCAGTGCAAGGGAATATGTTTTTTCTAAGTTTTGAATCTTTGGATGATGCAATCACAAAAGATTGCATAAATGATCTTAAAGTATGGACCCTTAAGTACAAACGACAACACTCTTGGGCTTGTCGATGTTGGTACCATGAGAGGAACCCACGATGTTATTGGCGTGCACATGCATCGAAGGGGAAGACGTCGTAGCAGTGGCTATTAAAGAGTTATCATCAACGACACACATGTCGTCCTGATTACTCCCACGGAGGTGATGACCGCAACATCACAAGCCAATTCATTTCCCGGATGATTGATCTAGAGTATAAAGTGAAGTTAATTCGGCATGAGGTCGCTGAAGTATACAAGGTCCCGGTGTTGTACAAAAAATGTTGGCTGGCTAGGCTTATCGCCTCAAATACATTATACGGAAGATGGAAGGATTCATATAAGAAAGTCCCAATTTTGCTACAGGCTTTTCTTTCTTCTTATCCAGGAACTGTGGTGGATTTAGTATGCACGTTGCCACAGACCTCAATGCCGAACTTGTAATAGGAGTGAATTTTAAGTATGCATTTTGGGCTTTTCCGGAAGCTATCAATGGGTTGCAACACTGTTTACCTGTAGTGACCGTTAATGGAACACATTTGTATGGAAAGTATAAGGGCCATCTACTACTTGCACTTGCATTGAATGGAAATCGTGAGATATTTCCACTCGCATATGCCGTCGTTGATGGGGAAACTACTGATAGTTGGTCATGGTTTCTCCGACTGTTAGCTCAAAAAGTTATAGGTGGAACAAGAGTTTGTGTTATTTCTGACATGCACGCCGGTATCATCAACGCCTATCGTGATGTGGAAGAGCTTCAGACAAGGAATATAATTAATAAAGTGTTTCTGTCTACGTCATGTCCATAGTAACTTTATTTCAAAGTTTCACAATAAGAAACTCAAGGACCTCATGTGGTTGGCAGGGAGTACTCCGAGTGTCGAGGAGTTCCAAAAAAATATGCAGGGAATTCGTGATCAGAGTGAACCAACATATCAATATCTTGCTGAGATTCTGCAGGAGTTGTGGACACTAGCATTCGACGGTGGTAGTCGATGTGGGATACTTACCACGAATAGTTCAGAGAGCTTAAACGATATGTTAAAAGGTTGTCAGATGCTACCGGTGAGTGCTATTATCATGATGTCGTACAATAAACTGGTTGATTCATTTGAGTCACGACACAATGTCCTGTTTTGATTGGAAATGAAAAAATATACGATTTACTCCGAAGATTCCAAAGATCTCTGAAACGAGGGAAAAAGATAAACAAATGTTTCAAACGGTGCATTATGGCGGAAATTAATATGTTGTCTCTAGGGCTTCCTTCTCTAACCTAGGGTATATGTATAGCTTCGTGATCGACTTAGGGAGTAAGTTGTGTACTTATGGACAATGGCAAGGAGATGGGATTCCATGCATGCATGTACACTCTTCGTTCCATTCTTTCAAGCAACATGCGGATGATTGTCTCTCACCTGTATAGCTTGCAACGATATCAGATGTGCTACGCGAGTCATATTACACCTGTGATATTCCCAAATAATTTTAAATATGCAGTATATCCAATATTGCCACCAATAATACCAAAATGAGAAATATCGCATTCTGGGCGTCGCAAGCAAAAACGCTACCAAGGATAAATGAGATGAGATTTATGACGGAAGGATCAAAGTGCTACCAACTACGCATGCTATACATGTAATCGTTTTTTTCATCGTAATATTTAGTGTTTGATGTTTATAAATATATAGTGTATGTTGTTTTTAAATATTCAGGTTATGTTTTTAAATATTCAGTGTATGTTGTTTTTTTTAATATTCAATGTATGTTGTTTTTAAATATTCCGTGTATCTTTTTTAAATATAAAGTGTATGTTGTTTTTGTGAAATATTTAGTACATGTTATTTTAAATATTTTGTGTATAGTAAACTTAAAATTTTTCTCATATTTTAAATAAATAGCCAACCCATCAAATAAGTATTCATTTTTATTGAATCATTTAAAAATTGGTTAATAGAGGGAATGAAACGGATGTTGACTTCTTAATTGAACAAATGTGTGTTCAGCAAACACAATTATTCATTTAGAATAAGTGATGGTTTGCAACGTGTAGTTAACTTAATAATTGAATTAATATGTGTTCTGCGAACACATATTCATTTAGAACAAATGTTTGTTCAACAAACACAGTTATTTATTTAGAAAAAGTGATGAGTTGCAGCGTATAGTGATGGATTGTCACTGAACTTAATAATTGTACTAATATGTGTTCAGCGAACACATATTACATGCACATATTACATGGATAGGAATCTTATACTAAAAATCTTCACTGATTGGTAATTGCTCCGTAATGTAATGCCCCAACTTACACCCAATTACATATCTCAACTTGATAAAATGGAGTGAACTGCGGTTTTCACACATTCCCTCCAAAATTCAACAGGAAGAGACGCTTGGAACATGAGATAACGAGTAACATTGAGTAGGTGGCAATGCTTACGTAACAAAGAGATACTTCAACTATGAATTTTGTAATAACAAAAAAGTATTTCAGGGTCGTTTCCGGATCACCAATATGTCACAACAACTAAAATTATAATTTTTTAACTTTATTTTACTCGTATTATATAGTTGACCATATTGGTTTCTTACTCGTTCAATAAAGCTAAATACAATTACACATTCATCTCATTTCTCTTCTTTTTCTATTAATCTTTTAGAGTTAATTTAATCAATAATTTATTTAATCTGTCTTTTTGTTATTTGATATAATAAATGCAGAAAAAGTGCGGGTTGCCCGATGGAGTGCGGGCCAGACCCGAATCCGACACATGCTCACCCCTAGTGGTGTGTTAATTAAGCACCTGTTAGCTTAATGGAGGTACTGGAATCTCGAGAGAGTCTCATGGTGGCTTGACTAGTCTCAAGGTGTGGTGAACCAATACAAAAATCATGGTGTCCTTCTTCACTCTTTGACTCTGCACATTACGTTATTCCTTCAATTTTAATTCTGTGAAAATTTATCAAAATTCTCGTGCCACACTATTCACCCCCTCTAGTGTCGAACACTTATTCTAATAGTTTTTCTATTGTCCAAAGTCACAATAAAGAAATATAGTTTGTAATTAAAAGATTGTTTCTTTGCGGGATTTAATTAAAAAACATCATTAATCTCTAATTTTCTTAAGAACTTTTGTATTCTAGACTACTTCATCACCCATTTTCATCTTGCTTCACTTTGGCCCTGCATGCAATGTATATAACGGATGATGGATGAACCCGGTGATAGATATGGGATTGATAGATGGATGAGGGTGAAGCTTTACCCCACAAAAACCAGACCTATGCTCCATCGTACCCAACCCAAACCCGTTCTTCAATCTTTTGCTTCGTTCATCCCATTGTAATACTCTACAATATCTTCTTCAATTGTCCCATAATAAAGTTTCATTTTCTATTTTTGGCAAACTTTTTGTGGCTTATATAAGTTCTCTCTCATTTACATCAAATTTAACTACAAAATTTCATTTTTACTTGATTTTAATGTCTGATCAATTGTACAACATCAATATATGAGAGATTGAGTAATATATAAACCTTTTTGTAATTTGGACATTTTTATAAGAGAAATTCTAAGGGTATTTTTATAAGGAAAAATTTATATGAATACTCTCAAAACTTTGGGTTTTTACAAAAATACTCCCGAACTTGATAATTAACACCATTGCTCCCAGTTTTTTTATATTTTCACGTAATTACTCTAACTTGCCCAATCAAGTAATTTGTGAAAAAAGCTGACTTATATTTTGAAAGCTCTTTTTCTATTTAAATTTTAGTAAAAATTGGAGCCCCAAGTCTTCTTCATGGGCATTGTGAATGTAATTTTCTTTCTCTCATATTACATTTTTCATTCCTTTCATAATCTTATTTTATTCATTTGATTTCCCTCATAAGTTTAAAATGTTTGTTAATTCTTCATTAATTATAAATTAATAGTTTGGGTTTGACTCTCCAAAGAGTTTAACAAAATGAAATTATATAAATGAGAATTATGTAAATGGAGTAATTACCTATACAAAAATTTTTTTTAAATGAAATTTAGTTTTTTAGATGATAAAAAGATGTAAGATTCCCAATTTAAATTAAAAACAAAAAATGAGTACAAGAAATACAAGTCAGCTTTTTCCACTTAGACCAGGAATGTTAAAATATAAAAAAGTTGGAAGCAAGGGTATTAATTATCAAATCTGAGAGTATTTTCGTAAAAAAGTCATATTTTTGGGAGTACTCATGTGATTTTTTCCTTTTTATAAACCTCAAATTTGACAATTGCCCATCCTAATCTTGCTTTTACAGAAATCATTCATGTTCTTTGTTTTGTCTCCAAACATAATTGCAAGTGCAATTATGGCGATCAAATCCCACCTCAATCACTTAGTTGGTTTCAATCAAAATAGGCATAGTGGGTGTGATCATGGTCTCTGATAATGTCTTGTTTTGGATGAGCAGATGCACTTCAAACATTGTCGGTCGTGTTTCTACAGATGCTTGGGTGCAAAGTTAGCCAATCTCTATGATTCTCTTTACTTCTTTCGCGTCATAATAATTAGGGCCCAAGCCCTCGTCCACCAAATCAATGTGTAACCCTCTCTTGTATAGCTTCCAAGCCTGTCGAGCAGGATAAATTAACATGAAATAGCTTTTGCATTTGGCCTAACTCAGTTAAAACGAGGTGGGTGGGAATTAAAATCTGATCTTGACTTCACAGAATTTAAGGAAAATATTGAAAAATAAAATGTGAGTGGTTTAAATTTGATTAGAGAAAAGAAAAAGATTGTAGACCACATATGATTTACACTATTAGGAAAGTAAAGAAATGATACAATTATTTTGTAATGGACTATAATGGAAAGTGAGACGATTAATTCGGACGCAGAGTAGAAAACATGAAAAAGGTAACGGCTTTGTTTGGTAACAGCTTTTTCGATTAGCGTTAGCGTTTTGGATAAAAATTCAACGGTGCAGATTAATTCTGAAAACGCTAACGCTAAAGGCTACCGTCGGATAGCTTTTTCAAAACGCTAACGCTAATCTCTGACGCTGATGCCAAACGGAGCCAACAAAGGGAACTTGTTCTTAAATAGTCATCTGGATTTTCTTAAGGTCCATTTGGAATGGAGGAAAATGACTGGTAGAAGTCTTTTTCCCCATTTTTGAATTGGGTGTTTGGAAGTAAAAGTCTCCAGAAAATTAGTTACGGTCAAAGGAAAATGAGCTCAATTTTCTCCGGAAGTCAATTTCCCCCATCGGCTCTCTCGATCGTCATCGTCAATCGCTTCTCCGTCTCTACGCCATAGCAGCGCTCCTTCATTAACTTCATCAGTGCTCTCCTTCACCACCATCATCCCCGCCCTCCTCCTCTGCCGATATCCCCCGGCCCCTCTCCTTCGCCGCCTCCTACGACACACTCTTTCTAGTTTTCCGTGGTCACCATCACCGCATTCCTTCATTGCCGCCATCAACCTATTCAATGGAATTTGGATATGGCTTAAAATGATAAAGCTTGGCACTTAGGCAAACCTTGTTTCGAGATTCAGAACTCACTGTGTGACATAAGTTAGACTCCTCTTCTAGGATTTGTCAGGAATTTTCCAGACTTTTCCCAAACATCAGAAATGGAAAGTGAAAGGAAAATTACTTTAAGAAAATAACTTATTTTCCAGAAATCACCAGATATCTTTAACTCATTGCTTCTTTGACCACTTATGATTACTAGGATTATAACAACAAATCTATACACATCAACTTTCTCAGATAATTGGCCATGAATTACATACTCCGACGCTATGTATCCTCTAAAGAGAAAAAACCAGGGATAAGACTTACTCCCTCCGTCTGGAAAAAATCTTCCTGTTTCTCCTTTTTCCCCGTCCGGAAAAAATCTTCCCATTTCTAATTTTAACCCCAATTCTTCCAAAAATGCCCTTCTCATTAAATAACCTCTTTCTTCTTTTTTTCCTTTTCTTCTTATTCTTCTTTTCTTTCGTCCTCTTCTCTATCTTTTTTCACTGCCCAATCTCCATCTCCTCGTCATTTTCTTCCGTCCATTTTCATCCTCCTCCTTTCTCAGATCTTCTCTTCTCATCTCTCTCTCTCTCTCTCTCTCTCTCTCTCGATTCTTGCTTCTCTTCTCTCCCCCCTTTGTCTTTCTTCCCTCATCCTTTCTTCTCCATCTTTCTTCCAGATATGGAATATGGCGGCGATGGTGGCGGCAATTGTGGCGGCTAACGTGATGATGAGGGTAGATCTATATGAGTTCTCATAATTTCTTATAGATCTACACCACGACCCCTTTCTCCTTGTTATTTATTTTAGATCTGTGCCATGGTAGCTCAGGAAGCAGTGTTGGGTCGAGCATGATGGAGGGGATGCCAACGGTGGTGGGGCTGGCGGCGAATCCCGGCGATAAAAGTACTGATGGTGGTGGCAAGGGTTGGGCTAGCTGTGATGGTGGGGCTAGGGAAGATGGTCGGAGCACGGGTGGTGAAGGTGTAGTGGTGGGGCTCAAATTGACGACGGGGGTTGGCGAAGGACAGAACCAGGGACTGCCGGCCTCCTCGTTCTTCACTAGCCTTTCAAGGGCATTTTAGCCATTTCAACTCATAAGTTAACCATTCAAAAAAATGAGAAAAAGTCCAAATGGGAAGGTTTTTTCCGGACGGAGGGAGTATATCAATGTCATCAACATGAATTGCTTCTTGAGGTATGTGTCCCTTGTACAGATTCTATCAATGCCATCAATAACCCATGAACTAATACAATAGGAAAATTGCATAAATTAATTGATTTTTTAACTTAAAATGTTTTAACACATTTTGTCCTGAGATAAGATTTGTCCTCAGGTAGAAACGTTTCTAGCTCAAAATCGGTAATTTTAGGTTGTAGATCGTCATCCAAAAGGATATTTTTGGTCTTTACATCTCTATGGATGATACGAACGTGAAGCACCTCATGTAGATAAGCCAAACCTCTTGATGATCCTAATATTATTTTGAGATGATTCCCATTCTCGATTTTAATATCTACAATTTTTTTATTTTTTACCTATTTAAAGGAGTATACCTGCAACTCAAGAGTACCTTTTACAATACGTTAGTGTAGAGATGTTTTCCGCCGTAAAAAAATATTACTCATTCGCGGATCGACTAGCTCTTGAGGCTGAGGGCAATTCGTGTCTATCATGTGCTGGCAACGGAAAGGCATGGGAAGCCAATGGACTTTGTATTTCACGACAAAGAGGTCGCTCGGATATAATATATATTATATTATTTTGACATTGTTCTTGAGTTTTTATTATATTTGTTTGTATGTAATTTGCTGTAATTTTGCTTTGATCCTGCATGGAAGTCGTATCTATGCTCAAATCAAGGAATCCCATGTTGAAAAGTATGAAGATTACATCAAGGAGGGAGAAATATATGTACTAATGAATGTGATAGTTGTGGAGAACTACCTACCCTACAAGACTACTAGACATCCCTATATTTTGCAATTTATGACCAAAACATAGTGCAAGAAGCAGAATGTCTCAAATTTTCCAATTTATAAATACGATTTTACAACATTTGACTACCTACAGCAACAAGCATGGCTTGATCACAAGTTTGTGATAAGTAATGCCTTTATCCTTCCATATTTTTTCCCTTAATAGTTCGTGTCTGGAGCAATTATTTTTAACCCTGAATTTTTCTTTTTTTCCAATATACTAAAGCATGTACAGTTTTTTCAATGATAAACATGTAGATAATTGTGCACTATTTCATAAAACATTCTCAAATTGTGCATTCAAATATATATATATATATATATATATATATATATATATATATATATATATATATATATATATATATATATTACATCCCAACTTTCATTTTTGTAGATTTTATCGGAAGAGTTGTTAGTAAAAATAAAGAAGAAATAAAAGATGTTCATTGAGTTCAAACCAAGCTCATGGAACTTATCCTTGAAGATGCAAAGTATGTGTATCATTATTTTCTATGTGTTTCTTTCTTTACTATTTCATTAATTATACCTATTTTTATTTCAAAAAAATTTCATTTAGTGAGAAGCGAATAGGATGCACTCTGTGGGGTGAACATGCCACTAGGGTGAATGAAGTTCTCTAGAAGGGTTCAGAAACTATTATTCTATTATTGCAGATGGTATTCCCTAAAAAATATTTAGTTCAGTGGTATTTTTTATTAGTTTGATACAATTTGTCTTTAAATCACCTTTAATGTTAAATTTTTGGTTGTGTTGTAAAATAAAGTGTGATTTTCTTTTAGGGAAAAGTTTACGTGTCAACTACATATAATGTGAGTAAGGTGGTTATCGATGATGACTTGGATGAAATACGCAGTTTCAAAGAAAAGTAGATAAAAAACACTCGTAGCTTTATTGGAACTAACAGGAAAAGAGCTACGAACTTGTTTTGATTGGAAACAAATTTCACATGATTGTAATAATTTAAGTTTAGAGCTACTGGCAGAAGGAATAAGAGACGACAAAACTTGAACACAGAAGGATGCCCCAAGCGTTTATGAAGGAGAGAAGGATCCACTTGGGTAGCAAATGCTGTAGAACATGGACGAAATAGGAAAACTCCATTGTGTGCATTACCCTGTCCAATCTCCATCTTCGTGACACAATCCTGTATGACACAACAGTTTTTGTTAAAAATAACAAGACAAGAGGTATCTCGAATAAGACAACCAACAGAAATAAGATTGCACTGTAGATGAGGAACAAGCAAAACACCCCGAAGCACTACTTCGGGTGAGAGCCGCACACGGCCACATCGAGTGGTTGTAGTCTGTGTGCCATTGGGCAACGTGATGACACAGGGGGGCATGGGAACCACATCAGTTAAAAGGGAGATATTACCAGTCATGTGATGAGAGGCGCCACTGTCAATAAGCCACTCACGAGCCGATGCCTCACCATTAGACCCAGTATCCTTGTCTGAAGAAGAGACGTCGAGCATGGAAAGTAACCGGGTCATCTGATCAGGTGTGAGGCCTAGGGCGTTGGAATTGGTGGCTGCATTTGCTCCCCCTATCGCCGATCCTATCCCTCGGCCAGACCCACGGCCAGGGGCGCTACTGCCGCCGGACGGTGTTCTGCCACCACCGCGACCCCCTCGGCCGGATGCAGTGCCGCGACCCCCACGGCCCTTCCCGGGCGGATACCCATGCAATTGATAGCACCGATCCACAGAATGGCTGTCTTTTCCACAATGTGTGCACGAATAATGGGGGGGTCTCCACGACTCAAGGTAGGAGCGGGACGTTGCATGGCAAAGGCGAGAGCGTCCGTACGGTCATCTCGGCCACGGACAATGCTCTTGTGGCGTTCCTCTTGAACGATGAGTGCATAAGCCCGGTGTATGTCCGAAACAGGTTCGGTGGCAATAATCTGAGATCGGATGTGATCGAACTGTTCGTCGTCGAGCCCGAGCAAAAAATGATGAGTCTTCTCCTGTTCCTCGCGCGCCCGAATCAAAGCCGTAGCCTCACACCGGAAACCACACGTTGGATCAACAGATCCATATAGCTTGTTCCACAAAGTCACAAATTGGTTATAATAAACAACCACAGTTTGTCCCTTTTGACGCAAAGATTAAAACTCAAATTTAAATTGGTGAATACGAGGTCCATTTGAACCTCCATATCTGGTCTTCAAATCTAACCATAATTCATGAGCAATTTTATGGGAGATAATGGAAGGTTGGATGTGTTCATCAACACTGTTACAGATCCAAAAACAAATTATGGAATTATTAGCTTTCCATGCCGCCAATTCCTGTTCATCAGTGGGTTTAGGAAACCCGGAAGGATTGAGAAAACCTGCTCTGCTACGCTCCTCTAGAGCATTAATAATGGTTTTCTCCCAAATATCGTAATTGTCACCTTTGAGAAGATGCTTCGTCAAGGAATTACCCGCACTTACGGACGGGTGAATGTAGTACGGAGAGGTAGGGTCGTGGATGAGCCTGACCTTCTTTGTTCCTTCGCTTGCCATGGAAACGAAGATAGTACCGGCGCGAGACGGTGATTACGAGTCCGACGTGAGCCGGCGCTGCAGCGGTGGTGACCGACGTGAGCCGATCGAAGAGGGGTGACCGTGGTGTGGCGGCCGGCGAAGCAATGGTGGCGGCACCGTGCGTGAGACAAAAAGAGCCTAGGGTTTGAGAAGTTCCCGGGAAATTGGCTCTGATACCATGTAGAATTTTGGAAAACTGAACTTGTAACGCCACAAAATATGGCCTAAAATTTATTATAAAACAAAAGTAAATTTGAATATCATTTTGACCAATGAAGAATATTTAGACGCTTGACCAAGAATAAAAGGATTTCAAAATAATGACTTTTTGTAAAAAAAACTTATTTTTATGGATATGTCTCGAAGAGACGAATCCAACGGTACATTTTAAGAACCAATCTGATTTATAGATTTCAAGTTATGTCGATTTTAAATATTAAAATTTGTAATTTTGACCCATAAAATAAACTCAATTCAAAAGAGATTTCATAAGATTAGAAATCTAAATCTTTGACACTTCACAACACCATATTTATCATTTGGATTTAATTCATATAATTATATCTCATTCATACTATAAAATTTATTTATGATTGAGACAAACCTGAACACTGAGAAAAATAAAAGTTCTCAGAAAAATATTTCGATTACATCAAAATTCTAGTTTTGACAGTCTCATTCCAAAAACGTAACCCGTTTCTGATTCGGAGCAGTTTGGGCAAAAAAGCGCGTACCGTTTGGAGTAAACTGTTCAATTTTGGCAAGAAGCCAAAACTTTATTTTTCCAAATCTCTCCCAAATCACGTAGCTTCCCTTTGTGATGCTCACAATCCTAATTTCAACTCTCCACTAATACAACACTCCAAATAATTATATAATACTCCCAAAACTACACCATACACCACCATTCAACATCATCCACTATATCCATCATCAACACCAACCATCCATCTCCTTTCAACACACTCTCTCTCTCTCGTATGGACCAGAAAGCCAGCAAGCAAAGAAGAAAACACAAAATACTCCATGATTGTATGCTAAGGAAGAAGAAGAAGAAGCAAGAAAACCATCCATAGTTTCCAAACCTTGAGTCCAAAATACATTAGTCCACTTTGAGATAAAAACTGAAATTTTCCATCCATTATTTCGAAATACTTCTTGAACCAAAGTTGTAGCCCCGGACGATACGAATCCAGCCCAACAAACGGCTCGCGATTTCGTTAAGTAACGAAGAAGATATGGCCAAAATACCGGGACTGCGCCAGTGGTGGCGAGCTCCTCGGGTTGGACTACTTTCTTCACCAAATTCATATTGTTTCATTCCAAGAACTCACCACAAACTCTCTAACAATTATTAGGAACATCCGGAAGGTATCGTAGAGAAGGTTCGGTGTTGGAATATTGAAGTTAATGGGTTAATCGTCGGAACCGTTGTTCACCGGAATATTCAAAATTCTGGACAACAACTTTCTCCTAACTTCAGGTCCAATTTACGCTATTTTAAATTCATTATCTCAAAATACTTTCTGTACAAAAGTTATAGCCTTAGATCTTAGGAATCCACAGAATCAAACGGTTTGCGATTTCGTGAAGAAACGATGGAGATATGCCCAAAATACAACAGGTTGTCCAATTGTGACGGGAATGACAAAGTTAGTGAATTTCGATGTTGTTTCCACTCCCGCTCATCCGTAAGGTTTCGGCCGATTATTTCCAGGTCTGTACCTTTGCGTTAGACTTGTCGAATCATTCATCACATACGTACATGAACATATATATTAATCCATATGTTGAAATCATTCCAAAATATATATGTGATGCATATATAAGTCATCTATATATTAAGATCAAAATACACCAAATCCAAAAAGTTAATATACACATACGTAAATATAAACTTTGGGAATCGACCTAATAATATGTATATTTCAATCAAAGGTGTTTAAAAGACTTAAAGAAGTATTTTGGACACTCAAAATATCAAGGATAAGATTCGCAGACCCAAATGGTTGACGCAAACGGTCGACCGTCGCGTTAAACATCGAAACAGATCATGACTGTTAGCCAAACGGTCGACCGCCAGTGGCTAACGGTCGACCGCTGCCCGTCCAGCCGAAGTCCGCCATCCGCAGCTAGTCAACCACGGTCGACCGTCACGGTGATCCGCCAAATCCGACCTGCTGAAGATCAAGGTCGACCGTCCCGCCAAACGGCCGACCGTTCTGAGCCCCGTAGCATATTTAAATGACATTTTTATCATATTTCACCCAAGTAATTTAATGCATGATTATATATATTCATAGTGTTTGCAAATTGTTCACATCATGTCATTCATTTCAACATTTATATTGAAGCATATCACATCATATGCATGCGTAAGAGGTCATGCCTTGTGCACCTCTTATAGCGTGGTTGTGCGAGACTTAGCAGTCCGACAACCCTGACCGGGCTTAGTGTACGTACATGGTATTCAGACTTTCGAGTACCACCCCTATTTTTCTAGTCTCCCTCGTGAGACTAAGAAGGACATGAGTTCGTCGTACCAAATGGGCGAATCTCATAGTTGCAAGGTCATTCCTTGTTGACTTAGAATCATACAGCATGAATTCATCATCAAGTAAAATCATCATGACTATGTGTGACATCAATTACGCATCATGTAATCCTCATCAAGAACAATTATATTGATTACATAGGTGTCATGTAATCATCATCTAGAACAATCAAATTGATTAAATTAAATGTGCCATAATCATGTAATTATCATTAAATATTTATCATCATGATTCATCAAATTGACCATATGATATAATGTGCCATATCAGGAATATTGTTATACATTTTTGTGGACATATATATATGTATATGTATATGTCTGTGAACTATTCTACAATTCTAGCGTGGTGCCACTCGCATGGGCGGATCTAAGTAGAAAGGAATGGGGGCACTTGCCCCCAGTGAGTTTGAGAAAAAAAATTATTAGTACATTGAGTCCTTATTTTTTTTATAGAAATAAAAGTGATGCCCCCCATAAAAAAGTTGGTTGCCCCCCATATTCATGGCCACTTGCGTAAAAGCAAAAAAAAAAAACCTTGTTCAAAAACAAAAAAAAAGTTGATTTTTTATTTCATACGTTGCTATTATATTACTATGTAATATACTCCGTATTATTTTGCTTTTTTTCTCAAATAAAATCTTGCTCTATCTATTGGGACAACAAATTGTACCTTACTTACACCACAATTTGTTTTTCATTATCATTTTTTATCTACACCAAGAAATTCAGTATTCCATCTCACACAAAAATTCTTTTGTAAAAAAAAGGTACACTTTAAAAATATCTTATTTTCTAAGTCGATCTACTATTATTTTATAATATTGTAGGATATGTATAAAGTATGTAGAGGGAGTAGATTGTATTGATTTCGAGACTGTAAGATTATGTATTTAGCTTTTGTGAGAATAATACAATTGCAAAATTGTTCAAAAAAAGGATATGATGTTTTGGATAAAAATTAGCTTGTAAATAATATTAAAATCATACATTTTTATAGTTCGTCTCTTTCAAACAAGAAATGTTTTTGTGGGATGGAAGGAGAGTAAGTTTTTTTTCAAGTTCGCCCCCAGTGGTTCGGATTTCTAGATCCGCCACTGCCACTCAGCGGTTTCGCTGAGCGTGTAGTTTGTATTTTTCGTTGACTACATGTAAGTAACAAGAAGATAAAGATGGAACCACTCCCGGAGGGCATTGAGTCGAAGAAGATGCAAGGATGGCAGGCAAATGTTTGATAATCAGATTTTAAAACGTGTCATGATTTGATTATTATTGTACTTCCGTATTACTCTGAAAATATTTTTAAATGGGCCGCGATCCAGAGTCTGTAAATTTGATATTATAAATAATTGTCATTTTCAAATGTCAAGCGAAATTTTTATTTAACTCTCGTTTCATCTTAATTCGTGTAATTCTGGGTTATACGGATTGGGGTGTTACAGAACTGCCTTTCATTTAATATTCACAACGTATATATACATGTGCCAAGTCCTACTACAAGTATGGAAAGGACTCCTTACAAGGAAACAAATTACAAAGTAAATAATTACATATATGGTAGTAAATAAATATATATGCTAACAATATTTCTCTCTTTCTCATTTTTATAATAATAAACTTCTACCTATATATAAATTTACTGCTTTATACGCCTTTAGGGTTGGTGTTCTACGCACTTGTAGTATATCTATGAGTTTCTTCACAGTTGCAACCCAAAGTGAGAAGACAGATTCTGTGCGTAGAAGGAAAGTTACAATAACATCTGTTGAAGATCTCAAGGCAACTACAAAGGTTTGAAAGTTCCAATCAATCATTTTTTTTGTTTCTTTCTTTAAAATGTTGATGCCATTTAATTTATGTGTAGGCTGGTAAATATTGGTTGTTTGCTTAAATCGTTGAGATTGAAAATTATGCGGATTGGTGTTATTTGGGCTGTACAAAATGCAATCGAAAAGTGGCTCTTTTTTAGAGCGGGTTTAAGTGTAATGTGTGTGACAAATAATACTCTGAGCCTCTATAAAAGTACAAAAATTTTATTGTCCCCCCTTATATTATAGGAGCCAACAACGTCTACCTCCGTTAAATTAGTTCTTTTTCCGCAGAATCTCCCTCCTCCGCAGAATTTCTCTCCTTCACTTTGGTCATCTGCAGAATCTCCCTCCTCCGCAGAATTTCTCTCCTTCAGGCGATTTTCCTTTTCAATTTCCAGGTACTTAGCAGAATATCCCTTCTTCTTCATAAGCTGCGCAATCTTCGGTTCTTGACTTCCAATTTCAGACTCCTCAAATTCACAGCTTTTTGTGGCTGAAAAAAAAGAAACCCAATCAAAATTCATTCTCTTCTAGAATTTCACAGGTTTTATAATTCAGCCCATTTCAAAATTCACCCAAATTTTTAATACACTTATTCAATTTTTAAGAGTTCAAAGTCACAGGTTTCTGTGTTAAAAAATTTTTGGACTATTCAAATTTTTTAGACTTCAAATTCACAGCTATCTGTGTTAGAAAATTTGGGAATCCACTGAAACTACACCCACTTCTATAATTTGAGGCCTAAGCACTGGTTTCCTTTCATCTCCATTTATTGTGTTCTTTAATTTTTTTGTTTTTACTGCATGCCCCATTTATTTTGTTTATTTCATTACTCTCTCTATAGTTAATTAAGAATTTTAACATTTGGTCTAGGAAATAACTTAAATGGATTTGCTCACTCTTGTTACTGGTATAAAGTTAGTAGTTGCCCATCTATTTTTTGCTTATTTTATCTACTAGGTTGACAAATAGAAGTGTGGACTTCTGTACCTTTGATTTCTCTAAGTTTGGCACATATAAGTGTGTAGTTGTGTACTTTTGATGATTTCAGATTTTTAGTACCCATATAAATTCCTTTAATTTCTCTAAATTGTTTATTTATATAGGCATGTGATTATCAATTCTAGATCTTTGTCTGAACAAAGATCTGAGTCAGTGTGTTTTTCAACCTTGCTTCCCATGGATTGCCTTGCTTGTTTGCTTAGTGGGCTTCTTATACCACTGCTTTCATATGGGAAGCTTCTGTAATGTGTTTGGTGAAATAAGCTGTATTTTTTTATATTGTGGAATGTTTAGTTCTGGAAGGTTGTTTATTTGTGAATAATGTTTATATAAGTGCGATTTTAGCATATATTTTTTGTCCTCCAGTAAGGTTGCTTTTTTAGAAAGCAGTTCTACTTTTCTATGCAATGAGGTTCTAAATTCAGTTTAGACTTTTTTAAAAAATTATATTGATTTTTTTTAAGGTTTTGTAATTTTTAGAGGGCCCATGCGTATATAATATGCAGGTTTTTTGTAGCAATTTTCCTTGCTGCACATCTGTACTTGGATGACTTCAGATTTTCGATACCTATATAAATTCCTTTGATTTTTCTAAGTTTGATTCCGTTGACTTTTCTAAGTTGTGTATTTATATAGGCATATTCTTTTGAAGTCAATTCTGAGGCAAATTGTTTACACTATGTTTACGTTTACACTATAAATTCTGACTTTTGTATGAATACTTGATGTTATGTTCTGTTATTAAGGGTGGAGTTTTAGTGTTAGAACATAAATTCACAGCTATCTGTGTTAGAACATAAAAGCAAAGATTGAAACTTTCAATCACAGAGAGGAAAACCAAGGAAAAAAGAAACCCATTAAATGAATCTAAGTCCCCTTATGAATCAGGTTCAAGAAAAACAAACAAAATGAAAAGGAGACAGAACAGAATCATTCAATTAAATAAAGAAAATAGAGTAGAATCATTCAATTAAATAAATAAAATAAAGCAGAATCATTATATTCAATTAAAGAAAAGATTTTTATGATGGCAAACCACAGATTCATGAAAGATAAACAACAATAGGCACAAGGCGAGGTAATATCAAAATGTACATTAGGAAACATAGTTTTAGTGAGTTTTTTTAAAATGTTATTCAGTAGATAGAGTTATTACGGCTTTCTTCAATGACTAAAATAACCCTGAAAAATTGCGAAAACCAATTTGTTAAAAATTAATCTAATTGAAGCCATAGCATCATCATTTGGTACTAGCATTAAAGATGAAACGTATGGCTCTTGCTTTCCAAATGGTTGTTTTTTTATTAATTGTCACTTCATTTATCTTATTGATTGTGTACCTGTTGTATTTGCATCGCCTGAGGGTTGGTCAGGTAGAAAAAATGTTTTATTTTCTGAGACAACATCATATAGCATTTCTAGAATTATATGCTACTTCATAAAAGAAAAATCATAAATAAAGCAGTTGTCCTTTATGAATTCAAATCTCCTAATTTTAACTTTAAACCCTTCACACAAGTAAGAAAACACTATTCGTGTTATTTCCTACTCTCATCAAGCTGTGTTTCGACTTCCTTGGTATGTTAACACACTTTGAAGATTTGTTCCTTTAAATTATTCATTGATTATAAACTGTAATTATGATGATGAACACTTTGTTAATACTTTGTATGTCGTTACAAATTTAGATGACTTCTCTAATTCGTTAATCCAATTGATATGATGGACACTGCTCTTTGTTCATGTCATCAAGTACTTGTTCGACTTCCTTCAAATGTGTTCTGTAAACAGAGTGTGTATCTACCTCTAGAATGGTAGCTACATTTTCACACAAATAATAATATATGGTTAACTTAATTTTGGTATAAACATATATTTGTTACATGATGCATAACATTACTTAATACTCACGTATATTCTTAAGTCCCTATAGATTCAATGGAAATTGGATCTTCATCAAGCCAACGAGTCACTGAGGCGGCGTGAAAAAATAAACTTCAGACGTCGGCTTAGATATCGTGAATTACGTGGTCGAGCAAAAAACATCGCTTCCGCGACAACTCAATTCAACACTGCCCTACTAATGAAGGTCTTCCATTTCATTCCTTTATGATATATACTTTTATCTCACCTGAATCAATAATGAACTCATTTAAACAAGCTCGTACGCCAAGTATTTCAACTGCCCTCACCATCCCTGACACATGCTGCCCTCCTGCTTTTCCAAATCATGTAACCTATTGCCAATTTCCAAGAGACAGGTGATTTTTAAAAGAAATCTGAATTTGCATTGATTTTTAGGGGAAAAGTGGAATATTAGCGACTGATTTTTGTAAGGAATATGATCTTAAAGCTGATTTTCAAGAAGAAACTAAACCATAACGAGGACGTTTTGAAACAGATTATGAGCTTTTAAAATGAAAATAACATACTCTCCTCATACTAAAATGTGTGTACTTTAAACTCTAGAGATGTAGCTAGATTTTCAGATGACCAAGAAGAAATTGGCACAGGACATGTGCATTTCTAACAATGCATAGGTTAAAAGGTTATAGTCATGGCAAAGGCAACTCATTTTGACCTAAAAAAATCTATGTACTTATTTTAGGTTGAAATGAGGAAGTTTAAAGGCATTTCATGTACCTGCATTTATTCACCAAATTGTTTTTCATGTGAAATTGAGTCCAAGATCTGGGCATGGTAATTAAGTTGGCCTTTTAAGCCATGTTTCATGTAGGAATAGTGGACAGTCAGTTGTCCATTTTTCTTTTTGTTTGTCTAAGAACCTTTGTTTATATAAACTACATGTCTAAATTCACAAAGCATGTGATAGAAAATAAAATCTAAATAAATAAATTTCAACGAACACATTCGGTAGGGGCAAGTGTTTATTACTGTTTCTCAAACAAATCAGGTTTTCTCAGGTGCTTCGCTACTCCCTTCTGCTTTAGTACATTTTTACCCTTTATTGATGTGTATCATCCTTTGAAATAGATGGGTACATATAATTGATTAACCCAATATAAAGACTTGTCCCAAGTATTTAGAAACTAAAATTACCACAGTCCAAATCTTTTTTTTTTTTTTTGAAGCAACCACAGTCCAAATCTGACCAATCTATATATTAATGCCATGTTTTGAACTTACCAAATGGTAATAAAGCTAATGCGGGTTAACTTTGGTTACATGTAATAAATTTGTTTAAACTCAATACATATAGTTTACTTATTATAGAGTCTAAGAAGTCCAAATATATGTAAAAGCTTGAACTATACTACCTGCTTACATTAACCTTCCACACCCCACTCACAAGGTCCCGCTCATGCAGATGCAAACCAATCACGATGACTCAATTGAATTGAACCCAATCATTTCTCTCGGAGCATCTCTTGAAGAATGATAAGCATATTTAACTCTTCTTACACCTTATTACTTTTTAAAAGTTCTTTTATAAACAAATAAAATCCATGCAGGAAATGTTCAAATGCTGACACAATAAAGCATGCCTTAGAAACAAAACAATTTCAAGATCCTTTGTCTGTTTTCGTAAGTCCAGAAGAAATTGACAAGACAAGCACATCAGACATCATGGACACACCGAATCAGGTTCTTAATACACTTCTTCAATTCTTTTTATAACTCCTATCAAATGTTTGTGACTGAAGATGAAAATGAACCAATAACGTTGTACATTGGATGCAGCAGCTGCAATCGGAAAGTACACTTTAGAGAAGGGATTACTTATAAATGCATGCAGTGTGGGGATAAAGAGGCAACAACTGCAAACAGGTTCACATTGTACTTCAGTTCTGTCTCCTTTTCATTTTGTTTAAGCATACAAAGATTCAGGTACACAATCAACTATAGTTGGAAAGCAGACAAAACAGAATCATTCATTTATGATGATGAATGACGCTGTAAAAAGAACAGGGTGATTAGTGTACATGTAGTTTGTGTACCTGAATGTAATTTCCTCACATTATACAGTGATCAGTTAAGGCAATTCAATTCCTAACGCTGTAATTATGATGATGAACACGCAGTGCATAACGACTTCATTTCTTATGTACACACTTTCTTACTATACAACTTTGCAGATTTAGGGCTGTAGATGAAACAAGTGATGGCAGTGGTACTCTACAGGTCACCCTCTTCACCAAGGAACTTCAAAAAATATTAAAGACACTAGAATGGAATACACTGCTGGAGGCAATCAATTCTCTAAATCTGAACAAATCCCTCCAAACACTCACAGCTATCGCTGCCATCAAACCAACATCAAGCACTTACAAAAGACAAACATCAAACATCTACTCACTACTGAGCCTCTACAGCCTCTCTCAAAAGCAAACAAGCACTCCAACTTTAAACAGAAAGCTGAAGGTTGAAGAGGACAGCCACAAAAAGAAAACTTAACCCATGTTTCAAGAACTTAGAAACTTTTTTTGACTTAAATGTGTATTCCTACCCCTCTTGTAACATATATGTATCCCAACAAGGTAGGAATCCTCCACATTTCATAAATGAAGTGCATGTGAGCACTTCAATTTTTGTAAAACAGTTCCTATGTTAGAATTTATACATTTGCAACATATCATAAATGAAGTGTAGGTGATCACTTCAAATTTTGTAAAACAATGTCTAAACTTCTCGTAAAGTATTATGTGTATGCCATATTACAAAATCATAGTACATTATACAAAGAATTTGGGCACAAACACACAACGTGTGTGCCATGCTAGTATTAATTATAGGTACAAGGTGACAATACAATCACTGGATGTAAATGGTAATGGCAGTGTAACTTTAGTTTTGTGGGATAGGGTATGTACTGAAATATTGGGTATTCCAACATTTAGACTAAGAGCCTGTTCTTTAGAGCTTGAACTCTTAACTTCCAGTTCCTTCCAGCTTTTTTAAGTTTCTTCCAATTCCTTCCCCAGTTCTTCCAGTTCCTTCCAGTTTCTTTCAGTTCCTTCCAGTTCCTTCCAGTTCTTCCAATTCTTTCCAGTTCCTTCCAGTTCTTTCTAGTTTGTTCCAGTTCCTTCCAATTTTCTTCCAACTTTTCTCATTATCTTCAAATTCTTTCTACTCCTCAACCAATTACTCTAAAAATAATATATTTCAATGTGATTATTATTATTATTATTATTAATATTATTATTATTATTATTATTATAATAATAATAATAATTATTATTATTATTAAAACTGTTATATTCATAACTATAGTTTATAAATTATTTTTTTCATATCACTATTTTTACGATTCAAACTTATTATTTTTTTCTTCAACTTTTTTATATGAATAAGACATTTTTTGTATATTAGTTTACATGATAAACAAGAAAACATCAATATGTTAAATTATACTAAAAAAATATGGATAAAATAGTTACATTGAATGTTTTATTAATATAACTTTTTATAAGACATCTCAGTTTTCCCTTTATTACTTAAAAATCGCTCATTTGTTTAATTTTAAAAAAAAAATTGTTAGTCAAAAGAGCTTAGAGAAAAAGACTAAAATGTGAGTAAAACATAAAAAATGTAAACAAAAAAGTTCTATGCCTTTATTCCAAAAATAGGAATTCAATAAAAATAAAATGTCAATCATGAAAGAAACAATAGGTTAACCCATCTAATACTACGCATTTAGCACCGCTTATTGTTTTTTTACCAAGTTAGCTATTTATGTTGTCAATCTCTTCCAATTATACCCTTTATGTTGTCAATCTCTTTTATCTATCCCACTATCAATTGTTTCAATTCCTCTTTCAACTCATATATCAAATTCGGACTCACATAATGTATACTTTGTGCATAGTGGCATAGCACTCTTTTTATCATATTCTTTCTTCAATCAATTAAATGTAGTTTTGAATAAATATATATAATAAAAATACGATATATCAAAATTATATCATAAAAATATGCCAATTATAAATACTTCATTCATCCCAAAATAGGGCTCTTATTCGATTTATGATGTTTGATTGAAGTTATTTTCAAACCAATATAAGTAAAAATTGGTGTATAATTAAAAAATAAGAATTATATATTAAAAAACTACATAAAAAATTCTATAAACAAGTGGTGACAATGGGACTTACATATAAAACTACCAATGTTATAAATTATAATTTGACTTTCATATTGTGCAAACAACTTGTGGTTGATTTTATGACAATAGGGTTTTACAATGAAAGAGATTGTTATGAAATGTGTTACTCAATATGGTGGCTATAAATATATGGGCAGTACAGATTGATCATGTTCTGTAAACACTTTCTTGCAGTGAATTTGTCTTCTATATATAATGTGGCAGACAAGAGTGAAAATATGGCAGTGTATAAAAGTTCGTGGCCTAAACAAATTTGTATGTACTTCATTAACTTCCATTAATAATATGGTAGTAAAATTAGACATACATATAAAACTGCCAATGTTATGAATTATGAATTGAGTTTCATATTGTGCAAAAGCCATGTGCTTCGTTCTATGACTATTGGGTTTGAACATTCAAGAGTTCGTTATGGAAACGTGTTACTGAATAGGGGCTGATATTTTTTTGACAGTGTAGAATAATCAACTTCTAGCTAAACTTTTTGGAAATGTCCTATGACCATGTTTGCCTAGTGTGTTTTGGTCAAATGGGATTTATATCTAAAAATCCCAATGTAATAAATTATTTATTGAGTTCCATCGGAAGCGGATAAAAAAATCACTAAAATGATTAGTGCTTGAATAACTTTAATAAACAAAGTATGAAGTGTAAGCTCAAAGATTCTTGGCAGTGTGGAATGCTTGTGATCTAGGTATACTTTTTGGCAGTGTGTTATGTCCTATGTTTTGGCCAGTGTGCTATGTTGCACAATTCTACATAATGTTGCAGTGTATGCTGCTTACAAAGTCTTAAAATTTACAACATAATACCTTCATTATCCATTTCTTTTCAATACCACATATATGAAATTCAGCATAGGTCTAATACTAACATCTTATAACATTATACAAAATCAAGAAAGACCAAAAAAAGCCAAGTCCATGTTTGGCCAGTGTGTTTTGGTGTAATAGATTATTCATGAAAACAGTCATACATTTTTAGGCAGTGTGAAATTCATAAATGAAAACAATCATATACATTTTTCGCAGTGTGGAATTCATACATGAAAATAGTGTGGAATTCATACATAAAAAGAGCTAACATTTTTTTGGCAGTGTGAAATTCATACATGAAAATAATCATACATTTTTTGACTGTAGAATTTATACATGAAATCACTGCCACATAAATCAATGGACATTACACAACAACATGAAATTAAGGAACACAATATTACATTTACACACTGCCGTAAAATATAACAATAAATACCCATTCTACACTGCCACATTAAAAACTCACATATAAACCACATTGCCCACTACACAATTACGAGTGAACAACCACACTGCCCAAATCAACCATATTTTTTGGCAGTGCATAATGAACATTTGCTGTTTAATTAAAGGACAAAATCGGAATCACATGTACGAAACATATAGCACTGCTATTTAGAGTATTTTAATGCTCTTAGAGTGCTATTTTGGTTTTTCTCCCAAAAATTATCCAAAATAATCTCAAGTTTACTCCATCTTCCAAAAATAATCCAACCTTTCACTGTAATGCATAATAATCCAAACTTTAGTAAAATTTGCGACTTTTGGGTCACCATTAAGTTGTTAACGGTGGGTTAAGGAATGACTGTTTTGCGCAACAAAATGGTGGGTGAACTTTTGTTTTTAATTTTGTTTTTTTTGAAATTTTTATTTATGCTAATATAATGACTTTCTACATCACTTTCTTTTTCCTTTTTTAAAAATTATTCTTATCTTATAATATATAAAAAAATAAATATAAAAATATCAAAAATGAGAAAGATAACCAGAACCATACAAAATTAATGAAATAAATAAGCCAATCAATAAAAATTAAACTAAAATTGAAAAGAAAAAATAAAAGTATAATGAGTAGAGTGCTCTAACATTTTATGCACTATACAAAGTATTAATGTACTACTTATTTTTTGAAAGAACGGGTAAAGTTAGGATTCTTCTAGATAATTTTTTTCGAAAAATAAGAAGCAACATTAATGCTCTGTATAGTGTGTAAAATGTTAAAACCCACCACTACATATACTTTATTTCATTTCTTATCATTTTCAGGTTAATTTCTATTAATTACTATTTTTCATTAACTTTGTATGATTTTAGTTATGTTTCTCATTTTTGTTATTTTATATATATATTTTTTATTTTCATCGAAAGTTAGACTAATCTTTACAAAATAGAAATGATGGATTTAGAAAGTAATTTCAAAAATTTAAACTAAAATTTCCAAAAAAATTAAAAAATGAAAACTCATCGAAAATAATCCTAACTTTTATTATGTTGCGCAAAACAAGCCGTTTCCGTTAACTCGTTGTTAGTAACTTAATGACGACCCAAAATTCACAAGTTTCAGTAAAGTTGAAATTATAATGCATCACAGTGAAAGTTAGGTTTATTTTTGATAGACCGGATAAAGTTGAGATTATTCTGCATAATTTTTCCTATAATATATGATATTTTAAAACTTTGTTTCTAAATTACTCTATTGATATAACCGGAGTGTTAAATAATCCTATATATTTTTCATACTTTATGGTCAAAGTTAAAAAATTTTGACCAAAGAAAAAACAAACAAAAAGAAAATTATGAGGATGACAGGGTACATCAAAGGTTATACTCTGTCTCAATTTAAATTAATCATTTTGTTTACAATTTTGACTAAAATTAATTTTAATTTTTTTATATGAAAATTTATGTAGAGTTCAAAATTAAATTTTATATATTAAAAACTACATCCAAAATTATACTCTGTACACAACAAGAACTAACATTGCTATACTATTTTATCAAATGAATATCGAAAATGGGTAATGAAAGCGGTAAAAGTTAGTACCCATTACAAAACAAGTGATGACATGTTTATTTAATTTTATCAAAAAATAAAAATGTAAACTGTATGCAAAGAAAAGTTATCAAAAGTTTCAAAATAATAAAAGAGAATAATTTATGGACAAAGGTAATATAGTTTGCAAATTCTTACATGGTCTTAAGATCTTTGTTCATTTTATGGACTTTAATTCATTGATATCTGATACGAATATTGTACCGGATAGGGAAGAACTTCGAGCGTCTTTGAGCTCCAAGAAAGGGGAGGCAAAGAGAGAAGGAAAACTTCGAGCGTTTCCGGGCTCTAAGAAAAGTGAGACGAGAGATATTAAGAGAATTCTTGATTATTGATTGATTCCATAATAACGGGGAAGGATTACAATATATAGAGAGTAATACGATACGCTAATTATTGACCTAATGGGCTCGGGCCCATACTAAACCCTAAACCCCATTAACTAAATAATATTAAATAATAAATACTAATTAACTAATAGTTAATTAAATATCCTAATCACCATACATATCATTCCCACCCCCTTAAAAACCACCTTGTCCTCAAGGTGGAGGTTTCCACTCAAGCTTTTGGACATGTGAGAACGTGCTGAACTAGACAAGATGTCCAGTTGTAGACCAATCTTCAAGAAGCTTCTCAGATGAAGTATACCGGTAGAAATAAGAGAGAAGACCAAACTTGCATTGAACTATTTTCTTTGAACCCCAGTGCTCATACGTGACAACATCGGCAAGCTCAAATAACTTGATGGTATCAATCAAAATAGGGGAGCATGCTTGCTTATCATCTGCATCTGCCACTCTGTCAACACTTTTTGGAACATCATACTTTGCAATGACCACTCCGGCTGAAGTATAAAATTCCTGAAAAGTAGAATCTGACTTATCAACATTAGCAACATCTTCTGCAAGAGGACCTTCATTTTTTTCCACAACGTTGGACCTCCCGTCATCTTTGTTTGTTGCTTCAGGCCCGGTGTCCACTTCATCTCCAACTTGTGAGTCAACGCTTGATTCCTCCTTGGATGCTTGATCCTGTGCTGCAGTGTGTTGCTCAAGTACTGTAGAGACCAGATTTGACGCAGAAGGTGGAGTATCGATGAGAAATTTAATAGCGCCCAACATGTTTGTTCTAAAGTTTTGTAACTTCAATGGAATCAAACTCGGCAAAATTAGGGGCCCACGGACCAAATCCTGTATCGCGCAAGAGATTTCAATGTCAAATGTGTGTAAGTCAAAATCATAATTTGACCGACCTTCAATATGATGAAATGACCGGAGATTCTTTATAATTTCGTCTATGTGATCATAAAGTGCACAAACTCCCTCGTCGTGCTCAATTTCTCCATATAGAACAATTTTTAGCAAATTAGTAAGTTTGTCCAGTGCACAAGTACACATAAACAAAGTCTCTAATTGCTTGAATCGAGCATCTATTCGGGAAGAAAAATCTTGTTGTATTTGATTTTGCGATTGAGAAAAAACATCCATCCCTTCAGTTGTTGTAGATGGCTCCCTCCAAATTGAATCCAAAAATTAAAGCAAGTCACCAAAGTGCCTCAAATTAAACAGAACCTGGGTGGCTGACAGATCGGAGCCGGAATAGGGTTTGCGGCTGGGTGGCTAATCTTGGAGTAGATGACAACAATAATTGGCCTAACAACTTGTTATTAGCACCAAATTTACACTCCTTGAACTTGAAAGATTGTGCGCAGCAAGTCTTCGGCGCAGCAAGAGTAAGGCTGAACTAATTTTTTTTTTGTTTTTTTTTGGATATGTGATGAGTTCAAGAATGAAAGCACCAATTAATACGAATATCGCGTGTCTACAAATATCGCGTGTCTACAAGGTGCGGCTGTCTTGAGCAATCCCTCCGGCAATAAAAATTAAGCGACCACAAATCGCGTGTCTACAAGGTTCCGCAGCAAATCAGTTGGATACAGCGATTCTGTTTTTTTTTTTTGGTTTTTTGCGTTCAAATCAATGAGAGCACCAATTGATACGAATATTGTATCGGATAGGGAAGAACTTCGAGCGTCTTCGAGCTCCAAGAAAGGGGAGGCAAAGAGAGAAGGAAAACTTCGAGCGTTTCCGGGCTCTAAGAAAAGTGAGACGAGAGATATTAAGAGAATTCTTGATTATTGATTGATTCCATAATAACGGGGAAGGATTACAATATATAGAGAGTAATACGATACGCTAATTATTGACCTAATGGGCTCGGGCCCATACTAAACCCTAAACCCCATTAACTAAATAATATTAAATAATAAATACTAATTAACTAATAATTAATTAACTATCCTAATCACCATACATATCAATATCATATAAGAATTTTGCCTTTTGTAAAAAAGAAAAAAAATTTACTTGCCAGTCCATGAAAAGTGTAAAAAAGTTCACATTTCACATAGGGACTTTAGGACTATGAAAGAACAACTCATACCAGTAAGGAGTAACCTATAATTTATTATTCTTTCACTTTTTTAAAACACCTTATCTTTCATTTTTTACTTTTTCGTCAAAAAAGTTACATTTTATATTACAAAGTCTATTTCTTCCTACTCAATCATACATTACCTATCATTTCATATAAAAATATATACTCCGTATTACTCCTTTTGTCTCATATACTCGTTCCGGTTTTATTTTTTTTCTTCCAAAAATAACTCTCTTTGAACACAAATTATGAAAAAAGGACAATTAATTATCATATAAAATGAATATAATTATCGCACATATATGGGCTCTCAAGATAGTAGGGTGTCTCTTTTAATATTGCAGTTTTCTTTTAGTGTGTTTTGGAGTTGCCACTTATGTAAAACTGATGGGTAAATTTCACCAATAGTACCTGAACTTTAGCTGGAATTTCGAAGTGGTACTTAAACTTCAAATCTTTTCACAAAAATTCCTAAACTTACACAATCCTTTCACTAAAAGTCCATTTGCCCGTTTCTAAGTTAACTTCCGGTCATTTGGACCAAATTAGAATTTCATATATTTTAAAATTTTTAATTTGACCACATTTCTTTTTTTCTTTTCTTCCGCTCCCCGCTGCCGTCGCACCACGTCAAAGTTGCCGGAAAATCAACCTGGTCAGATTCCCGCGGGACCAACGCCGTTCTCTTCGTCTTGAGATGAGGATCAAGAATATCCAAATCATTTTGTCCAATTTGGCCTGCAACTCCTCGAATTTGAATTTTTCCACTCGAAAAAACCCTAAAATCCGAAATTGGGGGGTTTTTGCAAATCGCCATCAAATCTTGCAATTGAGGGGTCCTTGGGGGTCGCCGAGATGCCACGAACACTTTAAGGGGATGAGCGACGTCAATTTTGCCAGAGGTGGCCGGAAAACGCTCCAACCCACCGGAAGGAGGCGGCGTTTTTCGGCGGGTTGGAGCGTTTTCCGGTCACCTCCGGAAAAATTGACGTCGCTCATCCCCTCCAAAGTATTCGTGGCATCTCGGCAACCCCCAAGGACCCCTCAATTGCAAGATTTGATGGCGATTTGCAAAAACTAACAATTTCGCATTTTAGGGTTTTTTCGAGTGGAAAAATTCAAATTCAAGGAGTTGCAGGCCAAATTGGACAAAATGATTTAGATATTCTTGATCTTCATCTCAAGACGAAGAGAACGGCGTTGGTCCTGCAAGAATCTGACCAAGTTGATTTTCCGGCGACTTTGACGTGGTGCGACAGCGGCGGGGAGTGGAAGAAAAGAAAAAAGAAATGTAGTCAAATTGAAAATTTTAAAATATATAAAATTCTAATTTGACCCAAATGACCGGAAGTTAACCTAAAAACGGGCAAATGGACTTTTGGTGAAAGGATTGTGTAAGTTCAGGGATTTTTGTGAAAGGATTTGAAATTTAGGTACCACTTCGAAATTGCAGCTAAAGTTCCGGTACCATTGGTGAACCTTACCCTTAAACTGATGGATTTGGTGGTTAATAAATTGTGCTTGGTTAAAAAAATGAATAAAATTAGGTCAATGTTAAGATATAGTTTTGATACATCTAATTTCTTCAACATATATTTTTTCAAATTATATTTAATTTATGGCCAAAATGTGTTACTTTTTGCCCAAAAAAGTCAAAACATAAAAAAGTAAATGGGACGGAGGAGTATTACCCCGTTCCGTTCAACTTATTTTTTCTTATTTTTTTCTTATTAAAATCAGATCAGATCAGTTAGTTCAGAGCAGATCAGATCAAATCAGAACGAATCAGATCACATCAAATCTAATCAGATCAGATCCCATCAAATCAGACCAGATCAGATCAAGTCACATCAAGAATTATTATTATTATTATTATTATTATTATTCTTGTGGTTGTTGAATTTTTGTTATTATTATTATTAAAAATAAAAAAGAATAAACTTTAGAAACAAGTTAGATAGAAAACTGAGAAAGTATTCCTTAATTATTAGACGTCAGAAAAATTATTTTTAAAATACATTGACAATCTCAATCTAGTTCTATTTTTAAAATACATTTTTATTGCTACCTGTAATTTGAGTTTCTAAAGTTTTGATCTTTTATAAGGATGAGATATTTTAATAAAAATTCTATCTTCTATATATTGATTATCTAAATTTAATTACTTTTTAATGCATATATAAATTAAATATTTACTCTAATGTACTCCGTATATATGAAGTAATTATTAAAATATTAAATTAATATTCTAATTTCACAAAAAAATAACCATAAATTAAAAAATATTATTAGATTATAATATGAATGGTTATTCTAATATATGAATTAACTAATTTTATTTTATTAAAAAATAATCATAAAATAAAAAATATTAATTATATTATAATATGAATTATCATTACAATTTTCAAACATTATTATAAAGTCAAATCAAATATTGATTTGAATTTTAAAACAAACCATAATTAATCAGATCAGACCAGATCAGATCAGAAACAATCAGATCAGATCAAATCCAATCAGATTAGATCAAATCAGATCAATTCAGATTAGATCAGATCCAATCAGATCAGATCAGAACTACAAAAAATCAGATAAGATCAGAAAAAATAAGTTGAACGAAATGGAGCCTTAATATACTCAATATACTCTTATCCATCATATCAAAGGCAAAATTAGGAAGTCAAGCACAAAATAAACACTCGTTATCCTCTAGTCAATATAAGAATGGGTTTTCTAAACCAGAGGATGCTTTTCATTTTTTTGGTCACATATGATGATCGAGCAAAGGTATGATAATCAAGCAAAGGTAAGAGAGCAGTAATTTTTTGATTAAATTCTCAGAATGATACTCAATAACTATGTGTTTTTTTAAATTAGTCTTCAAAACAAACTAACTCCTGAAATGGTACTCGGTATTTGAGAATAATTCTCAGTTCAGTCCCCCAACTAAAAATCATTAAATTGGCATTAAAAAGACATTAAACTTTATATTATTTTTCAAAAATAGTACTCCGGGGTACTTTCTAACGGGGTATTTTCTCAAATTGGTTTATTTTTGAAATAAAAATACATTAATTATGAAAAAATATTTTTAAATTTATAAAATTTATACATTAATGTACTTTTATTTAGAAAATGGACCAATTTGAGAAAACACCCAGTTAGAAAGTACCATTTTGAGAAAGTAATATATATTTTAATATCGTTTTAACGCTGTTTTAACGATCGTTAGTTGGGGGGCTAAACTGAGTATTATTTTCAATTGATGAGTACCATCTTGGGAATTAGTTAAATTTGATGATTAGTTTGGAAAAATATATAGTTATTGATCATCATTTTAGAAATTAACTCTAATTTCTTCTACAAATCCACGGACGCGGGCAACCACCTTTTCTCTGGGAATCGTATTGCGACCCGAAACTCATGCAACTACTGAGCTAACTTCAGCTGTCTCAAAAGTGCTGAAGAATGTATGGCAGCAACACCAAAAATTCCTAGTTTCTATGCAACAACTAAGACGCCATTAGGACCTAATAATACAAGTATTTACACTACAAAAAAAGAGGGCAGTACCGACAGATTTTTAGGGACAGAAACCTTATTTGTCGCTAAAAAGAGAATATTGCCGACAGATAAAATTATTTGAAGGCAAAACCTATTTGACCCACAGAAAGAGTAATATTTGTTGCTATTGGTTATAGTTTTAGCAACAAATTTTTATCTGTCGGTATAACTTATAGCTTTAACGACAAAACTTTATCTGTCAGTATTGTTTATAATATTAGCAACAAAAAATTTATCTGCCGGTATTGTTTATCGTATTAGCAACAAAAATTTATCTGTCGGTATTGTTTATAGTTTTAGCAACAACATTTTATCTGTCGGTATTGATTTTATTGACATTTAATTTAAATATCTTAATTATAAAAAACCATAAAATTAGGCATCATTTAGTACACGAAATTGAGGTCATGAAATTGGAAATGAAAATTCTCAATTTGAATTTTGTTGTTTGGTCGCACAAAAATATATGATATTAAAAATGAATTGTAAATTTAAAAGATAAAAAACTAAAAATTAAAGATTAAAAATTATTTTTTTACATTGAATATTTACAAACTAAAAATTTTAATTTTTAATTTCAGATTTTTAAGTTATAAGTTAAAATTAAAAAACTAAATTGACCAAATAGAATCAAGATATATGATAAAAGAACAAATCAACAAAGTAAAACCGAGAGGGATTAAAACGTCAGTAGAGATAAGTAGAATTATTCACATTATTGATATAGAATAATAAGGTAGAGATTCTTAATCATTTCCAATGCGGTTAAAAGATATGTCGGTCAACTACAAATAAAAAACCAAAAATCAGGGGATTGACCGAAGTAACTACCATACCAAGTTTGCATAAAACTGCTCACAAGCAAGGTATTTATAGCTAAAAAAATTATAAACAAGTAGGAAAAAGACCTCAAAGGAGACAAAACTATAAAATTAACGGTCTAAAAAGCAGGATTTTGGATCGAAGATGGATCTCGATCGGTCAAGACCCATCAGGCCCTTGTGCGTCTCGCCGAGACCTTTTACAGAAACGGGTAGACTGCTGAAATTGGACACCCATAGCCAAAGTTATGGCCCAAATAGTGTGACAACCCAAAATGCCTCAATTTCCTGCCTTGTGTTTATTTTGTGGTTCATGGTAAAAAGTGATAAGTCTATTATTTGTGCATGTGTTGTTATATTTTGTTAGACTTATTGACTTTGTTTTTATATTAAATTGTATAACCTTGGTTAACACGGGAGGATCTACGTGTATGAATGTGGGGGCAGTCGCCCCCAATCAATTTTTTTTACTCCGTAATATATAGTACCGGAGTATTAAAATAATTTTATTGTAGAGAATTAAAAGAACGACCCTGATAAAAAATTAGTTTGCCCCCACTGATCACAAAAGAAAATCTTATTTTAAAAATAAAAAATAATCACTTAAAAACATATATAGGTAAAATATTTGAAATATCATAATTATATTACGTTTTGATATACTTTATATTTTATTTTCTACTTTAAAAATTATTTTTTATTTAAATACTTGTTTAAAATTGAATTCTTTATTTTTTATTATTATCAAACGCTTTTTAAAAATCGGAAAATCCATCCCTGAACCCCACCATACTCTTTAGTGTGTATTTGCCAACGCTCATATTTTTTCTGGATCCGTCACTGTAATGGTTAATATTACTGTATGATTTTGGATGAATTTGTGTTTATGGTTTGATTTTAGAATCTAATTATAAGGAAAGGACCAATTAGCAAGTACATTAGCAAAATGGGGCCAATTTACAATATTGAGAAGTTTTAATGTTGATAGAGTAGGGAGGGAGATCAAGCTAGGGGAACAAGAGGCGGAAGACAGTTTGGGACGGAATCGAGGATTAGGGATCTGAGACACGAACGGAGCACGACGAGGCAACAGAGTAACCGGCGACGACTTTCTTCTTCGACCAGAACTGCGGGCGGTAGGCTCTCATCTTCGATCAGCATCTGGACACAGAGCAGGGCGGGGGTGGTTGGCCTTCATCGTCCATCGGCTAGCAGCGAGGCATGGAGGTCCGGTTCCGACCTCAGTGATTCCGGGCGGAAATCATACGGCGGCCTTCTCTCTGATTCGGTTTCAATTTTTTCACCTTTCTTTAATCTAATCTTTCTCACTATTTTCTTTAGATTTGTTCACTCTAATTTTGTATTCACTTGTTAGACTGCCATGGCTGCCCTTCTCTCTGATTTGGTTTCAATTTCACAATATAATAAGGAATTCTATTCAAATCATGATATGTACTGTATTTACAAGTCTTTAACTTTTAATTATAAGTGTCCACGATTTTTACAGACATGCCATGGCTTTTGCACATTGCTATTGTTTTGCCTTCTTTGACAAACTTATGGAGCTAGGTAGGTTTCATCAGGGCGACTAATAAAGCATGTAGCATCGTCAATCGACAATTGTCATCACCTTTCATTTCTATACAAAGCAAGCTCCACAAGAAAATGAATTGGATGATGATCATAGATGCCACATATGTCATTGGGTTCCTTTAGGGACCCTGTCTAGCTACTTATAATCACTCTTTTATTTGGCCTTAAGGCAATTGTTTCTCGTCTTCTTTTTCTCGTTGATCCCTTTTTTCTGTTCCAACAATGTTTATTACATATTGTAGATTTTTGTTGGTGGAATCTCCGAAGTTATTTCATCTGATATGGTAAGAGAATTAATCTTAACATCGGTAAAAATGTTTATTTTAGATAATGTTTCTAGTTTCTTTTTTCATCCTGCCAGAGGGCATAAATTTTATGCTGCTATTCCAGCTTATGGAGATTGCTAAATCGTTTGGACATTTGAAAGCATATCACTTTGAGTTTAATGCAGATCTTAATGAGCCACGTGCTTTTCTTGAGGTATCATCCTACTATTCTTTCATTGGGTAAATGATTATTTATTCTTTCTTGCTCCCTACTAGATTATTGTCTTGTATATACTTTGGTAATGCTCTACTTGTTTTATGGAGAGAGTGGAATAAAATTTACCGTGGATGTAATCTGTATGAGATGTCAGGCTCGGTGTCAAATGTCTGTTCCATGATCAAAACCAAGTATAAATCCAGGGCCTGGATACTACTGACAATTAGAAAGCTCGAGCCTCTCATGTGTGTGAGAAGCAAGAATTTATGTGTTTTTTAAATATAATTATGAACTGAAACCTGAAAGGGGAGTAAAACATAAGTGTTCTTGAGCTTCACTTTTGACACGATCAATATATTCACGTTAGGCTACCACTTGGGGTTAGGAGGTTTACACTGTATCTGTGGGCTCGCATCTTCGATCAGCATCTGGACACAGAGTGGACACAGAGTAGGGCTGGTGGTTGTCCTTCATCGTCGATCGGCTAGCAGCGAGGCATGGAGGTCCGATTCCGGACGGAAATCAGACGGTGGCAATCAGTCCAGCAGCTCTCTACAGTGAACTCCTGTCTCCGGCGAGCTAAAGTGCATGAGTGTAAGGTAAATTTGGTGCATAATTTGTAATTACTTTATTTTGTGCTTATAATTTTTTTTGCATAGGATTCAACGGCTAATCAATCTGAAATCGATGACCTTACAATTGATGGTAATACAACCACTGAGCAAAGTCATAATGAGGATCGATGGAACAAAGATGATGAGGTTAGAGCGATGAACTTGAAGATGTAGACAGTGACGAGCATTAAAGCTTTGGACTATATCTTCCATATCAATGCGTATTTTAATTTAGTTCACTTTGACTATTTATACTTTAGCTTGAAACGTACGCAAATGATGAACTAATTTTGAGATGTTAGTTTACTTTCTAGTAAATGGGTTAGTTGTAACCCTTTGAAATGTTATCATATTATGTATTGTTGTTAATACAAGTATGAGTATTATTTTTTATTTTTCAATGAAATTTTTTGATATCACTTAAATAAAGCATGCTGGTGTGAAACATGGTATTAGTAACAGTTATAATAAATGTTAATGTTGGTCAAAAAAACTATTACCGACAGAAAAAAATGTTTTAGTCACACAATTTTTTGTGGGTAATCCAACTTTTAGCGACAGGTATAATTAATGTTAATGTTGGTAAAAAGAAGGTATTACCGACAGAAAAGAAGGATTTACCAACACTAATTTTTGTCAGTAATTCATGTTTTAGCGACATATATGTTTTGTTGGTACTCTTCTCTTTTTTAGCGACATCTTTGGTCTGTCGCTATTACACTATTTTAGCGACAATATATTTTACCTGTCGGTAATACTTTTACTGACGGAGTTTTTAGCGACAGCGTAGCGACAGACAATTATCTGTCGGTAAAAGCGAGTAGTGACAGATATTCAACCTTTAGCGACATATTAACCCCTGTCGGTATTGCCTCCTTTTTTTGTAGTGTTATGCTATGTTCGGATAGCATAAGTTTTCAGATTTGCCTTGCCAACTCAAATGCAATCACTTTTTATGCTGGTTTTTTTCATGAGATATTCCACAACCCCTTTTTTGCTGACAATCAGACTACAAATATCAACTCCATCCTGAAACCAGGTACGTTTTAAGTAACAATACTCCCTCCATCTAAAAGAATGCCTTGTCTTAGTTTACTATTCAAAAACCAAGATAATCATTGTTTGTTTGTATGTTTTCATAGATTATTTAATAAAATAAAATATTTTTATTACATCTTGTTTTGAAGAACATTTAATGTACTCCGTAGTTTTCAAATATATTAATTTTATGCTTTATTTTTATACCAATCTTTAAATAAAATGAATTAAAAAACTTGAATTTTCGCTTCATTGAATTTTGCATAATACATCAAACATTTTGAGACGGGGGAGTATAATTTTGGGTACCAATTACCAAACTCCTCCCACACCGTGTGGAAAAGAGAAAGGAAACCAATATTTAATGGTTACCCCAACCAATTAATAAAAAGTCTTTTGGAAGGTGTCCAAAGACTTATCTGTGCGGGCTAGGTCCAACAAACCTCCCTCAAAGTTACATACACCTGGACGATACATGTGTTAGGAAACTATGTGTCTGGTAGTAGGAGATTCAAGCAATAATAAGGCCTCTCTTGGAGAGTTGGAGGGTGCATCCCTCGATTTTGTTCTCCTAATTTTTGCTTTGTATGGACGATCAAAGTTTTCAAGCACGGTGCCCAAAGGTAATTGATCCCTCGGTACCCCCTCTTTTATTATGGAGGAATACTACTCCATCCATTCCTTCTCTTTTTCTTAACTGTTCTTTTCGCTTTGCATATCAAACATTTGACTAACTATAAATACAATATGCAATGAATTAAAATATAAAAATTATACTCCCTCCATCCCCCTAAGATGTTCTCATTTTGACTTTTGGTAGTTTTTAAGGAGAGTTGAAAAAAGATGAAAGTTTACCATAATACCCTTAATGAAAAGATGAAAGTTTACCATAATACCCTTAATGAAAGTTTACCATAATACCCTTAGTAGATATTATTGGTCAAACATTAAGTTTGAAAAGCAAACCAGACAACTAAAAAGGAACGGAAGAAATGGTTTTTTACTCGCGTGTTGTATGATAAACACATTGTTCCAATTTTTGAAAAAGATCATTAATAATTCTAATGCGAGAATCCAAGTTTTAAGGAAAGTTAAGAATGGTATTATAATCTCAAGTAAAATTTCATTGGTGGAGCTAAACTTTGAACATTTATGTTTTAATAGGAGAGAGACCAAATCTAATAAAATAATGGAGAGTATCATAGAGGAGAGGAAGAGAGAGGATGATATCTTGTTTCCGTATTATGACCATCTTCCTCCCCTCCTCTTCATCTGTTGCCAAGGTTTGGGTTCCGAGTCCCGATGATGAACTTGGCGAAAATTCCAATGGTGACGACGAAGACGATTCTAACGGCAAAGATTGGTGATGGCGACGATGAAATTAAGTGTGGAACACAAAACTTGTTCTCCTTCCCTCCAAATGACTCCCATTTGGAGGCCAATTTGGTAGGATGGCTTTGGGAGAATTGGAAGGACTCCCTACATCTCCCTCACCCTTTGTTTCCTTCCAATCCAAACAAGAGACAAAGAAAGCCCCTCCCTCCATCACCCTTCCATTCCCCTCATTCCCCCAACCCAAATAGGCCGTTATGGAGAGATAAAAATACAATTAAAACATGGGAGATGCTAGGGGTACACCTTTGTGTACCCCATTTGTCCCCCACCCCCTCCATAACCACTCATTTGTATTTGATTTTTATTTACCCCTAACATTTTTCTTAAAACATATACTCTCCGTTCTAAAAAAGAGTTCCTAGTTTGACTAAGTGTAAGAATAAGGAGGTGTTAAATTGTAGTTGACCTCCAATTTTTCCCTTGATGTGATGAGTAAAAGTAAGATGTTATGGATAGATTATTAGAGAAAAAGTATGATGTGATAGGTACAGTATGAAAAAATAAGGGTAAAAGAAGTTTTTTAATAGAAAGTGGAAGCGTTTTATTGGAAGTGGAATAAATGAAAGAGGAAGTGTTTTTGAGAACGGATGGAATGGAAATAATCAAAATATGACATCAATAATGGCAACATACAGAGTATAATATTAAAAAAAAATTAAAATGCCAATATACAATGTCACATTGTCAGAATGTCAGCGTATTATCCTATTTTGGGATAAAAATATGTCACTTTTATTTTAGAGATATTGGCTGTCCATTTTTAACAAAAAAAACAGGTCTTTTTTTAAGACAATACATGTTTTTTCATTTGTTAAAACATTCACAATGAAATTTGGGGCCAAACAAAAAATACCCCCCTGCACTTCAAATAAAACAAGTTGCCTTAAAAAAACTACAGGGAAACCTCCTCAGTAATATCATTAATAAGCTATTTACAAGTGGTGGTTTAGATAAAAATTGATTTATTTTATTATGCTTACCTGCAGGTGATATTTTGGGAGCAACAGAGCTAAAAGGCCCCAATTAACTAAAGATATAGAGATCTAAAGTCAACAACAAGTAGCTTCAGTGAAGAGAATAACTTAGGGGAAGGGGGTTTTGGTGACGTCTACAAGGTAATTAAACCTTATTTATGAACACTCTTTTACCTTAATATTAGATCTATGGATCCTCTTCATGGGGGAGGAGGAGGACTCTCCTTGGCCAATCAAAAACCATTCTCATTAGTAGCAAACATGTGTCTGAGTTTTAACTAACTATTAAATTGTACTCTCGTCAACACGAGGAGGGCGTTAGAAAGTAAATCTTTTTCAAGACCTCCAGGAGAGTTTTGGGCGGTACCAAACATGTGTCTAACTATTAAAAAGTAAAAGAAATTTAAAAGATGAAGCAGGCTATTAATAAATAGAACTTGTTTGTTAAACAGGGCACTTTGAAGAATGGAAAAATAGTTGCTGTGAAGAAATTGGCTATAGAACAATCCAAACAGATGGAGGAAGATCTTGAAAGCGAACTGAAGCTCATAAGTAATGTTCATCACCAAAATCTTGTTCGACTTCTAGGGTGTTGCACCAAAGGACTAGACAGATTCCTTATATATGAGTACATGAAAAACAATAACGTTGGCAAATTCCTATTTGGTAAACGCCGACACAAACGCCTAACTAAATCATTTTAGAGACTCTCTTTGTTCAGAACCATAATCATTTTATATTGTTATAATCTACTGAATAATTGAATGTGGAAACAGGGGAAAAGAGAGGTTCTCTCAACTGGAAGCAAAGATACAGTATAATTTTAGGGATTGCAAGGGGTTTGGCATATCTACACAAAGAATTCCATATGTGCATTTTACACCGAGACATAAAAACATGTAACATACTTTTGGATGAAGCTTTTCAACCTAAAATTGCTGATTTTGGTTTGGCAAGACGTCTACCAAGAGACCAATCTCACATCAACACCAAATTTTCTGGAACTATGTAACTAAAAAAGCAACTACCACATACATAGTAAAATAGGAAATTCATTATTACATGATTTCCGCTTCTACCCAACATACATAGATTTTTGGGAGAGACTAAAATATGAATAAACATAAGGAATGAACTAAAATATGACTTTCATGTTTATATCCTCAAAGTAAGACCTATAATGCCATCATTTGATACCGAAGAACACTATGGAATGGCAATACACAGTACCTCATTATCACAGTGCAATAATCCTCTTTTGGATATAAAAACACGCCCCTCCTATTTTGTGGAAAAGGGCTATGATTTGCTCCTACTTCGGGTGATTTCTCTAAACTTTTATAATCCATCCATTTCTATATGGCTCTCATTTTGATTTTTGCATGTTTTCAATATACTCCATACCGTAATATTTTAATTATCCATATCGATTTCTATACATAAATATTTTTAAAATATGATATCCTAAAACTACATGTTAACATTTATCTAATTACATTAAGTAACTTACATTATAACTCAAAGTTTTTTCTATATATTTTGATCAAATTTTGTAACTTCGTCAAAGTGTTACGTTATGAAGTCGGATGTAATATACTAATATTTTTCTACATGTTACATTTTGATAATTGTATCTTCTAAAGATGCACATTCTTTACGGTTTTCTTTTTGGATTTTTCTTTGTTACATTCATTTTGGCCTCACATGATAGGCTTGGAAGTTGCATGAGAGTGGCATGCACGTGGAGTTTGTCGACAAAACCTTAGACGAAAATGAATATGATATAGAAGAAGTAAAGTCATAGAGATTGGATTATTGACACACAAGCAAGTGCGGCAACAAGGCCAAAAATGTCTGAAGTAGTTGATATGCTTGAAACCAAATGCTTATTACTCCCTCCATCCTGCTATATTCGTCCACTTTTGACTTTTGGAACTGTTCATCTAAGCACTTTGACTCATCAAATTCTCTCAATGTGTAAGCCTAAATATAGTCATGCGTGATCTTGTTTGATTTGTCTTAACATATAGATTATTAATATATAATTTCTATAATTTTTTAATATACAAATTACAAGATAAAATGGATTAAAGAAGTGTATTGAATGGTGTGCAAAAATGAAAGTGGACAAATATAGTGGGACGGAGGGAGTAATAGATAAGCATCCCACTACGCCTATTTATGTTGACCCCAATATTGCAAGGCCTAAAAGGGGAACCAAAGTTGGGTCTAATACTTCATCTGCATCGAACGCTACTGCTTCCATTTCTACTCTATAAGGAAGGTGTTAGAAAATGCCTTGAATCTGTATTCTAGACGTATTAGGATTTACGACTAGGAATAGGATTAGGATTATCTTTCCTAATCTCATCTTTATATATGTAGTAGGATTAGGATTACCTATATCCCCTTCTCTATATATATAGCTTGTATTTGTACTCTTCAACTCATGGTAGAGAGAATTTGTAATCTGGTGAGAAAATACTGATCAATAATAGTTTTTCTCTTCTATCCGTGGAGGTTACTAACAAGTTGTTAGTAAACCACGTTAAATCTCTGTCTTTTTCATGATTGTCGATTGTTCGTGTTCATACTTTCTCACGTCTGTTATAACAGAAGGTGATTTCTAGCTCAAGCTACATACACGTACAAAAATGTGTGCACTCAAGCTAATTAATAAGGATCACTTGGCGTTTGAACCCGGCCAGGACAAATTGATGATGAAGACGAGCGTTTTCCTTCATTCCATAAATACATGAAGTTTCGCAAATAGGTTATAAGTTTGTGTGAATTAGTTGCCAATTTGAAGATAATGTAAAATAAAGTTTTTGTTATGAAACAGATACAAATATTAATGTTTTGAATCTCCGTTACTTGTTTAAAAAGTATTTAACTATATCAACTATATATGTTAGTTCCGCTGTTTTAGCGTTATCCTTTTTGTCCATATATTTGTTCGTAATTAGTTCATTTCAACTACAAAGTAGTTTATACATTATAGTTTATATATCCAAAATTCCGAATCTTTCTCTTTCGAGGTCAGTTGCATAATAAATTCAATTTGAATCTTTTTTTACAATATTGAAGTTCGTTTAATAATTTTCAATAGAATTTATATAGATTTTTCCTAGAACCCTAATTTGGATTTTTTTTGCATATACAAGAGTAAGATCGAGGTCTGAGCATAAACTTATAAAATTGTACGGGGCATCCAATAGGGCGGGCCTGTAATTTACATAGACCATTTTAAAAATGAGTGTCAGAGGTCGTCCCAACTTCCAATAACTAGACCATACATTTGTTCTAGGAGATTTCTAAGCTCTCATGATTTGCAAGAAAGATATACTCACATTGGGGCTAGCTGAAAGGAATGATTCGAAGTAGTTTTTCCGCTTGTTCTGGGAAGAATGTTATAAAAAGAAATGCACCTAGATTCATAGGAATAATGATCATCAGAATGCAGAATCAAAGACAACGCATTGACATGGATGAAAAGTCTTTGAGTGAGGAGCATAGCTACGGATCTACAGCTAGTTTAGGATGCTGAGGGTATTTGGTTTCCTTTTATCTTAAATGCGATGCATTTTTAATGGATTATGAGTTCCGTTTAGGTTTTCTATGAACAAAAATTGTCTGTTTAATTTTAGAAAAAAATGCAGAATGGTTTTTTTTGAAGAATCGTCACAGAAAACATACAGATTAGTAGAGTTCCTAGCACAGCTGAAACCTTGCCTTGTACCATAACTAAACCAGCCTTGCCTGCATTTTGCAACTCCGTGGAACCCACGGAATCAAATGTTCCTGGAAAAAAGGATATTTATCCACACTATTTTTAGAGGATTTAAGTATAAGGTTGTTCGAACACTTACCTGGTTTCACAGATTGAAGACCCGATGCTATACAAGCTATTTTCTGGTAACCAGCATCCTCCAACATTTTTGCAGCAGCAGCAGACCTTGAAGCATGCATGGAAATAAACTAGCCAATATCACAAGAAGATAAAGGATAGCATACAAGTTTTTATAGATATGAATTTGTTAATATTCCCATCCAGCAATAATAAAGACAGAGTGAAACAATTTAGCATAGGACGAGTGGTCACTTAAGTCTCTCACACCCTAATGTTGCTTAACACAAGCCTCAACTATTTATGAGAGGAAATATTGGTTGGTGAGGATGGTGTCAGGAAGCATTTGGGTGTGAACTGTGACGTGGACAATTATGGAGTAATATTTCTAGCATGTGATCAATAAACTACATTCTGAAATTAGTAAAAATTCCGAAAAAAATATTTGTAACATGTGAACTAATACACAATACGAATCTAATATCTATTTTAGAATTAATCTTGAATTTATCAGTGTTGAATTATTATGATTTTGCAATTGGCAGATCAACAGGCACAAAATGATTTCTTGAATGTATTCTTTAAGTAATCATTTTGTTAGTAGTTTGCAAACAGTATACAAATCACGCTTTCTTCTAAGATGAGTTTGAGAGGAAGAAACAACCATTGGCAATGGCTGAGGCAAGAAGTATTCTTATTTTTCAGGTTTTGGGAGAGTTATTCTAAGACCCTATTTCATCTTCTGTTTTTTATTCGATAGAGTGGTCTTATTGCATTTATGCCCCTTTAGCCTTAATCATAAACTGCTTACCTCATTCCTTCTTGACAAACAAGTAACAAGTTGCTTTCAGGTGATAACTGGCTTCTAACAGATTGCACAAATTCGGGATTTGGTTTAGTAAAAGGTAGACCATAGAATAAGCCAGAAAAATTGCTATGCACAGCTCTCTTTAACGAAGTTCCTGTAACATCAACAGAACATTAATCAGCTACGAAAAGCACGCAGTCTGCATGGTAAAAAGGGGGGGGGGGACAAGGAACCAACCCAAGTCATTGTCCTTATTTTCGATGAAGACTGGAACATGAAAGCAATCTTTTATATGTGCACGCTCGAACTGAGTCTTGTCACGCACATCTAACACAACATACCCGTCAACAGAAACGAGCTTCTTTGCTTCATTAGCATTTACAAATTCAACTGCAGCATTGATCCCAAATGCTCTTCTAAGCACTCGCTTCCCTTTCACATTCCCTCCTGGATAAGCCTTGAGCACTGGCCAAGATGGTCTCCACAGATTGCTGAAAACTCAAATCCCTAGGTTAGTGAAATCTAATTTTCATGTGTTTTATAACAATAACAGTAGCAATAGAAAAACCCAGTATAATCTCGACTACGTTGGAGTCAGGGTTAAGCGCGGTATACAGGGATTAAGATGAACAAAACTAGACCCCTATTAAAAATAGAGAGGTTGTTTCCTCCCGACCCTTATGCATTTACTACCCAAAACTTCATAAGTAGTAGGAAGTCGTGAGTGTGCTTTTTATTTTCATAATAAGCTACATATAATGGATCTTACTTATATTTTCTGATATTTTATTTGTTCGTTTTGGTAGAGTTTTGATTGAATATGATAAGAGTCACCCCACCGGATTTGGTGGGTCTTAAAAAACTCATATCAAATCATACAAAAATATTGAATGCACCTTTGCAGAGATATCTGCTTCGTATATGTTTACTTTTCTATTTTGTTAAATGCCAGATGTCATTCTATTTTCCCTTTTCTTTCCTTTGTATTTATATATATTACTCATCAAGCATTTTCTTGTGTGTAGTCTAATAGAAACAAACCTGTAACAAACTTTCTCTCTCTATCAATAATGGAGTTTCAATATTGTTGTGTCTGATTTCAACATGGTATCAAAGCAATGATCTTGAGCTCTCATGATTTAATTGATCCTTCCGCGATAGCTCGTCTCCTCTGTGATTGTATCTCCGTCGAAGACAATGGGAGAATCAACAGTAAGACGTCTGGAAATCAAGTTGTTGATTCATAGGGACTCACTGGAAAAGACCATCCCGGTCTGGCTTTGACTACTACGAAGTTCACAGGAAGCAACTTCTTTGCCTCGATTAAGACAATCACAATGGCATTAGGAGCGAAATCCAATCTCGGCTTCATCGATGGGATCTGTTCTAAGCCACAACTCACAGACACTAACGATCAGTGTTGCACTAGGATTTAGGACAGACTACATGGTTACCTGCTGAATCCTAAACTCTATGATACCTGAACTGTCTGGTTCCTTAATGTATGTCAATTCTGCAGAGGAATAATGGTCTGAAATTGGAGAAAGGTATGGACATACTAATGCTCCCCTAATATATCAGATACAGAAGGAATTGAACTAAATATATCAAGGCAGTCTAACAGTTTCTGCCTACTTAACAAAACTCAAGTAGCACTGGGAAGTTTTGCAAGAATTGAGTGGCTTTACTTCCTGTGAATGTGGGAAGATGAAGGAATGTAAATGTGATTTCCTGGAGAAATGGGCTGCCATTGAAGGAGTTTGTGGTCAGATGCTTTCAGCTGAACCAGTTTCTAATTTAAGTAGGGAATTTTACTTCAACACATTGAGACACAAAGAAATTTCAGTAGGAATATACCAGAATCAGCAGCCTTCTTCATGACACAGGACATCACAGTACAAAAGAGAAGTCAAGGGAAAATAGAATGACAGCCCGCATTTAACAAAATAGAAAAGTAAAATATGCGAACCGGATATCTCTAAATAAATATTTTAAATTCTGCAAGAGTGAAGGGTAATTGTATGAACAATGCTTTGAAAGGATAGGGTATCCAGATTGGTACAAAGGCAAGAAGAACAAGAAGTTTGGTTCTCCCAAATTGGCAGCCCATACTGTCCATGATGAGAAAAGTGATGAGTCTTATTTGGACTCTCCTATTGAATACAATAGTGGAAATCAACACAACAAAGTATAGGTGGATCAAGGCCTTGTATCAGCTATATGTCAGGAGATGGCAAAGATGTACAAAGGCAAAACTGCACACGGAGAACAACCTGAAACAACTTGGCCACTGCCAACTTTGCAGGTATGGCACCTGATCCCTCCTTTGTTCTGACTAGAGTCATAATGTGGAGAAACAGTGTCATTGGATAGTTGATACAGGAGCGTTTGAACATATGTCCCCTCATCTAAACCTCTTCCATAACATTAAAACTTTAAATAACCCCATTCCTATCAGTCTATTACCTTACCTGATGGAATCGCTGGCAGAGTTGAAAAATACTACAGGGATATTGGCTTCTAGAGAAGGATATAATGGTCTTTCCACTCTCATAGTACCACTTCCCTGTCCCACCAAAGCAGTTCCCGCATTCCTACACCACATAGTCCTAGTTCTTTATTCACTTGTTTTACTTCTACTGTTAATGTTTCTACTAAAGAATATCTGTATCAACTTCATGTGAGATTAGGTCATGCTTCTATGTCCAAATTGAGTAATCTTGTTGATTGTAAGCCTTTAAATCAATATAAATTGAATTGTGATGTTTCTTCTATGGCAAAGAGCTCTACTATCATAAGTCTACGTACATACACCCTCCCCAGACCCTAATTTTGTGGGATTAAACTTGATTGTTGTTGTTCTATGGCAAAGATACATAAGCTCTCTTTTTCAAAATACAACTTTAAAAATTCCCTGTTGCCCTTTCATTTGATTCATGTGGATTTGTGGGGGACCTTATAAAACACCAGTCTTAAATGGAGCCAAATACTTCTTGACCATAGTTGATAACACCAGAGCCACTTGGACTTATTGGTTACACAATAAGGACCAAGTTTGTTCTATTATTGAAACCTTTTTCCATTTTGTCTACAATCATCACCACACCCAACCCAAACACGTGAGAAGTGACAATGGGTCTGAAACAGTTAGATCTGAATGCCACAAACTTTTTTCTACCCTTCGCATAATCCATCAGAAAAGTATGACCTACACCCCACAACAAAATGGGGTGGTGACAGGGAAACATAGACATCTCATGGAAAAGCTAGATGTTTGAGAATTCATGCTAAAATCCCTATTTCTTTGGGGAGGAGATTCCCTTCTTGCTGCAACATATCTCATAAACAAAATGCCCATGGCAAAATTATCTTGGAAGACTCCCTTAGAAGCCTTATTTGGTTCCCCACCTAAATATGACCATCTCAATACTATTGGTTGTTTATGTTATGCTAGAGTGGAAGGCAGAACACTACACAAATTTGCTCCTAAGGGCAGGAGATGTGTTCCTTAGGTTATCCCATTGCCCAAGAGGGATACAAACTCTTTGACTTAAACACTAAAACCACCTTTCTCAGCCGAGAATGTCATCTTTCATGAGGACATCTTTCCCTACAAAACCATTTCTTCATCCACCACTACTCTTCCAGATGTTTTCTATCCCACCCCTTTTCTGTTTCAGATGAGGATACCATTCCCAACCCCATTCCATCTTCTCATTCCTTACCCACCGATGATTCTTTCCCTCACTCTTTTCCTATTATTGACACTAGAGTTCCTGATCTCATACCCCAATCTACATCTTCATCTTCTCCACACACAGAGCTTCCCACTTCTTTTACTCCTCTTGTTCTTAGACCATGCAAGAGCACTACTGTTCTGGCTAAATTTTCAGACTATGTATGTCCTAGTTTACAATCCAAAGCCCAAACCAATTGTTCCACTGCTCATCCTCTATTCTATGTCTATACTTTTCTTTACTTATTAGTTTTTCTAGTTTCCTTGCTAATGTTTTTACTATACAGACACCTACAAGTTATGCTCAAGCTAGTCAGGATCCAGGTTGGTCAGCCCCAAGTCTCCTATTCAGTTCAACATCTTCGCCAGTATGTTTCTGCTCCAACAACTCACCATATGCAGGCTGCTTCTCATTTTCTCTTTTATCTCAAAGGAACCATAAGTCATGTGATTCTCTATCCCATTCAAGAAAATCTTACACACACACATATATATTAGTCATCTAGCATTTTCTTGTGTGTAGTCTGATAGAAACAACTTGTAACAAACTTTCTCTCCCTATCAAAAATGGAGTTTCAATAGTGTTGATTCTGATTTCAACAACCTTCAAATGTAGTGAATCGAATTTTATACAGAAATTCTACACTTCTTTTTACAAATTGCATCAAGGTCTGACTTCACTTGTCTAAACTGCACTTTTTCTAAACAACGTTTGAGACATGATTCCTTTTTTTGGACAATGATTTAGGGAACCATTGATTGATTTTCCTTTTAGCCCCTAAGCTACAAAACAAGCAGATATGTAAGAAAGTGTACCACTCCATGCAGAAATGAATCATGATTAATGTAATTGATGATTATTAATGTAATTGATGCTTAATATTCACCAAAAAAAGACAAACACTTTGGGAAAAGAGGACTAGAGTATTAATTTGTAGAAGACATTCGTACTCCTGATAAATTCTACTTATTCATTACATTTCACTACTTGCCAGTATCTTTTTGCCCAGAATTAATAAAAGTGACATTCCGAGAGAAAGAATGGCTGAGGTTCTCAAACGGATTGCAATTCAGTTTTGTTAAATTACGGAGTAAAATTTAAACAATCTGAAATTGAGATTACCTTCCGGGAGAGAAATTTGTAGGCGGCAGGCAACAACCCATCATGGCAAAACTTCTTTCTTTCTTTTTCTGCTATTACTGGTAATAATGACGGGTTCTTGCCAGCTCGTCTAGAGAAATTTGAGACTCTGATTCCAAAAGCTTAAATCGCTCCTTTGGTTCAGCACAAGAAATACTCACATTTTTTTTGAAAACTTCCTCCACACAGCTGTTTGTGGGGTAAATTTTAATAATTCTACCTGAACTTTCACTAGAATTTCGAAGTGGTACCTAAACTTCAAATTCTTTCATAAAAATAAATCCCTGAATTTATATAATCCTTCCACTAAAAGTCCATTTACAATCTTTCACTAGAATTTCGAATTAATTTTCGGTCATTTTGGCTAAATTAAAATTTTATATATTTTAAAATTTTCAATTTGACCTCATTTCTTTTTTTTTTTTCTTCTTCCCATCCCAAGACAGACTAAGGAAATGGAGATCGGCCGGCGATGATCAAGACACAAACCAGCAGCGAAGCATCGTCAACACAGATCCTAAATCAAGGGTTAGTGGTTCGTCAAGGGTATAATCTGCGATCCATTGTTTTCTTCTCCTTCGTTTTTGTCCGATGCCGACTATGACTCTCAGTGTTTTAATTGGTAGTTTACAATTTTAGTTTATTGTGGCGGAAGATCTGCGATACAATTTCAGTTTCAATTTCAGTAAATTGTACTCCGTAGTTTACAATTTTAGTTTATTGTAGTTCACAATTTCAGTTTATTGTAGATACAATTTCAGTTTATTGTAGTTTACAATTTCAGTTTATTGTAGATACAATTTCAGTTTATTGTAGTTTACAATTTCAGTTTACAATTTCCAAGGGTATAATCTGTGATCCATTGAAGCGGAAGATCTTCTTCGTCATGGAGTACGTCCGGGGCGGGGAGCTTCTGGGGAGGTTTGCGGCGGAGAGGAGGCTGGAGGAGGAGAGTATTTCCGGCAGTTCGTCGGCGCCGTGGAGTTCTATCACAGGTTTCCGATTTCGGGTTGTCCGTCTTGCCGGAGCAGCAGAGGCACGACGGCCTTTTGCACTCCCTCTGTGGCACTCCGGCTTATGGGACTGAGAGTGGGGTGGGTGAAGAAGAAGAAGAAGAAAGGGGTGGAAGAAGAAGAAAAAGAAGGGAGTGGGAGGGGGAAGAAGAAGAAAAAAAAGAAATGGGGTCAAATTGACAATTTTAAAATATGTAAAATTCTAATTTAGTCCAAATGACCGAAGTTAACCCGGAAACGAGTAAATGGATTTTTAGTGAAAGGATTATATAAGTTCAAGGATTTTTGTGAAAGGATTTGAAGTTTAGGTACCACTTCAAAATTCCAGTGAAAGTTCAGGTACCATTACTGAAATTTATCCACTGTTTGCGAGACGCTATGTTAGTGTCTTAACAAAAATTAGCATTACAACAAGGGAAAAACCCCTAAATAGGATTAAAACATAGAGAAAAGTACCAAAATAGGACTTTCATGTTTTTTTTTCCAGAATAAGACTTTGCACTGTGGTAATGTGACTTTGCATTGTGGTAATGTGGCAGTGTCATGTGCAAATTACTATACTTTTTTGGTAATATATATGACCATGTTTGGTAATGTAAGTCCTATTTTGGGAATAAAAACATGGAAGTCCTATTTTGGTATATTTTTAATGTTTTAGTCCTAGTTTGGTCTTTCTCCCTAAGTTATTTTACTCCCAATACACTACCAAACTTTTCCCAAAAGAATAGAAGAAGTTAGAGCCAACAAGAATTCGCTTAGAGCCCGTTTAAGGTAAGAAAACTCTCCGAAAATTCTGCGTTTTTTTGAGTATTCTTCAAGCTATTGAAACACTTTTTGCTATTTTTTTTTTTCTCTTCGGTAAAGCTCGATAACACCTCTAAAGTCTCGGTTCCTTATTAGTCTTCAACAACTCCGTTTCATTTTCTCTCTCGAACTCGAGGTATGTACAAAATTGTATTGCACGGACTTCCCGTTCAACTATTATATTTGTAAAAATCTTTTAAAACAAAACACTCTTTTTGTACGATTCAAAGTTATTTAAAAAAATATACAAAGTACTGTAGTATTTTATTTTTAAATTAATATTTTATACACTTTTAAAAGTGATTTATTATAAAATATTGATTTATAAAAATGATTTGATATATAGGAAATAAAATTCAAACTTTTATATTATCTAAGTTTGAACAACTTGAGAGCATTGTAAACTTGTATTTCGGAGCAACGGTAGGAGACCCCTATCACCGCTCATCGTATACAGAACCAACGACCAAGGTTGCGAGAATGATGCTCAAAAGGCAGTATTTCTCAGGGCTACATTCGGAGACCCCAGGTGTATGTCGTTAAATTGAATATTTCGTATCTCAGTAGTTTGGATAAAATCTTTTATAAAGTTTTATCTAACTTATAACTATGTAGTTTCATGTATGCAAATTCATTCTGTAAAACTAAAATATTGATTTTCATAAAAATTATATTTTTACGAGACTCCGTCTTATATTGTTTTGTACCACTCAGCAAATATGCTGAGCGTGCAGTATTTTTGGTTTTTACTGTGCGTAGGTGATGTAGCTGGAACAAGTGGAAGTGCAGGACATGGCAATTAAATCCGTTTTGATAAATACGGTTATGTGTTTATATTATTTGCTTGAATAAAAAGTTTGTATTTTATTTTATGACGTTATGTTCACAAACATATTGTGTATTAAACTCACTTCCGCTGTTTTTAATAAATATTTATATGATGTTTTTTTTATAAGAAATGAGTATATTTCCTCTTAACTCTCTAATTTGGAATAATCCACGAGACAGTTCAAGTTAGGGTGTTACACCATAATCCAAGAGTTAACCGCGCAACAGACCTTGCGGAACCCCCGGAAGCCGACGGCCACAGCCTAAGGCCGGTCCTGAGAATTCATATGCCCGGGCCGAAACAGAGAAAAAAGGCCCTAAAAATATTATCTCTATCTAATGATATATCAAATTAACATATTTATAGATACTCTTATTCTTCCATCTCTTTTACTTCTACTTCTTCGTCTTCAGTAACATGTTTCATAAACTTATATAGAGCTTCGACTTGAGACTTTCTCATTTTTCATCTCGTTTTAGTTTTTTTTTCTTTTTTGACTATCAAATAATTGTTTAGGAGCCATAGCTATTGAATTATTTCTGAAATTAAATCCAAATTCATCAACTCTACTACATAGTAAAATCAAGTATATATGAAAAACTGAAAAAGCAAGCAAATAAATAAATAAATAAATCATAAATTCATATCAATTCATCAATTTATCAGTTTTTAATTTTTTTTGGTTTTCAGTATTTTTATATAAATATATTATAAATAAAAAATTCAAATCAATTCATCCAAATCAAATAAAACACACATAAAACCATTAATTCATTCTATTTCAAAGAATGAAATTAGAAAAGATTTCAAATCAAAAACTAATAAATAACCCTAGATTTTAAATCTAAAAAATGAAACAATAAAGAAAATTAAGATTTAAGAAATAAAAATTACAAAATTGGAAAACTATCCTGGAGGGTGGAGGTCGGCCTCCGGCGGCATGACGGCGGCGTGCCGGCGTCCTTTCTTCGGTGTCCTTTCTTCTGCTATCGGCTCTTGCGCTCTTCAGCGTCCTTTCTTCGGTAGTATGAGGATTCCTTTTTTTTCTCCATCCGGGTGAGGAGTGGATTGAATTGGGGCATTGGGCTAAGGGGGTAGATTAAGATAAGTGGTGAAGGGGGCGCTGGACCTGGGCCTTAATGGGATGCATATATATACTCCCTCCGTCTAGGAAAGACGTTCCCAGTTTGACTTTTGTTCATTTTTAGTGAATGTTGACTATGGCATTAAAATGTCTAAAGTACCCTCATACCTTCCTTTGAATTATTGCTTTGCCCCCACCACTATCTTACCCCTAGCCACCGCTGCCCCAACCCACCTCCGACCATCGTACCGCTGCCCACCGCGGCCCTAGCATATCGCCACCCACAACTGCCCCAACTCCATTGCCGCCCAAACATTGCCCCGGCGCCATCGCTGACTACCGCATCATCGTCGTCCCTATCACCATCTCCTTCAGTCCTCAACCCAATAAGGGAAGGGAAAAATAAGAGGAAACAAAACAAGAAGAAAAAGATCTAACACAAATCTATCTGAATCTAGCTCTGACCACCGCCATCTGCTCTACCATCGCCGCCACCTGCTCTACCATCGTTGCCATCGCTGCCAGCCCCATAGATCTAGCATAGATCTAGAAAAAGAAGAAAAAGACGAAGAAGAAGAAGAAGAAGAATCGGAGGGGGGGAGAAAGAAAATGAGAAAGTTGTAGATCTGAGGGAAGACACACGAGAAAGAAGAAGGTTGGGGATAGAAGAAGATACGGTGGAATTGGAGGAGAAGGAGAGAAAACGAAAAAGAACAATAAGGGGAAATAAGATAGGGGCGGAACAAAAAAAGAAGGAAAGAGAAGAAAGGGGAAAAAGGGAGAAGAGAAAGGAAATGAAGAGGGTAATTTTGGAAAAGAAGACAAAATAAGGTAGAATGAGAACATCATTTCCGGACGGAAAAAAGAGTAGAACGGGAACATCATTCCCTGACGGAGGAAGTAATACTTAAAAGAAAATTTTTTTGTGCCCCTTAAATTATTGGGCCCGGCCCGGACGGACACTTTGTCCCCCTATTGGGCCGGCCCTGCCACAGCCAGCGCCTCAAACTCCTTCTCGGTCCTCTCCTTCCCGTCGGGGTTATGCGCCAGCATGATCACATCAATGTGCACCACGTTCCTCGTCGCCGGCGAAGCGTCCGGCGCTTCCGGCAGGATGCACTCCGCCACGATCACCTTCCTGTCCTCCGGCACCGCCGCGTGGCAGTTCCTCAGCAGCTTCAGGCAGTGGGCGTCGCTCCAGTCGTGGCAGATCCACTTCATGAAAACCGTGTCCCCTCTAGGCACGCTCTGGAACATGTCTCCTCTGACGTGCTCGATGCCAGGAGAGAGGAGCGTCGCGAATGACGTAGGGCAGATCGAAGTTGACGCCCTTGATGTGTGGGTATTTGGAGAGAATCATTTTGAGGGTGGCGCCGGTGCCGCCGCCGACGTCCACCAGGGATTTGAGGACGTCGAAGCCACGGTAATCGTCGAGAATCTTCTTCATGGTGATGGTGGAGTGGTCGGATATTCCGAGGTTGAACACCTTATTGAATCTCGGGTCGGTCCCGTGGTACTCGAATGCGCTCATTCCGTACGCTTTGTTGAACGGAATCCCGCCGTCCAGCACCGCTTCTTTTATGTGATACCTACATTACAATTTAAAAATCATTATTATTGTTAAACAATACTAATAATTATTTCAATTATGAAATTTATGACAGTCTTTATATTTTATAACTATAAATAGATATAAACCCTAGAAAGAAATCAAAATAAGAAACCTATATTTTATCTCTAAAATAAGAATTTGTATTAAGATAATGTGTCATTATATATGAACATTTTACATTATTTTTTAATAATGTATATGATCATAATTGACATTGTACATACCATAGAACTTATATTTTGGTATATTATAAATGTTTTACTTCATTTCAGACTTTTTTCTTGTTAATTTTTTTCATAGTTGAGATTATACTTTGTAAAATTTGCACTAAATAGGACTAAAACATAATGACTTTTCCAATGTAGAACTTAAACTTTTTTATTCTCTAAATAGGACTTAATAATGACATAGTGGGAGAAATGATGGACATTTACTTGAATAATGACTACTTGATAATGACCAAAAGTTCTACATTAAAAAATAAAAACATTACCTCTCAATAGGTCGAAGAATGTTTGGATTTCCTGTTGACTTTCTTTTCTTTCATCTTTCAACTGCAGAAGGATGATGATATGCTTCCTCCAACCCTTTCTTCTTATTTTGATTGAAAATCTTCCTTAACATACATGAAAGATGCCATGAATATTTTTATTCACTAAATATTTGGAGGAACATATTTTTATTCACCGTTCTATTCATAGCAGAAAACACTAAGTCCAACATCCGTGATTGCAAACCGTTCTAGAAAGCTAGAAACCATTGTCATTTCCTCTAAAATTAAAACTCAAACCTTGAAATAATTACTGGCCAATGGTAGCCTGTAGGTTCTCGAACGCTCTCCTCTATTCATCGTCCTTCGCCTCTATTAGCATCTACCATGAACGAGCCTTTGGTGTTTTATTAAAAACGCTTCTAGATTTTGAATCTATGATGCCATCCTCAACCTCTATCTCCCCCTCGTTCTTCACTCTCAATCTGGAGCTTTCAAAAAAAACCATAAAATATTCAAAGTAAATAGAACATTCTCGAAATAAGTTCCAAATAAACAGCAAAAAACACAACAAAAAAAACAAAAAAACCTGCACTATAATCCTTTGGCTTCTCTTTTCTTCACCTTTTTCTCTGTCACGACTAATATTTATCAACTCATAGCAGTGCAATTAATCTAAATGATTTCCACTGCCCTGTCCCATTAAATATTTATCAATTGACATTTAGATATAATGGTCGATAAAAAAGATTGTGCCAGAGGAGTAAATTCAACAAACACCTTGCGTGAATGATCAAAAATCATTTTGATATTTGGGAGTGACTAACCTATCTCCCATGATTTATGCCAAACAATATGATTTCTCCATCACCGAAGGTGTTTCTTCAAAAGGAATGGTACGAGTAACTAACTTAGATTGCATTTTCTACTCCCAGAGAACGAAAAGAGATTCATGAAACTTACTTGCAAGAACATTAACCAGAACAAACGTTACACCGGATGACATAGAGGGAATTGATTTTTCACCAATATTGAAATAAGTTGAACTAAAATCCACTTGAGCAAAAAAAAAATCATAATTCAAAACATTAAGATTAAATAGGGACAAAACATTAAGATTAAATACAGACAGAGAGACTATTTGTGTAGTGTGTACAATACATATCATTTGTCTTAGAAGATGTGTTGAAACCAAATGGAGCAACAAATTAAGCCTTAACTCCTTAAAAATTCAGCACATACACTAACATTGTATAAATAATACATTACTTATTCATATGAGTTCAAAAACAAAACAAAATCCTTTGCACTCTCAATAAGACACCAAGTTAACCAATGGAAAGTGAGGACCATAGTTTGTTGCACTGGAATGCATGTACCATGCTAGGCCGCAAGCTTCATAAAATTATCCAATACTATCAGTGATGTTGTCACAGGCATAATATTCAGTGTTTAGGTTTAAATTAAAAAGAGCGGATTAGGAAATAGAAATTCTTTGGTTGAAGAGAGACCAAAACCACAAGAGCCTCATTTCATTCGCATTCTTCTTTTCGGGATCCTCTTTGGTCTGTGCAGTGCGGGCAGCTTTGCTAGCAGTCACTATGGATGTACTCATGTCTCTATAAACATATGGCACGATCAACCATTACAAATGAGCAAACTTAAAACAGATAGAGTGAAGTTTGTTAAATGTAGAAGGTGTGGAGATGCTGAAATAAATGGGTGTTGTAATGATATGGATGGTAAATACCTCACTATTTTGCATAGGCTCCAAGATACACTCCGTGAGTACTTTAGCTGCAATAAAACTTTGGGTGTATGCTGTCTTTTAAATATAGATTATTGGAGAAAGGATAATTCTGAAATGGTAGACCTGCTTATATATTATACCAAATTGCTGGTTTTGCCGATTTGATTATTGTCAAGGAAAGGAACCTGAAGCATATTGATGGAATGATGGTTGAAGACAGAAGTGAGCAATCATGGAAAACGAAAATAAACTGATACTTCGGATATGTATTTAATAAAATAAACCTGCAGATATTTGATTTCTAGTAGTATAAGTTGATCACTGAAGTCAAGCCCAGTATCATTCGATCTTCTGAACCTATAGTCAAGGATATCTTTAGCTTGTCAGATAAAGCAAACACAATTTAAAACCAATATGAAAATTGATATACACAACATGTCAGACATTTAGTTACTAAAAGGAACATACATCAATTATCTTCTTCTGTAGGTCAATAAGTGGTTTCTCATAGTTTAATATGACGGGCTTTGGCTTCTCTTCCAAAGGTTTGAAAGGATATAGATAGCAAAGCACTCCTCCCCTAACATTTGAATCAATTTCTTGTGGTTGTGGCGATGGATAGTCATGTTTGTTTTTTGCTTCCTAAGCAATGTAGTGACTGCAAAATCTCTATTCTTGGATCCCAATCTTACACTACCCGTGGCCTTCAATGGCACCACACAAACAAAATCTCTAGAACTATGAAGGAAGTCTAAAGCAAACTTCCAGCAAGTACAGGTGAAGGATGATGAGTTGTTCAAGCTATTACCCAACTCCACAAATCTTGAATTCTTGATGATTCAAAGCTTATTTCAGGATAAGTTGTCTTCTATAAAAATCATGCATGAAAAGATTAGGATTGGAAAGCACACTTACAAATATATGAACTGTTAAATATCATGCACCTCAAATGAAAATAGATACAAATTTATTTTAAAGAAAAACAAAAATAAATCTATTTTGATGAGTTGTTCATAGAAGCAACCTAAGAGCGGATATTCNGTCTAAAGCTGAAAGTCCAGATGCCAAACTTCCAGCAAATACAGGTGAAGGATGATGAGTTGTTGAAGCTATTACCCAACTCCACAAATCTTGAATTCTTGATGATTCAAAGCTTATTTCAGGATAAGTTGTCTTCTATAAAAATCATGCATGAAAAGATTAGGATTGGAAAGCACACTTACAAATATATGAACTGTTAAATATCATGCACCTCAAATGAAAATAGATACAAATTTATTTTAAAGAAAAACAAAAATAAATCTATTTTGATGAGTTGTTCATAGAAGCAACCTAAGAGCGGATATTCGTAGCAATTGAAGCACTATCCGAGGAGTTAAAAAGAGAGTGACCATTTTTTAGGCCAATTATTTTGCAAGAGTTACAGAAAACTGGCAAATCTTCATAGTACACAGGCTGCAATAAAGAGTGATGTTCGAAATCAATGTGGAACTGCTTTTGAGTATATAACATCGTGCTTCAGCAAACTCGAGTTAACCAGACTTGCATGTCACCCAAACCTATTCTCATTTCCAAATACTATTTTTTTGCAAAATAATGATTAATTATTTAAATTTCTAATGCAGAAATTAAAGAAATATTTTTAGTAAAAGCCAATCCCTTACTCATTGTCCATACATCGGATGGCCTTTGCTGGCTATGGATGGATCAAGCGTCCCAGTTCCATTTCTTCTTTCATCTGAAAAGTAATAAAAAACAAATTGAAGAATATCACATCAGTAATGAGTTGAGAAATACATAAAGAACTGGACAATGGGCACTGGGCAATGAATGTTTTAACACGCCTTTTGTTAGCAACACACCTTTTGTTTTTCAAAACCCACAAACCCTTGTGCACGGGGCAATGGATGTTTTAACACTGTCAAGGCTTCAACCACGCCCACTGCGATGTATTCCCTGCCAAATTACAGATCATATCATTTAGCCACAAAATCTTTTAAACCTTGAACAAAGCTCAATCTGTATGGAATAACTTTTGCAAGAGGAACCATATAAAATCTACTGCTGCAGTTTTTTCCCTTTTTTTTAATATATACCAGAGTCGAAGAGATCTTCATCTCCCTTTTAGAGAAGTATTAAAATAATAAATATAAATAAACAAATCATTCCAATTAACGATAATCTCAGGCCTAATAGTATTACAATTCCTGGCTTAGTGAATTTTTTTATATTTAAGACATCTGTTCAAACTCCAAATGTGTATCTAGGAGCCTTGAGACTATCAATTTTACACTTTGTCCCATGTTGTGCTGATATGCTGGATATTCTAGTTTGGGTGTTGAGGAATACGCAAGAAACTAATACCAACTAAACTGGGGAAGTCCATTTCACTTAAAAAGCTAGGCAAGTCAAACGTATGTGGTAGGAAAATAATAACTCAGCAATAGAAACTCCATATCACATGACACTTGGGAGGCTCACATCCAAAGAATATAACTGCCACCCCGATAGATGAACAACTATATAACAAACTGTGGTAGCGACTCAAACAATTGAGTAACAGAGATATTACTTCAACAAAGAGGGCGGAGAGACCAACTAACCTTTGGGAGGTTTTGTTTAACAAATATTGCACCATGTGGAGATTTCTTAGTATATTCTAGGCGGAGAATGAGCCTAAGATCATCTTTAGGAGTTACTTGTTAAGAGGTGATACATGAGAGTAGAAGGCTATATAAAATCTGAGATAAATTTCCTCCGTATAATGTATTGTAATGTAGTCAATAACATTATAAAAATAGGAAGTTAGAAACTACGCAAGAGAATTCTAATGGGCCTTAGAATTAAATGCCTAGAAACTTAATGAATTAAAGACAAAAAAATATTATTAGTAAAAGCCATTGCCTTATTCATTGTCCGTACCTCGGATGGCCTTTGCTGGCTATGGATGGATCAAGCTTCCTAGTTCCATTTCTTCTTTCATCTGAAAAGTAATAAAAACAAATTGAAGAATATCAAATCAGTAACGAGTTGAAAAATAAATAAAGAACTGGACAATGGGCACTGGGCAATGAATGTTTTAACACGCCTTTTGTTAGTAACACACCTTTTGTTTTTCCAAACCCACAAACCCTTGTGCACTGGGCAATGGATGTTTTAACACCGTCATGGCTTCAACCACGACCACTGGGATGTATTCCCTGCCAAATTACAGCTCATATCATGCAGCCACCAAAATCTTTTAAATCTTGAACAAAGCTCAGTCTTTATGGAATAACTATTGCAAGAGGTGTAACTGTCATTGTTGTCAATTTGCAATGTCCTTATACATTCTAATTTCAGAACCAGTGCCTTTGAATCTTTCTTTGAATATTTATTTCATACTAAGCCTGAAGTATTGACATTTTGAAATTTTAAAATACTTTTTGATTAAATGTAGCTTGAGAGAGAGAGAGCCCTGATTTTCATGCGAGACGTTCAAATGTAAAATTGATGACATTCTAATTAAGTAAGAAGACATGTTATTAAGAAAGGATTCAAATTCAGCCTCCAAAATCACAAATTGAAAATTTAGATTATCAAATTAACAAGACTATACAAAGTTACAAACAAAATATTCATATTATCAAACTGAACAAATTTATAAGGAGTATAAATTGCCACTTTTGGGAAAGGATTGAGACTTAGCCTCCAAAATTATCAATTAAACACTAAGACATAAAATTTTTCCTGAAGCTTTAAACATAACATATAAAAAGCAATCAAAGAGTGCATTATATTTAAAATATAAACGAAATCAATCATTTAACAGGATTAAATATGATTTCATCTTTGTTCAAGCCCTAAAACATACACAATACAACTAGAACTGATAATAAACATGAAATCAACACAAAAAGGAAGAGGAAACTAAAGAAAAAAAATATGGAGTTAAAGAGTATACCCTTGAAAACACTAATGGTTGGACTGTGAATTTGGCTTCGTTTCTGTACCTTCTCGTCACAAGTTTCGTCACAAGTTTCTCGCCGGGGGTAGTTCTCAAGACCATCGCTCTTTGCGTTCCTACTCGATCACTGCATCTTCTTGCTGTTTTATGCATCAAAGATTCATGTTCTAGAGCTAGGGTTTCGAACCATAATCCCAATCCCGCCGTTGTCTCCATCGACTATTTTCTTCTTTCATCTGAAAAGTAATGAAAAACAAATTGAGGAATATCAAATCAGTAATGAATTGAGAAAAAAATAAAGCACTGGACAATGGGCACTGGGCAATGAATGTTTTAACTCGCCTTTTGTTAGTTACACACCTTTTGTTTTTCAAAACCCACAAACCCTTGTGCACTGGGCAATGGATGTTTTAACACTGTCATGGCTTCAACCACGCCCACTGGGACCTGCCAAATTACAAGCTCATATCATTTAGCCACCAAAATCTTTTAAACCTTGAACAAAGCTCAATCTGTATGGAATAATTTTGCAAGAGGAACCTTATAAAACCTACCGCTGCAGTTTTTTTCCTTTTTTTAATATATACCTGAGTCGAAGAGATCTTCATCTCCCTTTTAGAAAAGTATTAAAATAATAAATATAAATAAACAAATCATTCCAATTAATGATAATCCCAGGCCTAATAGCATTACAATTCTAGGCTTAGTGAATTTTTTCATATTTAAGACGTGTGTTCAAACTCCAAATGTGTATCTAGGAGCTTTGAGACTATCGATTTTACACTTTGTCACATGTCGTCCTGATCTGCTCGATATTCTAGTTTGGGTGTTGAGGAATACGCAAGGAACTAATACCAACTAAACTGGGGAAGTCCATTTCACTTAAAAATCTAGGATGGTCCATTTCACTGGGGAAGTCCATTTCACTTAAAAACTGGGGAAGTCCATTTCACTTAAAATTTGAGATAAAATCACTTCGTATAATGTATTGTTATGTAGTCAATAACATTAAAAAAATAGGAAGTTAGAAACTACGCAAGAGGATTCTAATTTCTAATGGGCCTTAGAATTAAATGCCTAGAAACTTAATGAATTAAACACAAAAAATATTATTTGTAAAAGCCACTACCTTATTCATTGTCTATACCTCGGATGGCCTTTGCTGGCTATGGATGGATCAAGCTTCCTAGTTCCATTACTACTTTCATCTGAAAAGTAATAAAAAACAAATTGAAGAATATCAAATCAGTAATGAATTGAGAAATAAATAAAGCACTGGACAATGGGCACTGGGCAATGAATGTTTTAACACGCCTTTTGTTAGTAACACACCTTTTGTTTTTCAAAACCAACAAACCTTTATGCACTGGGCAATGGATGTTTTAACACTGTCATGGCTTCAACCACGCCCACTGGAACCTGCCAAATTATAGCTCATATCATTTAGCCACCAAAATCTTTTAAACCTTGAACAAAGCTCACTCTGTATAGAATAACTTTTGCAAGAGGAACCTTATAAAACCTACCGCTGCAGTTTTTTTCCTTTTTTTAATATATACCTGAGTCGAAGAGATCTTCATCTCCCTTTTAGAGAAGTATTAAAATAATAGATATAAAGAAACAAATCATTCCAATTAATCATAATCCCAGGCCTAAAAGCATTACAATTCTAGGCTTAGTGAATTTTTTCAT